TGTTCTTCCTTTTGCTACGAACATACCCATAAAAGCCTTTTTTGTTGCTTTTAACCTCTCTAGCAAGCCTGAGTTCATTTTGTGCTTTAGCTTTTCTGACTTTGTGTCTACACGTGCTGGCTATTTGTTTGAATTCCTCTTTGGTGGTTTCCCCCCTTTTCCATTTTTTGTACACATCCTTTTTTAATCTTAACTCAGTTAAAAGTTCTTTAGATAGCCACCCTGGCTTCTTTAGGCACCTTCCATGTTTCCGTCTCATTGGTATTGCCTGAAGTTGTGCTTTTACTATCTCCCTCTTAACAAACTCCCAGCCATCTTGAACTCCCTTTCCTTTTAGTATTACTGTCCATGGGATCTCACCCAGCACTTCCCTAAGCTTTATGAAGTCGGCTTTCTTAAAGTCGAGAAATTGAGTCCTAGTATGCTTGGCTGCTCCTTTCCGCTGTATAGTAAACTTCAGAAGAGCATGATCACTCGCGCCTAATGATCCTTCCACTTCTACCCCACTAACCAGGTCATCAACATTGGTTAGGACCAGATCTAAAATGGCTGTTCCTCTTGTTGCTTCTCCCACTTTCTGGACAATGAAGTTGTCTGCAAGGGCAGTGAGGAATCTGTTTGACCTTATGCTCTTGGCTGAGTTTGACATCCAACAAATATCCGGGTAATTGAAGTCCCCCATTACTACTATCTCCCTTCCTTTTGCATGCTTGGCCATCTGTTCCAGGAAGGCATCATCTATGTCCTCCGTTTGGCTTGGGGATCTATAGTAAACTCCCACAATGAGGTCACTGTTATTCTTCTCTCCCTTAATTTTCACCCAAATGCTCTCACTTTGGCTTTGAGGTTCTAAATCTTGGATCTCTTCACAGGTATACACATCCCTGACATATAACGCCACTCCTCCTCCTTTCTTGTCTGGTCTGTTTCTTTGAAATAGATTGTATCCCTCCATTATTACATTCCAATCGTGGGATTTATCCCACCAGGTTTCAGTGATTCCTATTATGTCATATTTAGTTTGCTGTACCAGGAGCTCAAGCTCATCTTGTTTATTTCCCATGCTTTGCGCATTAGTGTACAGACATTGAAGTCCATTAATCATTCCCCCGTGTCTCTTATTTAAGGATTTTTTCCTCCCACCACTAGGTCTGCATGCTCTTTGCTCCATTCGGTCTATGACATTTGGATGATCATCTTCATCAATTGATAGACTCCTACCTTCAGGAGCACTGTCTCCCTCCCCCACATTAGTCAGTTTAAAGCCCTCCTGATGAGGTTTCTGAGATTTTTTGCAAAAACATTCCTCCCAACCGTTGTGAGGTGCAGCCCATCGCTTGCCAGAAGTCCATCTTCAAGAAACTGCATTCCGTGATCTAAGAATCCAAACCGTTCCTGTTTACACCATTTGCGAAGCCAGTTGTTCACTTCCACTATTTTTCCCTCTCTCCCTGGGCCACGTCGTTCAACTGGGAGGACAGATGAGATGACAATTTGTGCATTTAATTGCTTCAATTTCCTGCCCAGAGCCTCGTAATCTCTTTTGATCTTCTGGAGGCTATTGCTTGCAGTGTCATTGGTTCCCACATGAACCAAGAGGAAGGGGTATTTGTCAGTGGGTTTTATGATTCCTTGCAGTCGTTCAGTTACATCTTGGATCTTAGCCCCGGGGAGACAGCACACTTCCCGAGACATCTTGTCAGGCCCACAGATCACTGCTTCTGTTCCCCTCAGTAGGGAATCCCCTATCACCACCACACGCCTCCTCTTAGGTCTGGTCGGGGTTCTTCTGTGAGCTGTCCGTTCCAAGGTCGCCTGGACATTCCCTGAGGACTGCCTTTGCTGCTCGTCTTCATATACCTGATCGACATAGCCAGAGCTAGCTCAAGACAATGGTTAGGAAATCCTTTCCAAACCTTCTACCTGGGATGGTTGCCTTCCTTTGTCTTAAGGTGGGGCTCGACTTGATCGAAGCACATTGTTAAATAGTGGTAATAGCAGTAGTAGCACAGCTGACTGCAGAACCATGCATCTCAAAGACCCTTAGCACAAGACTTGTCTTTCCAATTGTAGAAAATTCTGCTTCAAAGATAACAATCTGCTTCAGGTATTGAACCTAAGGCACAGCAGGCCAATTAACATATGGTGTCTGGAATGAGACCAAGATCAACGAATGGGAGCAACATGGAGACTTGTCCCTTGGAAACACAGGCAAGTTGGTCCACTCAGATACAAAGTTACTGAATATATACACAATTTCAATAAATTTAGCATGCTGTATGACTAATTCTCAGTGATATCCTTTCCTTGGAACTAGGCATCATGCATTTTTTTAAAGTAATGGAAATACCCTTTGGGAGGGCCAGATGCCTGATCCAGTTTCTTATTTGCAACACCCAATCCATAATCCCTCATAAAGCCAATGGCTAGAACAACATGTATTGCTGCAGCTCAGCTTGCTAAGTAACAAAGGTTTCCCACTTAAGTTTCCAATATTGTTAATGACAAAAGGGGCAAGAAAAAAACAGGGTGTCTGCAAAATGAACATTAATCTGCGCAAGCTTCTAAGCAATGTGCTCATGGAGAGGCGTGTGAAAGTGCTGATCTCTAGCTGGCAGCTAGTGACACCTTACTTGTTTCAAACTAAACCTTCTCCTTTTACTACTTGTGGACAGAATGGATTTTCCCGGCAGCACAGGAAACCAGCAGCGTCAGCTGGGGAAACCGGTGCCCCCAGCAGGATAGCCTTTCCACAATTATCAGATAAAATAAGGGTTTTGTGTGTATGTGTGTCCAGTTCTGAGTTTTACGTTTGCTCACCTGTGCTCTTGAGAGTGCAGTGGAAGTAGGAAGCAATTTCCTAGGATCAATATCTGTGGGTAGGGCAGGTGAGTGCATGGAACCTTCCCTTCTATCCCTGGTTGAAGACTGCAGCAACAATGGGAAGCAATTCCAGGTTGCTAGGTCATACCCAGGGGAACTGGAATCTAGCCAGAAATAATTTCCCCTCTCCTTTAGAGAAAATGTAAGGAATGAGTGCCAGTAAGCAGAATTTGATTTTCAAAGTGAGTGGTGATGTTCCTTGAGTCTGCACTCTCTGGTCTGAGCATGCTAATTCTCCTAAGTTGTGGTATTGATTGTGGTTCCTCAATGGAGAGGGCAAGCTCTCAAGTGTATTATTATTACCTCAAGCAATCCAGGGCTAAATTGGAATAGGCTTGCTATGTTGAATATGACATATTCTGAGTTTATTTCAGATATCTGACCACAGGTGGGATCTACCTATGGGAGTCAGTGCAGAGTGCCAGGGCACAACACCTAACTCTAGTAAGCAGGGATGGAAAGTCACAAATAGTACTTGCACCTCGTCGTAATGTGCCATTGAGTTTACTTGATTAGAAGCTTGCACAGTATTTCATATCAAATTGAAATGTCCAATCTTGTATCCAGATACAAAGCACATTTAATCAGGACCTATGAAGCAGAGTTAAACTGCAATAAATGAGTAGAAATTGCCAGGGGCTACAGTAGCTTCATTCGGTAGTTTTTTTAAAAAAATGTTCAAAATCAGAATATTTGGTAAAATTCACACCTGTACATCTGCAGAGATAGGCACAACCATCTCTTTCCCATTGACAATGATGGAATAAAAAGACCTGAATGGCCTATTTTAGCTCTGACACTGGACAACTTTATAATTGCATCACATGTAGCTAAGGAACTCTGTCCGGGCATCGGACAGAATCCACACCCCTCGATCCCTTTAACAGGATACCCTTACTGAGGAGGTGCAGACAGAGGCTCCAACCTCCCCTCCATCTAAACAAAGGCTTACCCAATGCCTAACCACCACCCAGGGTCGTGGGTTTTAGCCCCATGTTGGGTGAAAGATTCCTGCAGTTCAGGGGGTTCAAATAGTTGGTCCTTGTGGTCCCTTCCAACTCTACAATTACATGATTCCAAGGGACAGCCCTTATTATAGAGTGATTAGTATGTTTCCAAGAAAATTATAAGAAAGCCATTCTAATGAAAGAGAAGATGGTAGGAATGAGCAAACTGTTAACCACCAGTTCTTCAAATGTTTCCATCTGGTATGCGACAGCTAAAGAGTGGGATGCAGGATTTTACAAATGATAAAAGTTCCTATAGGAGCTTGCAATGTCAGTTTTGACCATGTTAACAACAATTTTGCATGGATTACTTAGTTCAAGTAGGCCCAGGCACCTGAATGACATCCATGGAAAGGTTAAGATAGTCTTCACATATAGGGGACAGACAAGTCAATGTCCAGCAGAGAAATTAAACTACTGAGAAGCATACATTGAAGGACATTCCCTATTTCAATTTTCCCCAAACTGCAGACTTATCCTTTACCCTTTCACAAGTTCAGGGGGGTCCAGAGAGAATTCAGTCCCTTCTTCACACAGGGGTGGAAACCACATGCAGCTTCTTCCTCCCTCCCTCCTTCCTTCGTCCCTTTCATTTTGCTGAGACAGAAGCTTAGTTCCCACTGAGGTGATAAAGTGGAGTTTGGGCTGTACTGCTGAATACTCTCTTGGGCAATTAGTTCCTAAGTAATTCCTAATTAGGTTCCTGGGTAATTAGGAAAAAGAGTTGTGGGAATCACAGGCTGCATTTCATTTAGTTTAACATTGTTCAAGTACTTTCTAGAGCTAGGAGATGCTGCACACTGATATTGCGTGTGACTGAAGGAAGACAGACACCCTTTCAGAGAAATGCAAAAGGGCAATAAAAAAGGAAACTTGCATGATAACTGAATCAATATTATACTATTTCCTCAATGTTCCTGAATGCTAAATTACAGGAATTACAATGAAAATTTCACCTCTGTTTACTTTCTAATCTCAGCAAACACTGTACCCATTTTGACCACTCCTCCTCACCTTCCATCTCCTCCCCTATGGTAGCATGAATAGCACCAATGGACATTATATAAAGGATGGCTATAGAGGGACCTCTGTCCTTCCCTCTTAGCCACCATGGGGCTAAGGCTTACCAGCCTTTTGACACTATGGCTGGCCATCTGCTATGCAACTGAAGTTAGAAAAGGTAAGACTTTTAAAGGAGATACTGTGGGATTGTCCAGTGGGGAAGCCTGGGGAACACTCACTGACTGGTGCAATGTGCAACAAGTAAAATATTTAAATTGCTTGGCAAATCAATAAGGTTTTTGAGTATATGAAAAGTAGTCTGTATGAGTGCTTTTGCTCTCTGCTTATAATATATAATATTCTGGATGATGTGAACTAATTTGCTGGCAGAGTTAAGGCATAGGTGATTCTGCCTCAGGGAATTTGTGGTAGGAGGGGAAAGATGTTGTACACTAGCCTATACCAGCCTGGTATCCTCCAGATGTTCTGGGGTTGAACTCCCATCACCTTCAGCCAGCACATCTGTGGAGGACCACAGGCTGGAGTAATTTTTGCCTTAGTTTATCTTGACAGCTCTTTCAGCACTATAATACTGATCTGCCATTATAGTTCATAGATCATACAGCAGAGAACTGTAGAAGGGACCCTGAGGTCCAATGCCCTGCAATGCAGGTAACTCAGCTTAGCATCCATGGCAGATGACCACTCAACCTTTGCTTAAAAGCCTCCAATGAAGGAGAGTCCACCACCTGAGGAGGTCTTTTGCTTTCATCTGTTAGTTAGACAATCAAGGCCCAGCTTCAGGTGCTCATCTGGGCTTTGCAACAGCAGATCCTTATGGATTCGAAGAATCCACAGGTTTTGCACAGAGAGAATAAATACCAAAGACCTGCAGATGGTGTAGAACTTTATTTGGAAATGGAAGCTAAATGGCCCCATCATTTATGGATATAAAGTTGAGTCAGCTAGCATATGTGGTAGAGGAACTTATTTTATTTTTAAATTAAAAGTAGGAGATTCTGTGTGACTGGCAGAACCTTTACTAGAAGTGCTTTGGCTGTTTTTCATTACCTAAGCTATCCTGATGGATAAATAAACGGTAACCAGAGAAATCATGTAATTGTTGCATTAGTGTGCAGCACTTCACCTGTGTCCCAAGGTGCCTATGTTTCACAGCTTTATGACAAAGATCTTGCTGTAGCAGCAAGCCCAGTAATATGTGTGTGCCTTTCTCAGAGCATAAGTGTACATATTGCTTGATATGTTGCATCGGTAACTATAAAAAATGAAATACCAACATTGCAGTAGAACGTTTAATCCTGGTTGTTGACCCCTTTCCCTCCAGAAGCTCTTTGGATTTTATGGCTTGTTTTTATTTAATTATGTGTCATTTTTCTGCTTTATTGTTCCATGATTGCACTCAGTGGTTGCTTTGTCCTCATTTTTCAGGAAGAACTTCTAGCCATGGCCACTATGTCTGCAGTACTTGGGGGAACAACCACTTCAAAACTTTTGACGGAGATTTCTACCAGTTTCCTGGTGTCTGTGAATACAACTTTGTGTCTGACTGCCGTGAATCTTACCAGGAGTTCTCTGTCCATATCCAGCGTGAACTGAATGAGCAAGGGCACCCTGACATTCAATATGTCCTTATCACAATTAAGGATGTTGCAATCTACCTCACTCACAAGATGGTGGTGGTGGATGGGCAAATGTAAGTTCTTCCCATATTATTATGCTTCTAAGGCTTCCAGTGTTTAGCCACAGTTCTTTCACTAAAAGCTCATAATATTAATTGTGACAACAACTTCCCGCCACTCAAAATAAACCTGAGGGAAATGCATTGTGTAGAAAGTCAGGGCATAGATCTTAAGGAGTACTGCCACTGAAATCTTGCCTTTTCAAAGGGAGCCTGCAGTTTTTCAGGTGAAACATCTGAGGAAATTTCAAGGAAGGAAAAAAAGGTGGTGTTTTTTAATAAGACCAAGTGACATTTCTACAACATCTCCAGAAGTGTCAAGGGAAGCCAAACTAGTTTTGATAGCTTTTCAGTGAGATTTTGCACATTACTTGAATTCAGCCTCCAACTCCCAATGACATAATTACTTACAAATTTTATTAGATGAGCAGGGGACCATTAAGATTGTGAGCAATTTCCCCAGCACTGCTGCTAATGTGCAGTATTTTACAGTCCGGTTTTGAAATGTAACTGAAAAGGCACAAACTGCCAGAGACAACCACCAGTAGGAATTATTATTTAAGCAAGGTACAAAAATGGAAAATCAATACTTATACTATGAATTTCATTTTATAATGCGCACAAACTTGACATCCAGGATTGTTAAAAAAACTGATTATTTTCATGGCTATCTCTGGCATCTTTCACCTCTTTAGTTATACTTCACATACAGTGATCTCCTTTAACAAAAAGACATCCAGAACAAGGCATTGACTGTTATGTTTCCTGGCTTCCCTAAGTCTCACTGTACACACTGACCACATGCCCAGTTACAGTGAAGGGCTACTACTACAATATGCCTGTCCCTATTTATGCTGGAGATGAAGGAGGAAGCTCAGAGAGACACAACAGCAGCTCTCCTAGCTATGTGAACACCATGTGAGAATGACACTTTTAGCCTGCTGGTGGGCTAGTTCAATTTGGCCTTTATGAACTTTCATTGTTTTTCCAAACCTATCATAGCTGAGATGGATCATGGTTTTTCTTCTTAAAGTAGTAATTTGTAGTCAGAAGGACATTCCACATCAGATTATTGTGTTTGAAATCCATGCCAAATGTTAGGTAATTGGCTTAAGGAAACATTATTCTTCCCCATAGTGAATGTTAATATTTTCCTTTTCCTGTAATGTGACCTGTCCCAATATTCTTAGGTTGACTAACATTTTACTCTGCAACAAAGGCTCTGAAATGAGTAAAACCACTTATGCAGTAATATCCTGCTTTGGAAATATAACTCTTGTGTAGCAAGAACTTAGTCTAAAGGGCACTTCAGTTAAAATCAAGAGGTGTGTTGGGGTGGAGGTGGTCAATCTATCAAGTATTGATTTCTGCATAATCCCATACATTGTAAAGGGAGTTTAGAGGCACACAAGCCCTGTCCCATATTAAGGGAATCGTCTACGTAATACTGCTACACCCGTCCCACCCTACTCTGGATACATACGACCTGTACAGACTGTGATCCACAAAGTCTACACCCGCACATAAGCTCACCAGACATTGGTAGGAGACGTCATGCCAGCAGAGTCAAGGACAAACCAAGGTCAGGCACAGGGAACCAATTTGACTTCAAAAATGATCCAAGGACAGCATCACCAGGGACCAGTAATACAGGAAACATAATTTAAGGTAGGGTAATTCACAGGGACTTTCTAGCTACTGGGAGTCTCAAGCAAATGGGTGATGTAACCTTAGCTTGTGGCATCTCAGGCCACATGGAAACCTAGCTAGAGGTGGTTAAGATTGTTCCAAGAGCCCTTTGTCTTGAGGAGTACCCATACTCATAAGGAAACTTTTACATTGGAGTCACATTGCAACTCTGGGCCTTCAGTTGCACACTTTGTCATTTACCCATCAGTGGAAAGGCCTGCGTCTCAGTAGCTAAACCTATGCTTTGCATGCAGAAAGTCCCAAATTCAATCCTCATTACCTGGAGGTAGGGCTTAGAGAGACTCCTGTCTGAAACCCTACAGAGCCACTGCCTGTCATTGTAAACAACACTGAGCTTGATAGACCCATTGTCTGACTTTGGACAGCTTCCTATGTTTCTAAGATCTTCAGCCAAGGCTTGAGTCTTTAGGAACCTGTATTAATAAGCACTAGTGACACTGTAAAAACTAAAGCACAGGATGACTAGGAAATTCCCAGTGGAAACATTTAAATAATAAATAAATAAAATATTTAAAATAAGCACCCTCTTAAACTGGCAAGTAAAATCCATTTTCTTAGATGAATGCTGAAACTTGAATGCAGAAACAGAGATAAACCTCACAGATTTTAACAGGCCATGAATAAGATTATGCTTATTTCTGTGTATTCGTGTTCATTTTAGATTGGAAGTTGGGGAGCATACTGGGATGGTATAGGGGCTGTAAAATAGATCTGAGAAATTCTGCAAAGGTGTGCTTTCTCATCTAATGCTGGAGCTGTTGCTTGCAATGGAATCTAATAAAAACTCTGTATGACTTTCTTTCCTATAGTGCAAGGACTCCGTACTATCATTCTGGTATTCTGATTGAGAAGAATGATATGTATACCAAACTCTATGCCAGAGTGGGCCTAGTTTTGATATGGAACAGAGAAGCTGCTTTGATGGTATGTTTGGCCTTCAGCTTCTATTTTGATACTTTGGTATAGGTTTTATGGTTCATGCCCAGCTCACTCAAGTGACCTATTTCTGCCCTATGTCCCTGTCTTGTGATTAAGAGCACCCAACAGAACCTTCTCGACTGCAAGGGAAAGTAGAGAACCATTCTTGGTGGCTGCTCTACAATTCCATGCTAGTCCTGCTTAGATTAAGCCCATTGACGTTAATGGACATGACTAACTTAGGTTCATTAATGTGAGTAGGGCTTAGTTGAATACAATCCTCTGGGAAGAATTCAGTGTAGCACTAAGAAGATCATTCTGTCGGTGCAAGCAGTTCAGTTTACTAGACAGAATGATCTCCCGATGCTCTGTTGTGGATTTTTCCTCCAACCCCTGCAAGCCAATTTGGGGAGGCATGGCAGTGAGTGGGCTAGGAGAGGAGCCAAAAGCCCTATTCTGCTAGCAGAAGTCCTTCCACTGGCTTCCAGTAGCAGAACTCATTAGTTGAACCTGGCCCTTCCTTTTTGGCCTCTTTTTTTCTAAAGCAGTTGTCTTGCTTGTCACCTTAGAATCCCAAATCAAACTCCTGGCAACTCTGGTTAAAGGATCTCCTGTGGCAGGAAAGGAAAAATCATATGCTTGAGACACTGGACCACCAATGTCAGTCAGAGCAGCCATACTGGGCTCAGTATCCCAATGGTCTGACTCAGCATAAGGCAGCTTTACATATTTATTTGCTACAATAGCTGATATGTTCCTTCGGGTTTTCCTTTTTCAATTTAGATTGAACTGGACACCAAGTTTAACAACGGTACTTGTGGTCTTTGTGGGGATTACAATGGCCAGCAGGTTTACAATGAATTTCTCTCCAATGGTAAGTTGGACAACATTATAGAGAAATGTTTATTATTATGAGTTACATAATATGAGGAGTTTAAATGCACAGGTGAGAACAAAGCAATGGTTTCTTTGCTGGGTGGTTAGAAAAGTACAGAGAGATTAAAATGCATACTATTTCTAAAAGCTTGGTCCACAAATGTGGAATGAATTCTGTGGGTGTCATCCAACTATGTTATACTCACTGAAATCAAGGAAATTATGTAACATGTTCATTTATTTCAGAAGGTCTGCTCTGCCTATGATTGATGTTGGTTGGACATCACCCTAAATTAACAAAAGCAGATTTGGAGATGGTCCAAAACACTATTTAACCTGGTGTTTGTTTGTCAGATCAGGGTGGCTTAAGAGCAGCATATTCTCCTAGGAAACATGTGAATGTTTAAATGATTGATGGAGTTCACTGTACAGATTGTGAAAACACAACACCTTTCTATAAATCCAAATTTAAGCCCAGAAATTCATGAATTCTGCTATAAGCATAGGTTTAAAATGTAGAAAACATTCAAAATGTAGCGTGTTTCAATTATTCTTTGAATGTATGAGCAAAAAAGTGTTTAATTTAAAACTTTAATGGGTATAAGTATGAGCAGTACCATCTGGTGTGAAATTATGCCTCTAAGCTCTGGTTGTGACACTGAGAGGAAAACAAAGATGCTGTTTGTTCTGGTTAATGGAAATAATAGAACATGCTGCTCACTCTATCTCACAGGTCTGAGCTATAATCCAATCACATTTGGAAACCTACAGAAGATTAATAAACCCAACACAGTATGTGAAGACCCTGATGAGACACAACCTATTGAATCTTGCAACCGACATGTAAGTCTTGAAAACTGTGTTAAACGGTACATACCAGGAATAGAGATACCCGTCTCTGTTAGAGAAATAGCAAGTGTGTACTAAGGTGTGCAATCACTTTATGATGCTCCCAGTTCTTGCTCTGAATCATAAGATAGAGGAAAGAAGAATAAGAATGGATTATCCTGTACAAACATAGACTATTGTGAAAAGCCTGGACCTTCTTCCTTGTGTTATGTAGCGCCACTTTGGAAACTGAGCTTGGGAGGCCTGTTAAACCGTACTTTCCTCTATTTCTAGCGTGAGGAGTGTGAGAAGCTGCTGACTGCTCCGGCTTTTGCTGATTGTCAGTCCCGCCTGAATCTGGAACAGTATATCCAAGCCTGCATGCAGGACAGATGTGCTTGCCAGCATACAGAGGACTCCTTCTGCCTTTGCAGCACCATCTCAGAGTTTTCCCGCCAGTGTTCCCACGCTGGTGGCAATCCTCAGAACTGGAGGACATCACAACTGTGTCGTAAGTGATTAACTGGGTTCATCTAAGATGCAGCCAGGAGCATTTAACAGGGGAGGGTGAAATCTCTCTTTAAATTCATGTAACTTAGAATGGTCTTGAAAGGTCCCCATCCTTAAGGTTAATTTCCAAACAGCAGTCTTGGGTTCCAATCCTGTTTTCTCATAGTAGCCAAGGAAAGCTTTCCCACTGATTTTGGTGGAAAGAGTTTCTGAATAATTGTTTTCATGCTGGAGAGGCAAGAAGAACAGAGAACAAGAAACTTAGGAAATTGTGTATTTAAATCCAACTGAAACTAATTAGGATTATGGTTTTAGCTGCCTGGATTCTTTCTTTTGATTGAACTCTAATTTCATGTCAATGTATGCATATAGTCAGTGCTATTTCTTTCATTATTTTAGCTAAGTCATGTCCTGGAAACATGATCTACCTGGAAAGTGGCTCACCCTGTATGGACACCTGTTCACACATGGGGATCAGCAAACTGTGTGAAGAACACTACATGGATGGCTGTTTTTGCCCTGAAGGTAACAATTTATGTGTGGCCTAGTGGATACAACAATGGGCTTAGAAATGGGAAACCCAAGTTCAGATGTACAGCCTTGGATTGTCATGAACTATGAACATCTTTTTGTTTTGTTTTGCAGGCACAGTATATGATGATATCACTGGGAAAGGCTGTGTGGCCACGAGCCAGTGTTACTGCAAACTTCGTGGGAAATTATTTTCCCCTGGTAAAAACATCACCAATGACTGTGAAAGCTGGTAAGCCTGCCTGTGCCCTCTGAGAGTAATTATAGCTTTTTATTTCAGAGTTGTCACTTAAAGGATTCTTGTAGGGATGTGAATGTCTGGGCAAACACCTTGTACCGTCACAGGCTTTCATATCTAATACACAGTATCATTTTATGCTAAAACATAGATGACTTGTTTTAGCAAGCCCCGGTGAAAAATTGCCCAGCATTACCAATTATGTACCCATCTGATATTGTTATAGATCCTAAATCTCTAATTGTAAAAACATATTTCAGCAGCAGCAGCAGCAGTAACAACAACAACATTCTTGGGGTAGAGAAAAGGGGATTGCTGCTGCCACTTTGCAATGTATCATCAGCATCTTTATGGTTTGCTGAATCTGGAATGTTTTGAAAAAGAAGAGGTTATAAGATCCAAAAGTGTTATGGACTCATTTCCAAATTGACCTGCTGTAATGGCTCCACTGCTGTGGTGCAGGTACTTCTAGTATAATTTCTGTATGTCCAGACCCCACTTTTGATTTCTTGTCTGTCTTCACAGCACCTGCCAATCAGGGAGATGGATATGCCAGGATTTACCCTGTCCCAGTAAATGTGCAGTGGAGGGAGGGTCCCACATTACTACCTTTGATGGAAAGAAGTACACCTTCCATGGTGACTGCTACTATGTGCTGAGCAAGGTACGTGCACCAGACTCTTCTACTCTGGTTGAAGGAATTATGCCACAGTGGGGTAGGGTAACCTTCCTATAGAGTGCAGGTGAATGAGAAAGGGCTAGCCCTCCTGCCTTGGATGCAGTGTGTTTGTAGGTGGCCACACCTGCTTTTGTCTGGTTTACACGGCCTTGGCTGAAAATCATTTCCCACTCTTGCCTGTGTCTTTGTATTGCAATACAGCTGAATCTAAGATAGGGCTAAAATGGGGGTTGGGAATGCAAAAAAGGAATTGGAAAGGAATGGGGAATGGCAATTTGAGGTTAGATGACAAATATTTCCCAGAAGGAGGGCTTATAACCTCCCTGAAAGAAAAAGGGGAAAGGAAAAGAAAGAGAAAGGCCTGTGACCTGGAATGTGACATCCTTAAGGTCAATGATTTATTGCACTTTTTGTCTGAACGAGTAATTTCAGCCTATCTGTGAAAGGAATCATTTCATATCAGCAAAAGTTGACCACTTTGATTGTATTTGTTCTTCTGTAATTGCAGAGCATACAGAATGACTCACATGCCCTCTTGGGAGAACTAGGCCCATGCGGTTCTACTGACAAGCAGACATGCCTAAAGACGGTGGTTCTGTTAATAGACGAGAAGAAAAACGTAAGTTTAGGGTAATGATGGTATGGCTCTGTGCTAGTTCACCAAGAATATGATACCAAATGAAGGTTTTCTTCATAATTCAAAGATCTAGCCAGTCAACAATATTCTAAGATTCCCAACCCTCCCCTTCCATTGACATCTTATTCTATTTGTATTCTGTTCATACTTCTTGCTGAGCTTCATGGGGTCTGTGTGTGGAATTATGTACATGATGGGGGGGATTATGTAATATGTAATTTTACCACTCCAAGAGGTTCTGGTTCACATTTAAACTTCTGAACATTGATCCATGTGTCTGAATTACATTGAACAATAAACCAAACATAGAAATCCTCATTTCATTTTTTATATTTTATATACTTTGCTTATCTCGTTTGTGTTTTTACATCCTCTTTAAATCCATGCCCACATTTCCATGACTTTCAGGTTCTATTTATTTTGTCATATCTTCCTTTTACATATTTCATACTTAATATGTTTGTAAAATATACCCTATAAACATTTTAAAAGCTACCATTGGCCAAAAATCCTTGCCAAAGATTTGATAAGAGATTTTTCAGCATTATTTCCTCATAGAATCATAGAGTTGGAATAGACCACAAGGGCCATCGAGTCCAACCCCCTGCCAAGCAGGAAACAGAACTCATGTCACAGTTCTGCGCTGTACACTCATGACTACTTAGCTGCCAATTGCCAAAGAGTATGCAGACTTTACAGCAGGGATGGGTGCTACCTGTGACCCACCAAATGTCAACGGACTCCTGTTCTCAGTGGCAAAGGATGATGGGAGCTGCAGTCCAGGAACATTTGGAGAGCCACAGGTTCCCTGCCCCCTGCTCTGCAGATTTAATCTGATCCTGTTTAGCTTTCTTCAGTTTAGGAAGCCATTGAATGTGTAATTCTATGAAATACTTCTTAGCAAATAAGTTCCGGCATCTGAAAATGGAAAGAGATTGTCTGGAGTCACTGACCCCCAGCCCCAGCCTCAAGACACACACAAGGGTGTGTGATCCAAGCAAACTCCAAAAGGGTTCCTTTCTCCACCAGGTCCCAAAACCATAAGTAGCTGGCATCTGCCCTCCAAACCTGATTTGTCAATCTGGTCAGCTGGAAAATAAATAAGAACCTACTTTGTTTCTAAGCAACTGGCTGTGGCTACATTAAGAACCCAGGGAGGGTTATGGGCACTGAGATAATTCAGAATTGGTAAGGAGTGGATGCCGGGCTTACAAATCTCTCCCTGGCCCTGGTTTGTGAACATGGTATGCATCCAAATGCCCACTATGATCTGCCTGCTTCCTGCCAGAGCTGGATGCAACCCCCCTCCCCATGATCTACTTTGGGGGAAGAGTGAAGTAGGCTGAGGCACATTGCCTGACTGAGTACCCAGGTGCAGGATTGCAGCCACTGTGCAGCTGCAAACTGGCAAAAACTGAAAATGTATGAATACAAATACAATCACTTTTAAAATTGGAGATTTTAATACCGTACTTTCTTGAAAGAACAAAGCTGAAAACAACATAATTAGGAACTGCTGATAAAAGAAAACAATGCTTTGATTCTTCTTATCTAATTTATGGATGATTTGGAAATGTGACGGTTAATAAGCAACCAGAATAATCTAAGTCAGATAAATTCCATCATAATTAATCCATATATTCTGGAAGTTATAGTATGTTTTGCAACGTTCCCTCAGAGGTTCATGCCTATGGAAACTGCCTTCCAGTCCAAGAAATGAGTGTTTTGTGGTGCAAGGTGCTCTCCAATAGGGATTTGCACAACATTGTGCATAAGTGTGTATGAAGGGGCATTCATGTGTGTGTGTGCACATCCATTGCTTAGTTCTTTGGGTTGCTTAAGCTCTTAACCAACTTCCTGTTGTCAGATATAAGAAAACTGTCAATGTTCAAAATTTCCAGGGTGGGTTCCTTCTGGGCATTACAATCGTTATTATTAATGTTCATTTAACATGACCCCCAGGTCCCTTCCAACTCTAAAATGATATGATTCTATTACATTCCTCACCCTTTAAGACCCTGAGGTCACACTAACGTAGGCTGTTTCTCTCTTCACACAGGTTGTAGTTTTCAGATCAGATGGTACCGTATTACTGAATGAAATAGAAATTCATTTGCCTCATGTAACAGGTGAGGAAAGGAACCCTCAACTTCCACCCCACCCCACCCCACCCACGGCCTAAATTGATGGTTCCACAAATCCTTAGATGTTATGGAGCATGATTAAATGAAATGCAAAATAAAATATGCTGGAAAGGAGGGTGAGAAAATGTACTCCTTGGTTTATTTGGCAGGGAATGATCCAAATGATTGCTTGTCCTTGTCTGGGGACTCTTCCCTGTCCCTTCCCTTTTTCATATCTGCCCCCTTCCCTCCCACTTTCCTCTTCTCCTCATTGAGAAACCATTCTAGGCCAACACCTAACCTTTCTTGCTCTCCTGGCTGGTTATTCAGCCAATGGCAATGTTCTTCATAACAGCAAAGGTATCTGATATGGGAATCTGGTATAATACACAACGGATACTGGTTTTGCCCCTCTGATTTGATGAGTGCATTACAATAAGCAGGTGACAACTTGGCCTTCCTTTTGTTTTTCAGCCAGCTTCACAGTTTTCCAGCCATCTTCAAACTACATTATTGTGCAGGCGACCTTAGGCCTCAGGCTGGAGATCCAGCTGGTTCCAGTTATGCAGCTCTTTGTCATTGTGGACCAGACTGCCCAGGCAACTCTCCAAGGCAAGTGTGAACTGCAGGGAAGAGGATTCCGCCAATAGTAACACTAACAAGGGGGTGTTTTTTTTAAAAATTAAAGATACATGGGGTCAAATACCTACCTGCAAAAAACAACAACTTGTTTAGTCACTTTTTTATTTATTAAGACATTTTTATCTCCACAAATTGTCTCAAGGCAATAAATTGTAAATCATGACACACACACAATATATTATATGCTAGACTAATTCCGCAGGCATGCTATTTGAACTAAAAAGAGCTGGGGCGGAGAACAGCACAGTTGTCAAAAGGCATTCAATTTTGCTGGGGTATATATACACATATGCACAATGTTCATGCTGATTGGAAGTGATGTGCTTATTGGATGTGTGGAAATTTATCACTAGAGAATCTTAGTAAATTGCTCACTATTCCCATTTTACAAAAAAGAAAGGCACGCCTTTAAAGAAACTCACAGCCAACATCTGTTGCTTTTATCAATAGGTCTTTGTGGGAATTACAACGGAATAGAAGGAGATGACTTCAAAACATCAAGTGGATTAATAGAAGCAACAGGGGCTTCCTTTGCTAACACGTGGAAAGCACAAGCCAGCTGCAGTGATATGTTGGATAACTGGGACCACCCTTGTACTCTTAGCGTTGAGAATGGTAAGGATGGGTGGTTTTCATAAATAAATAACAGATTTCAATATATGTGTGCCATCTATATCCAATTTTCAGGTCAAATATTGAATCTGAAGGCGGGCCAATTTTCTTTATTACTTGGGAGAGCAAGTTGTGATGTATAAATCTGTGCTAGGTCCGAGGCTTTGAATACACTGTAAGTTTCATGTCACTGTCTCAAAAGAAAAAGTTTCTAAAGAAATAGGATACAACGCTGCTAGAGATGAAGAAGAAATGCTTCATTTTATCTATTGTAGTTGTGAAAATGGAAGCCTGCTTACAGTTTCCATCCATAGTATTACTTCTGTTTATGTTTACTGTGCTTTATATTCTTTTGAAGACAAAACTGTTGAGCATGTACAGTCCTCAGGCGATTTTGTTGCCCGGTTATGTGCCCAGTTATTTGCCATTAAATGACAGAGAAGCTGCATAGTGTTCAAACATCCAGACACATACAGTATTCATTTTGTTTTGCTGTATTGTACTGCATAGTTATTTGAATTCTAGCATATGGCTATAGGCATTACATAGAAATACATGAAGTGAATGGTTTATAATAACATTTTATTTCTCTCCAGAAAAGTATGCTGAACATTGGTGCTCTTTGTTGAAAAGTACAGAAACTCCTTTTGCCAGATGTCACTCAGTCATTGATCCAACAGATTATTATAAGGTATGGATTTTCAAATTATTCTGAGTCTTTATTCACGCAGCTTGGTGTTTTGTTACATGGAGTTGTTCACTTTCAGGTATTATGGTAAACTGAAAAGAGTAGTGGTAAAGCAAGTTCTGCAGCTTTCTTCCCAGTTGCTTTTCATAGGGCTTGAGGGTTAGATTACTGACAATGGATTACCCAGTTTCAAACCCAGCCAAATTTCTAGCCCTTTCGGTTGGAATACAGGAACTAAAGCAAACCCATTGTTGTGAAAAGAGCCAAATAATAGTTATCCAGAAGAGAGTCATGAGCCAGAGGGCTCTTTTAGCTACACCCAAGATTTTAGAAAAATTCTCTAGCTTTTTTAAATAAAAAACAAAAACAAAATAGCAACAGCATGAGAAACTGATTTGAAAAATTACATCAGTAAAAAACACACAGCTTGCTATGGGAAGTTCATGCAGTTCAAGAAGTGCCAGCACAAAGTCTCCTTGGGTATGTGGAACTAGTTCTAGCTTTTGGGGGATCCTGGTCAGAGGAGATCCCAGATTCCCCAAATAGTTCTAACCCTGATGACAGGCAACATAGGTGGAGGTGAGCCAGTCTGCTTTTAGGTCGGGGTCGAGAACCTTATGCTCAGATGCCCAATGTGGCCCCCAGGCCTCCTTTCTGGCCCTTGTAACTCTCTTCAGGCCACATACCATGACTGACCCTGCTTCCATGTTGTTACCTGGCCAGAATGTGTCCTTGAAATCTGACAATGCCTCTTGTTTGTCTGGTGTTGTCTGGTACAGAGAAGGGTATGCATGTAGAAATGTACAAAGGGGAAATTTACATTAGTTGCTCCACCCACTTTTGGCTTTGCCCTGCCTACCACTGACATGTGACCCCCTGAAAGCACGCTGAAAAAAGACTGTGGCCCCTGGGCTGAGAATGATTCACTGCCTGTTTTAAGTGGATCACCTTGCTGTGGGGGAAACAGCAAAATAATAGGAGAAGTTCACTCTAGCATGTGAGAAAGCAATCTTGAAAAAAACTACTAACATTTTTAAATGGAAGAGGAACAAATGGCATTGCTAAGGAAAAGCTCTCAATTTATCATTTTACTTTCATTTTAACTGTGGAACAGGGTACCATTGTGTAGCATTGCTACTGTTGAGGACTAGCTCTTCATTCATCTTCCTACACATGTACTTGAATGTTTACTGGCTTTCCCCCCCTCCCCTTGCCCAGCGCTGCAAATATGATACCTGCAATTGTAATGCCAACGAAGAATGTATGTGTGCTGCCCTATCATCATACGCAAGAGCCTGTGCCTCCAAAGGGGTCATGTTATGGGGCTGGAGAAAGAATGTTTGCAGTAAGTGTCTATATCCCCACCATTGCCTTGAACAAAATGGAGCAAACCTTTTGAATAATTGTGTACTAATTGTAATGTTTTGAGACTAGAATGTAGTTAATAACAACAAACGTAGCATACCCCATTCATCAAAATATATGGTTTTTGTAAGATGCAAAATGTTTTGTTGAAGTTGAAGGGAAGCACCCATGTATGTTGTTTACATTGACACAGTAATACTTGTGGACGGATACAATCAATGTAGAAGTACTGGACAATTCCATTTGGGATACTGGTGTGCCTGCAGTATGACTTAATGAGGCAATGCTAAGTCATTTATTACTTCCTGCCATTTAATCTTTCAGCTAGACCAGGAATAGGGGCCAAATGCAGCCCTCTCTGCCTGGCCCTCACAACTCTCCCCATACCACACTCTCCTCCTTGCTCTGTTTTGCATATTTATTGAGAGTTTTTGTGTGACTGCGATGTATCCTTAATAATGCTTTTTTGCTTGCCTGAATGGAGGATGGAGGGTAGAGAAGGGTGTGTGTACAAGCTATTGTACAAAGAAAACATTTGCATTTGTTGGTCCACCCACTTTTACCTCTGGCGCTGCCTACCACTGGCCCCCAGAAGGTTGTACGGAAGGTCATGTGGCCTTTGAGATGAAAAAGGTTCTCCATCTGTGAGCTAGATCAGTGTTTCCCAACCTTTTTTGGGCAAAGGCACACTTGTTTCATGAAAAAAATCTCGAGGCACACCACCATGCCAGATGGGGAAAGGTCACTTTTTACTTATGTAAAAAATAAAATAAAAAAATAGTAACAGCATAGAAGGTAATGGTTATCTCTTTGATGTCTGATGGGAGGGCATTCCACAGGGCGGGCGCCACTACCGAGAAGGCCCTCTGCCTGGTTCCCTGTAACCTCACTTTTCACAGTGAGGGAATTGCCAGAAGGCCCTTGGCACTGGATCTCAGTGTCTGGGCTGAACGATGGTGGCGGAGACGCTACTTCAGGTATACTGGACCGAAACCGCTTAGGGCTTTAAAGGTCAGCACCAACACTTTGAATTGTGCTCGGAAAGGTACTGGGAGCCAATGTAGGTCTTTCAAGACTGTTGTTACGTGGTCTCGGCGGCAGGTAGCAGCGCTCACAGCTTACGGACTGCACCGTGTAACAGGTGTCTGGCCCAGCAGCCTAAGGCGGACAAGCCACTGAAACAGGCATTCAGAATCCATTCATTTCATAAAACCTGCAGGGCTCAATCTCTGTGTTTGTGTATGTGTGTGTTTCTGTTTTGCCCAAGGGTCTGGGGGTGGGAGAGAGCTCTTTAGCATGATGCTTTTAAAACAATTAAATTATCAACAAACAAACCTGATGATACGAATAGCAACGTCAGGTGCTACCGGGGGGGGGGGGGGGAGAAGGGGGCCTACTCGGAAGTAAATACTGCGTCCAGGCGCAATTAGCGCTGATTTAAGGTGCACCAAGACTGCCTAAAAACCTCACCAAAGATATGCAACAAAGCGCTTCGTTGCAGAGGGGAGAGTTTGTGCACCGTGGAGGCTGGAGGGCTTCTATTCTACATGCGGGGGTTGGGGGGGCGAGGAAAATGTGCTCCGTGGGGGGGCGGGGAAGGCAAGAAAAGGAGCTGAGCTCTAACTATAGGCTCCCACGCTTGAGCAGGCCCGACTCGGTGGGGCGGACCACCCTCTCTCCTGGAGGAGGAGGAGGAAGAGGAGGAGGAGATTCCCATCCACGGCGTGGCCTCCCGCGCTCCTGAACGGGAAATCTCTGCAGCCCAAGACTCTCCGCGAGGCAGCTCCTCCCTTCCTGCCTTGAGCCGCCGCCAGCCGCGCCCCCCTCCCCAGTTATCTGCTGCCTGCCAAGCCCCGCCCCTCTTCATTGTCCTCCCCTTCTGTTTATTCCCCTTCCTCCATCCCTTGCTTTTTCCCCTCTCTTTCCTTTTTTTAAAAAAATATTTTCTCTTCCCCTTCTTTTTTTCCACCCTTTCTTTTTTCTCTTTCTCCCCCCCCCTCCCTGCCCTCCTGGGTTAAAGGATTTGAGCAATGGGTCTGGAGGTGGAGCTCGTCGGAGGATTAGCCCGATTCGCCCGCCTCCCTCCCACGGCACACTAGGCAACGTCCGGCGGCACACTAGTGTGCCGCGGAACACCGGTTGGGAAACACTGAGCTAGATGGAGCTTTCCCCTCTCATTGTCTTAATTGCTACCTCATAAGTGCTTAGTTTCACCCAAGCATGACAACATTTCTTCATAGGGATCTTAACAGAAGTAGAATTCAGACAGCATGCACTGAATGGCTTAGGAATGGTGAGCAGGAATATATTTAGGAATGGTGAGCAGAATATATTCTATCCACTCTGACTTTTTGTCACTTTCTCCTCTTCATTCAGACAAAGAAGAATCCTCTTGCCAAGCCAGCCAAGTCTTCCGTTACAATCTGACTTGCCAGCAAACTTGCCGCTCTCTTTCTGATGGTCATAAGTACTGCTTGGAAGGCTTTACTCCAGTAGATGGCTGTGGCTGCCCTGATAATTCCTATATGGATGACAGTGGCAAATGTGTGCCAATTGCTCAGTGCCCGTGCTATTACAAGGGTGTGCCCATAAATCCCGGCTATGTTATAATGAAACAGGATGAGCGCTGGTATGTTAACACAACAGTTTGTGGTCTTTCTCATTAGGTGGGAAGCTCAACGTTCAGTACCAGGAACTGCTCTCTTTTAGTTGCAATCCTACAATGTTTGCAGGTGGAATGGGATGGGGAATCTTGGGATTATGTTGGCTGTGTATGAGCATTCTCTTCATTAACCATAAGACAATTTAGAGGTTTGTGATAATAATTCAGAAGAGGATCTCCCTTCCAAATCAAAATGAGAAATACAAGCATCAGAATGCATTGTGGAGTGATTAGTTTTTAAGAAACTTTAGACATCTATGTTGTTCACCAGGCATAGTGTTCAAAGGACAAAGAGGTGCTGAAATATTGCACTGTGAATTCTTGAGATTACTTGAGAAGTCAGCAATATAAGTGTACACAACACCTGCCCCCCCAGTATTTAATGCGTAATCCAAAGTTTCCTCCATATTCCCCTCGAAACTATATGTCTCAGCTTAGACATATCTTGTCAAATCTTATTAAGAAACTGACATTTTGTCTTTGGCACTTGCTCTTACTTTGTTTTATGCATTGTCAGTAGGGCACCCTTGGTGTTCAAGTAATGTTTAGCAGAAATGGTACTCTTAAATTTTTGCAGCAGATCTTTAGTTTTTGTTAGTAGCATTGTATAAATTGGGAATCACTTATGAGCTCAAATATCTGGCTTACCATTTTTTTCCCTGTTGTGTATTCCATTCTAGCGTTTGCAGACATGGAAGATTTCATTGTGTGCCAGTGGACGTAACCCCTGAACGTAGGTGTACAATTTCATGTTACATTATGACTTTTTCCAGTTTGAGTTGTCGTCTGTATGATTTTGAAGTTGTTCTTAAGAATATGAGCCATTTTTTGTGAAAAGAATTAATAAAAATGCAATTAATAATTATATTTTTTCAAGCTGACATGATATAGTTTGCTTCCTCCTAAAATGTATCAGAATTTCCCCTCTAAATCCACATATTTATATAGTTTTCATAGACATATCCTCAGCCTTTGATTTGTTTAAATTGCTTTGTTTAAGTTGCTCGACGTAAAGTATTGATAAGAGACTACTGATTTTAATTAAAAACCTTTATTTATAGATATGCTTCCTAGTTCAATGGGTACAAAACAGGGATGTCTGTTGGCGCCCTTTTTGTTTAATTTTATATATAAAAATAAAAAAGATTATATACAGCTCTTGTTGATTATCAAAATGGATCCAAGATAATATTGTCAGTGTTCTATATTTTATTTTACAGACTGCTCACCCAACATGACATATTTTGACTGCAACAACTTTGACAGTTGGTCTTCCCAAACACCAGTACATCTTAGCTGCCAAACACTGGGAAATGATCAGGTACACTTTCATTGTATTTTGACGACACCCTAATGTCTTCATTCTCTTGTTCCTCAAGTGATGTAATTAACAAAGAAGCTGTACTCTAGGCGTCTTTAGGAAATCTCCTTGAGACTGTGGGGCATTTCCTAGCAAAAGGACTGCAACTTGGAGAAGCAAATACCTGCACATTTCTATCACCAGTTTGCCTTCATTGGTTCTGATTGTTTTTAACTTTATTAACATTTTCATTTCATTTAAATAATTTCCACCTTTCATTTAAAATAAATAAATAAATGCTATATTGGTATCCAACAATAGAAATCCCTCTGCCACCAACCAATGGGGGCAACTATATTTTCCTCTGAAAATAATTTCCCCAGCAAATTATGCTATTTTTTCGCAGTGTAACATCTCTCCTAAGTGCTCTCTATTCCAGGGAGTTGACCACACTGCTGAAAGCAACCAAGTCATGGTTTGAAGTGGTAGCAAGGGTTTTGTTTGTTTGCTTTTTGTCAAAAGAAAAAGGAAAAAAAAAAACATTGACAGTCTTGTATTTGAAGGATAAGACCACCTTCTGGAAAAATTATTAAAGTAACCCAAATCTAAAAGTCTCCAAAAGTGCCTTTGTTTTGTAGACTTTATTTTAAACACACCCAAGTTTCTGAACAAATTAAATTGAGTCTTTATCTTACCTTGCAAATAGAAATTTAGTAAACTTTGAATGGTAATCCCGAGTCCAATTTGGCTTTATGAACTTATCAAATGCAAGGCCCGTGAATTCTGATTGACCTTATCATAAAATGTGAACACAATGTTCTTCTTGCTCCTCACAGTTCCAGACAGAGTGTGTTTCAGGATGTGTGTGCCTTGATGGACTGATAGATGATGGCAGAGGGAATTGTGTCCAGGAACAGGACTGCCCATGCATTCATAACAAAGTTTTTTACTCCCCCGGAGAAACAGTAAATGTGGACTGCAACACATGGTAGGATCTTTTTCACTGTCACTTATTGTAGTCATAGCAATGTATGGATATACTACTATGCAAACAGAGTGTACGTGGTGGACTGCATGTTTTCTCAGCTACATCATTTACCCAGTACTTCAAAAGCAATGCTCGGACACAGAGACTAAGCCTTACACAATTTCTTTAATTGTTTTGGTACTCTCCAGTACTTGTCAAAGAGGAAGCTGGAAGTGCACCACCAATTCATGCTTTGGGACATGTACCATTTATGGGAGTGGCCATTACATCACGTTTGATGGAAAATTCTATGACTTTGATGGCAACTGTGAATATGTGGCTACTCAGGTAATGTTCAGCTACACTCATGCAATTTTATACTGTTTTGAATTTTGTGTGTGTGTGTGTGTGTGTGTGTGTATCTCCTATCTGTTTGGCTTCCCAGGCATCCCTCAACATCTCATCTTGTGAAATTTTCTTACTTGGTGGAGTAATCAATGGTTCTGTTAAGATCATTTCAAATGGTAGTATCTAACAAGGTGGTTCTATTAGCTCTAGGACTTCTGGTTATGCAATAGAACTACCCCCTTCATCTCTGCTCCACACCCCCAAAAAAATCAATTCTGGGTTTTCCCCCAACCCTCTGGAGAAGATTTGATGATGTTCAATTGTGCATATGGAAACCCAATTGTATGGGTGTCTCCAGGCTGCTTAATATGTGCTGAAATAGTTTACACTCATCCAAACAGAATTTGCTAGTTTTTAAGCCTTGTTTTCTCCAGTTCATTCGGTTGTTGCGTTTTGCAAATGTGTTGAGGAATTAAGTGCCCTCTGAACCACAGAGGACTGTTAAATTTGAAAATATATTAAGTTTGCTACCAATACAAATATGCAGTGCAGCTTTAGCAGCTTTTTAAAACACAAGAGAAAATCGAAGTATCCTGATTTTGGTTTTTCTTAGTTTTGTTCATCTTTCCCTCTCGCACCTTCATTAGGATTACTGTGGAAACAGCGATTTGGAGGGAACATTTAGCGTCATCACAGAGAATGTCCCATGTGGAACCACTGGAGTCACCTGTTCCAAGGCCATTAAAGTTTTCCTTGGGGTATGTATGAACATTGATGAGAACAAGCCTGAAAGCGCTTGGTCTGCGCCTGCAAATAATCGAATCAGGTTGCTGTGGGGAGGTGCAGGCAATTTGTTGAGTTCTTAGTCAAATGAGACTCCTTACCTTTGAGAACTGGTGTCATGATATCCAGTTTAAAAGAGCCAGACTGACTCTAGGGGAGCTGAGGGTATCAGGTTAACATGCTAATGTCTGTTTTTGTTATGGGGCTTCTGTTACACATCTGTCTTTTTAGAGCACTGAAATAAAGTTGGAAGATAAACAAATAGAAACAATTGAGATGAATACTACTAGCTCTGTGACTTACTGGATTCGTGAGCCAGTCGGGCTGTACATTATAATAGAAACCAGCAATGGTGTTATTCTCATCTGGGACAGGAAGACTACTATTTTCATCAAGCTGGCACCCTATCTTAAAGTGAGTAATTCTTGAACATATTCCTTTAATGCCATGGAAAATTTGTTATTAACAGATAAATGCAACAAAAAAGATGTTTTATTGCTTGTGGTAGCATGTGTGCCTTACTGCATCATTAATAGAATGGGGCGCGAGAGACACAGGGGCCCCAACTGTGGCATCACACAAGGCGCCACTGGAATTTGAGACCCCAAGGTCTGGCATTGCTCCCACCAACTCAACAGTATCAATAATTAGTAATGCTAAAACATATGGCAAAACAATCCAAGCAATATACATCACAATAAAATTCCTGCTAACATTAAGCCATTGCAAATCTTTTCCAATCCTAAGGTATTGACCTTTCCTCTCCCTAGGGAAAAGTCTGTGGCTTATGCGGCAATTTTGATGGCAAGGCCAGTAATGACTTCACTGCAAGGGACATGGTCCAAGAAAATAATGCACTGATATTTGGAAATTCATGGAAAAAGGATACTGCATGCCCTGATGTTGATGTAGACCCTGAGCCCTGTGAAAAGAAACCTCATCGCAAATCCTGGGCAGAGAAAGAATGCAGCCTCATCAAAAGTGTTGTGTTTGAAGAATGTCATTCAAAAGTTAGTATTGTTGCGTCATCACTTAGACAAGCTGGGCTATACTAGTCTCGGGGGAAAGAACAAGCTATTGCCATATGTGAGCATATGGAGAATAAAAATAAAAAGATCTTTAAGCAGTTTACATAAAATACCTAGCAAACCATGGGGGATCGTCAGTAGTGCAATTGATTTTAAAGCTCTTGACATACAACAGATGAATCTATAATATCCTGCAGACAATTTCTAACTTAGTAGCACCCATTCCATTCCAAACTGGATAGTGGAGTGGTTTTCAACTTTAACTGTAAAGAGATGTTATCCAATGAGAATGTGACTTAGGATAAACTCTAGAAAAAGAGAAGGAAATATCATGGTTAGACATGTCTTGAGTTGGTATGGAGCTCCCATTTCCCTCTCCAGAACTCTCTGCAGGTACTCTATTTTGAGAAATACTGTTTGAAACGAAAACACATAAATTCATCTGAATTATCTTCACTGAAAACCAAATATTTGTTGTTGCTATACAGAATGTTACTAGCTTAAAAGTCTGAAATTGGAATTGATAAAATATCTCATGGAAGTAAAATGTGCCACAGATTCTTGATGCCTTGTTGAAGTGCTGTGATGTGTAATGGGATGGATACTACTGTGGCATGGATGTGCTGTGTACATGTACAGCAACATCCAAAAACATTGGCAGCTAAGGGGAATCATTATCAAAGATGGCGGTGAGTTAGGCATCCTGGTATTGGATGGCAGAAATACAGTAGTTGATCCATTGAAATACCCTTGCTCTGTGATTCTGTGACTCCCTAATAGGTGGCTCCAGATCAGTACTATGAAGCTTGTGTACATGATGCTTGTGCCTGTGACTCTGGAGGCGACTGTGAGTGCTTCTGTACTGCAGTGGCTGTCTATGCACAAGAATGCCTCAAAGCTGGAGCTTGTGTCTACTGGAGGACTCCTGACATATGCCGTGAGTTTTATGATAAAATATTTCTCATGTATGCATAAATTTCAAAAGAGATGATGACCCAGAAACAGTGGCTTAATACCTTTCAGTGACCCAAATTCTAGATGCACTGGTTTTTATAACCCTAAGCCCCACCCTGTATATTTTGGGATGTACCAATGTCTCCTCCCATAGCCATTTCATGTGATACCAACAGGCTTCTAATGTAAGTTCTTTTGTGATATCTTTTACATGTGTCTCCAAATAAAATTCAGTTCTCAGTAGGTCAGTTGGTTGCTATTCTCCAACAGGAAACCCTATATCTAAAGAATCCCAGGGGGATTCATTAATTCACAGAAAAACGGGATGCCTCCACACCATGTGATGATGATGCAAGACTGGGGCTGGGCACACTGTCAAAGGCATACCTAGGCTCCCTTGGACACTTGGCAAGGAGTTATATTGGTGCCTCCAAAGCCAGGAGAGGCAGTGGACCAGAAACTTTTTTTAAAAAGAGGTTTTCGGCACCTTTTGCACTCTGCCAGTGACTTACTCTGTAGCTATCGGCGTGGGTCTGCTCTGCTCTACCTCCCCTTCTCCTCCACCTTGCTCTGTCTATTTGCCTTCCTGCCTTCTTCCCTTCCTTTGCTCGCTACTTTCTCTTCTATCTCCTTCCTCCCTTCCTTCTTTTTTCCTCCTCCTGCAACGCTTGTTTGCTCGCTCCATCTTTCTTTCCTCCAAGCCCTGCTGGATGCTCTACTCACCCTCCTAATAGCACTGCCAGCCAACTGGGGAAGGGAGTCTGCAGGGCTGCTGCAATAGCCCATGACAGTAACCAGATTCCTTTGCTGAGACACCCAGAGGAGCCTAGGCCTCTTGCCTGGCTGCCCAGGGCAGCAGAGCAGTGGCCCAGGGAGCATGCAAATGGGCAAAAAGGCTCTTAGCCACTCCGAGCCAAAGTGGAGAGACTCCTGGCCCTGCACCCTTGACATGGGCCAACCTAGCCATCATTACTGTCTCCACTGGCTTTGTATTAGGGGGAAACATTCAGGGTATGCATGTATGATCTTCTCATGATTCGAAGCCCTGATCATGCAAGAACATAAGTAAAACCTGCTAGATCAGGCCAGCATCCTGTTCCATCAGTGGCCAACCAGATGCCTATGGCAAACCTGCAAGCAGGGCCCAAGCACAAGAGCAGTCATACCTCCTGTTGTTTCCAACAACTGGTATTCAGAGGCATACAGCTCCAAATGTTGATGCAGAGTGTAGCCGTCATGGCTAGTAGCCCTTACCCCAATGTATCTTTCCAATCCTCTTTTAAAGTCATCTACATTGGTGGCCAATGCTGCCTCCAGTGGGAGTCAATGATGGCCCCATTCACAGGGAGCAAAGGCTCCCAATCCCAGGGAGATCCTGTTTGTGTACAGCAAGTTCCCCTTTACAGACATCCTTCCCAATTCATGGATGGCAGGTGGACAAGATTGGCAGGAGGAGTGGTGGTAGGGGTGGGTCCAGTGGGCACAGCCTTCCTCTCCCTTTCCATAGGATTGCAATCCCGTAGAGGGAGGTGTCCAAATAAGTCTATGTTCTGTTAAACCAGAATGAAGTGGAATTTCGGTTCCATAGGTGATAGAAATGGTTGCACGTTAAGCATAGCTGTCAATTTTTCCCTTTTCTTGCGAGGAATCCTATTCAGAATAAGGGAATTTTCCTTTAAAAAAGGGAAATGTTGACAGCTATGGGTTAAGTGACCTATGTGCAAATATATGTCTGTGACTTGTTTTTATCACAACTATCTATCTTTTGTTCCAATAGCAATCTTTTGTGAGTACTGGAATCCTACAGATATATGTGAATGGCACTATGAGCCTTGCGGAAGTGACATTGTTACCTGCAAGATCCTTAATGAAGTCAGCACCAACTTTTCAATGCCATATCTGGAAGGTAAGAAACTGCCAGTTACTGGTAGCTTTTGGTCTTTAAGACTCTAGTTAGTGCAGTTTGGAATACAGTTCACCCACTGGGCCAAAGCAACTTCCCCCATCTCCCATTCCCTGCTTGATGCATTAGATGCCTCTCTGAAACTGTGTATCTACAGGTTTTGCAGAACATGTTTACAGCCTATAAAGAGACGCTGAGACACCACAAGCCTAGGACTGCCTCCCATATGCCAGGGATGGCGACCCTGTGACCCTTCAGATGTTGCTGGACTCCAAGTCCCCTCAGTCCCAGTCAGCATGGCAAATGCCAGGGATGGTTGTAGTTCTGCAACATCTGGAAGGCACCAGTTGGCTCCCCTTTTCGCATGCAAATTTTGCTACTATGTCAAGTTCATTGCTGCAATGTAATTTTACGAATCTCATTTTTGTGGGTTCTAGGTTGCTACCCACGATGTCCTCCGGATAACCCTATCTACATTGAAGAGACCAACACATGTGGGACAAGTGATATGTGTGGCTGCTATATTAATGGTGTTTACTATAGACCTGGACAGTCTATACCCACAGATGATCAGTGTACAAATTGGTATGTGAGAATGGAGAGCTGATGGACTAACAGTGGCAGGGAAACATATGTACATGTGTTGATATTTAAATTGCTGGTTTCTTGGTCTGCTACACTAGCCTTTTTCATGAATGAGAGTGCTGTTCTGAATAGGAAACTATTTCTTATGAAAGTCTAAAATGAAATTGTCCATGGTGTCCAAGAGTAGGTTGGATTTCCCCCCTTCCTTGGGCAGAGATCCTCTCTCAGAATTCCCACCCCAGACAAAGTACACCTGGCCAACTCTATTTGCAACCTTCTGGGTGACTAACAAAAATATTCCTCTTTAGGAGGATATAGAGATAACTGTATTTTCTGCCTTGTTAAATATTTTTGCTAATGATATGCATTTAAATATTATTTTAAATGAATTTATAGTGTTACAATGCAGGAGCAATTATAGCCTGAGCATTTACAGAACAGAAGTACAAAACAAACAAATATACTGTGCAAATCTTCAAGTATTTCATTTCTGAAAAACTTCTTTTTTAAATTTCAGTTTCTGTGTTTATGCTGGAGAAACGAAATGTGAACCCCGAAGAGGTATATTTCATCTTGCTGTTTTTCCATTCAGAAAGCAAAATAGTACCATACACTTCCCCCATACATTTCTCTGGGGGACTGAACAATGATTTCAAATGAGTCCCCTGCTAACTGTATTCTTTTTAAAATTATCATTGAAAAATAACAATAATAAAAGGACAATCTTTTCCCACTTTGCAGTTGTTCCACAAAGAAGGGTAGTAGCTAAGGGATGGCTAAACATTTTTATTTATAAGGCACTTATTTCATCTTATAACTTGTCACAGATCGTAATGCCCATCTTACTTTAAAATGCATTCTATACATGTTTACTTAAAAGTAAGGCCCTGTTGAGTTCAATGGAGGTTACCACCAAGTAAATGACTTCTTAGCCTTAGGGCAGAACTCTACCGCTACCACCCTGATGTTGATGGCTGGTGGGTTAGGATTACTCATTACTTCCTCTCCACTGCTGATGGTGGGACTCTGCCATGGTGGAGGATCCAAGTTCTGCCATGGTGGATGGGGAACTACTGCCAGCAGTAGCCAGTGGAAAACCCTGAAACGAGGCATTACGGGGTGGGGTGGAGGCTTTGCATCCACAGGATCCAAAGCCCTTCAGGCTCCTCAGCTTCACCAGTCCAGAGCTGGCACAGCAAAAATGGGGGGGGGGACTACCTTCTGCCCTGACCAGCACAATCCACTGTACCTGGCTGGGACTTTGGATTGCTCTGCTGATGCACTTATCCTACAGCACATGGTGGGCCATTTTAATATCCCTGCATTTTAGTTGTATTCTTACTAAGGCCACATTTCCCAGTGGCAAGAAGCCTATCCTATTGTGGGAAACAGCTGATGGTGGAAATTAAGCAGGCGTGTACATCCATGCGGCCTCTGCCTGGCTGAGAATGAGACCGTACAGGAAGAACCCACATCAATAGTCCATGTAATTCCAATATGCATATATCTGTCACAATGGTGAGAGATCTCACCACAGGGAACCAGTTAAACTTTCCTTCGTGCTTGCTGCAAATATGAATGAGGCTTAAGTTCATGCATCTCACTTAACAGATTTATTCAACTTTCTAACACCTTGAGCCTAAGCACACTTACTTGGGAGTAGGTCCCATAAGTTTCAATGGACTTCTTTCTAAGCAGAAGCACATAAAAACATCTTTATAATATTCCAGATATCAGCAGCTTAGATAAACAGTGTTTACCTGCAGTTAACATTCCTATGGAATAACACAGTATTTCCACTCCGGGTTATTTCATTTACATTTTGATTGGCTCTTTTTTCATTATGATTCAAGCAGAACAACTTAAACACACTGCTTTCCTTCCTTTAGGTTGCTGCATATATGATGGTAAAGAATACGAAGAAGGAGAAATAATAATAAATGAGAGAAATGGATCTTTTTGTTTCGACATAAAATGCACAATCAATGGCACTTGGGTAGTTGAAGACATGAGACCCTGCAGTACAACTGCCCCTCCCACAACTACTCTTTCAACTACTCCTTCTCCCACCACCACCACTACTACTACCACAAGTAAGCTTGCAGCATTGTTAATAGTAATGTACATTGGTTAAATATCTTACTAGAGAAAATTGCACTTAACATCAAGTTTGTTTTATACCTCCATGTGTAGCTAAATGGCTTTAATGAAGGCTGATGCTCTCAACATGATATGAAACCTTCTATGTCAAATCTATAATCTTATCCAAAACTTGTAAGATTGCAAAGTAAGATTCTCATCATATTTTTCTCTCTCCTGTTTCAGCTCCCACTACAACCTCCACTACACTCTCTTCAACAAGTAAGTGTTGTTAAAGAAGTTGGGGATAAGCCCATAGTTCAGTGGTAGAATATGTGCTTTGCATGACTCAGGAATCAGGTTCAGTCCCTGGATCCATTTAAAAACTAGGGCAAAGATTTTTGTGTGAGGCCCAAAAGAGTCACTGCCAATCAGGGCAGAAAATACTGGGTCAGATGAATAAATAGTATGACTCGATTAGGGCAAATTCATATGTCCCTATATAAGGTCACTGCTCTGATAGTGGTAGTAAAGTTGCCAATGCAAAAGAGAGGAACATGGGATAATAAAGTGATGCACACATAACTGTGATAGGCGTTCAAAAATAAGAAAAAAAAATGGATTGGGATTTTGTGTACAAGACCTTGCGCACTGGAGTGGAGCAATCCCAGGATATAAAGATGCTTGCTTCTAGCTTGGGATGTTCTTTGTTGTGATCTGTAGGGGTGGGAGGGTAGATGGTTGCCCAGTGATCTGTTGTTCCACCATGAAATGATGGTTTTAGATCATGAGGTCATTCATGTGGACCCACTGCCAATGAAGCTCAGGAAAATGACTTTCAAATTTGTCTTGCAGCTCAGTGCTTAATGCTTGCCTGTGAATGGAGTAAATGGTATGATGTCAGTGTACCCGAAGAAGGACCAGAAGGTGGTGACTTTGAGACATATGATGCCATAAGAATTAAAGACGGAAGCAACTTTTGTCCATCTGCTCCGCAAAACATAGAGTGCAGGGCTAAAAATGCACCCAATGTGGATATTGCAGAATTAGGACAGAAAGTGGACTGTAACGTCACTTATGGACTCATTTGTAGAAACAAAGACCAAGATCAGAGTCTCTGGACCCTCTGCTATAATTATGAGATACGCGTCAACTGTTGTCAAATCATTCCTTGTGGTGATATTATCACCACTACTCCCACCACTACTCCCTCCACTACTACCACTACACCAACTACCACTACGCCATCTCCCACCACAACAACTACCACTCCTACCACTACTTCCACGCCTCCCACCACTACTCCCTCCACTACTACCACTACACCAACTACCACTACCCCTACGCCATCTACCACCACAACAACTACCTCTCCTACCACTACTTCCACGCCTCCTCCACTACCACTACCCCTGCCACAACTACCACTACCCCACCCTACGCCATCTACCACCACAACAACTACCTCTCCTACCACTACTTCCACGCCTCCCTCCACTACTACCACTACCCCTGCACCAACTACCACTACCCCTACGCCATCTACCACCACAACAACTACCACTCCTACCACTACTTCCACGCCGCCTACCTCAACACCAACAGGTAATGCATTAAATGTTACTTTTTGACATTATTTTGAATGAGTGACCATTCATTCACAGAATAGTGAAATATATTGAATGCTAATGAATTCTAATAATACAACTCTTAAAAAGGACATACATACTTTAAAAAATAATAATTGATAGATATTTGTTTTACTTAAACCAGTGTATTCATAAGTTTGCTCCTATTGGCTGCTAACATCAGCCTGATTGCTCATTTTTAGGAATTAGGAATGACAGGAAATATTGCTTTGACTAAGGGCCATGCCTGGTTTTAATGTCTTGCTCCTTGCGTGATGCAGGAAATCCTGAAAAGGGCTTCAGGAACATGCCTGTTTTCTCAAGCCTTTTTTCACCCATTGCAATCACTGAAGTGATTGCTGGCCATAGCTGTGCCTTCTGCGATCACACTTGTCCTGGCATGTGGTATACCCTCAGAAGCCCAGGGATCATCATATGCAGAAGGAATGTGTTCTGAGAACCAACCCCTAAGACAGGATTCATACTGCAGATATCTAACATCAGGTCTCAGGAAATGATTGCAGAATATTTTACCATGACCTACAGTCAGAAGTGGGCATTCAACCTGCAAAAATACAGTTCACATAGAAATGGCTGAATAACGTTACAACACTCTTTTTCTTTTTTCGTGTCTTGCACTGACCTCGCCACTAATCACAACAGTCTTTACACATAAGTACAAAAACTAAAGATGTGCTATAACTTATGGCATATGTTTATTTTTAGAAGGAAGTTAGCCTCTCCTCCATCATAATATTTTCTAAGTGGATGGTAACTGACTGAGCTATAGGGAATTAATCTTCTGCTGTATAATGCATATTTCTGAGGAGGCGATTCTGAGGAGAGCAAGTCTTTTCATTGCTATTTATAGCTCTACAGGCTAGGAGAAAATAGCCATTTTTTACATTATATGCTCTCTTAACAATGAACCTTTACAGTGAAATTATTCAATGCATACCTTTTGTGTTCATCAACCTGTTGATGAGTCTGTCTGTAAAGGGCTCTATAAACCCATAATATAGGCTTGCCCACTTCCCCCCTCTGCTTTGCGAATATGGCAAGTCATTGACTGCAAAAACTCATGCCAGGAGAAACCAACAAGCCTCTAACGTGCTGCAACATTGGCACCGTTGCAGATGTTGCAGTACATGAGAACATTTTAAAGCAGCTACTTAGTTCTTCTCTTGTACGTGTTCTAGAAAGGCAAGCTTTGAAACCAGAAGCAATGATACAGTGGTGCCTTGGAACTTGAACGTAATCCGTTCCGGAAGACTGTTCAACTTCCGAAACGTTCGAGTTCTGAGGCGCAGCTTCCGATTAGCCAACAGCTAGGTTTCTGCACAGCAGAAGCCACGTCGGACATTCGTGTTCTGAGGAACGTTCGAAAACCAGAGCACTTACTTCCTGGTTTTCGGCGTTCGGGAACCGAAACGTTTGAGAACGGAGCTGTTCAAGCACCTGGCCCCAATTTGCCAAGCAGTGTGATGTCACAGAGGCTGAATGGTGGTGATGTCATAAACAGAGGGTTGCTTAAAAATAAGAGCCAGGGTTGTGAAAGGAAGAGAGCACAGTAAGGCAATGTGAGCAAAAGGAGCCTGAGTAAGAGGAGGGGTGGAGAAGGAGACCTGGGGAAAGTAGGGGGAAAGCAGGAGAGTCGGCTTAGTCACACTTCCCTTTGTCCCATGACTTCCTCCTATTGTCCCGAGTTTTCCAAACATGGGTCTGAAAGGTGTTTTTTGTTGTTGTCCCACTGCTTTTCCTGGGAAAACCTGCTGTTTACTGCTGAATTTACTGCTGTTTACAAACATCAATCTGCAGAAAACCTGATTGATGGCTGTCCCAATTCAGCATAAACACCAGGTTTTCATGGGGAAAGAAGCAGGAGAAAAGAAAAGCATCTTGGACCGGTATCTGGAAATCTCTGGACATGCAGAAGTGTAGATGAGCCTTCAGGGGAAGCAGGGGGAGAGGCCAATGAGGAGAATCATGGGTACATAGGAATGCAGGAAAAGGGGATAAGGACACCAGAAGGACTTTGATTCTGTGACTGTCTTCTGGTCACAAATGAGGCCTTAAAGCATCTGGTCAAAAAATAACAATTAGTTTTCCCAAACAAATTTCTGTAAATTTCCGAATAAAGTGGCAGGATAAGATAGCAAAATAAAAAGTATTAATTTGGTTTGGTTCTGAGGAAATCAATTATATTACTGAGCAAGTGTTTTAATAAGCTGCCAGATTATTAATGCTGTTGTTAACAACAAACACACAGTTTATTTTAGCTTTGTACATTAAAAAAATGTTTCTAAAAATTTCAGCTTTGTATTTATTATGACAGTGTTTGCACAACTGGAGCAACAGTTTCCTGCTATATCACTTTCAAAATAATCTGGGCAATTGCTGAGCTATTTCTCTCTGTTGTTGTTTTACAATAGTTTGTACCTCCGCTGTAGTATGTTCATGGTCGGACTGGATTGATGTCAGCTTCCCACAATATGGCCCACAGTATGGTGACTATGAAACCTATGACAACATCAGGGCAGCCGGCACAGAGATCTGTACAAAGCCAGAAAACATATCATGCAGAGCCAAGAAATTTCCTAATTACTCCTTCAAGGAGTTGGGGCAAAAAGTGGAGTGTGATGTTTCGACTGGACTTATTTGTCACAATAAAGATCAGACTCCTGGGCCTGTGTACCCTGTAGATATGTGTCTCAACTATGAGATCCGTGTATATTGCTGCAAGGATGAATGCATATCTGGACCTCCAACCACAACTCCTACCACAACTACACCAACTACCACTTCTACCACTACCTCTACTCCATTGACCACCACCACAACTCCTACTACTACTTCCACACCATCAACCACGACACCACCAACTACTACTACTACCATTCCAACACCACCTTGGGATACCCTTACCACTACACCAACTACCACTTCCACCACTACCACTTCTACCACTACCTCAGCACTTACCTCTACCCCCACACCACCTACTACTACGCCAACTACCACTGCTACTACTACCTCCACTGCACCTACAACTACACCAACTACCACTCCAACCACTACATCTACAGCAGCAACCACTACGCCAACCACCACTCCAACCACCACCACTACTACAGGATCCACTTCAGGTAATGAATTTTTATTTCATGATTCTGCTTTGCTTGAATGAACTAATCACTCATGGATCAGTTAAATACATTGAATGCTTAAATCGCACAGTATGTTTCTTAAACCAGCTTTACATTACTAAACCTCATTAATATGCATACTTGAATAGTGGTAGAACTTTTGTTATGCATTTTTTTTACTTATTTTGTTTTTATTCCTAATTTTCCCTGCATTGACTGCTAAAATCAACCTGATAACGTTTTTTATTTTAGGAATTATTAATTATTTAAAATATTGCTTTGACTAAAGGCCTTTCCCATATTTAATTCCCTGTTCAAGTGAGTGGGCCTCACCTTTTTGTGGCATTCTTGCATACATGTAGGCAGTCCTTCAGGAATGGTGATGATCGCCTTGGCATTTAATTACAGCTGCTGCACTCACCAAAGCTGTTTCTGGTCCTGACTGTTTTTGCCTGGATCAGGCATTGTGTTTGTCACTGTGAACATTTACCCTCAGAAGATCAGAAATTCTCAGGGGTGCATGGAATTTTAGCTGTTTGCTTATTTATTTATAATATTTCTTTGCCACCATTCTCCATAAGATCACAGGGCAGATTACAACAATAGAATATAAAATTCTAAAAACAAATATAAGTTACAATGACAAAACCAATAAAATCATTCCAAGTGAGCCATAACTTTCTAAATTCAGCTAGAAAACAAAATAGCTTAACTTTCAAATGCTGCAGTAAAAGAATGCATGTTTAGCATACATTGAAAGCTGTGCAATAAAGACGTACCTCTGTAGGGAGGGAATTCCACAATTTTCTGTAAGTCAGCTTAAGATAATAATAATAATAATAATAATAATAATAATAATAATAATACCCTGCTGGATCAGGCCAATGGCCCCTCTGTTCCAGCATTCTGTTCTCACAATGGCCAACCAGATGCCTATGGGAAACCCGAAACAGCCTTGGCCCAGTATACCTGAAGAAGCATCTCCACTCCCATCATTCAGCCCGGACACGAAGGTCCTCCTCTGAGGGTCTTCTGCTGGTTCCTTCACTGTGGGAAGCAGAGTTACAAGGAACTAGGCAGAGGCCATCTCTGTAGTGGTGCCCTCCCTGTGGAAAACCCTCCCTTCAGATGTCAAGGAAATAAACAACTATCTGACTTTTAGAAGACATCTGAAGGCAGCCCTGTTTAGGGAAGCTTTTAATGTTTGATGCTTTAGTATGTTTCGATATGTGCTGTGGCTGGGGAAACCCAGCCAAAAGGGTGGGGTATAAATAACATTGTTGTTATTGTTAAGATTCATATTGCATAAATTTTAACATCAAGTCTCAAGGAATGAAGGCAGAATATTTTATCTTAACCTTCTATCACATGTGGGAATTTGACTTATAAGAATACAATTTGGCTAGGAACCGGTGGATAATTGTGACACTTTTGTCTTTTCTCCCCTCCTCTTTTCTTCCACCATAACCCTTGCCAATGACAACAGGCACCACACGTGAGTACAAAAGCAAGATGGTTTATAAGTTTGTTTGTTTTTTTTAAAATAAAGTCAGAAAATATACAAGGTTACAAAAATAGAATGATGGCTCATTTTACAAGGATGAGGCTACAGGAAGTGTCAGCTGACTAAGCTAGAGGGAATTAATCTTCTACTGTATCTTGCATATTTATATTGATGAGATTCTGAGAAAAGTGAGCATGTGCCACTTCTAGCTCTTTAAGCTAGGAAAAAGTAGTCCTTTTTTACAGTGTGAAGTATCTTGAGAATACACCTCTTCACTCAGTGAAAGTATCCAGTGTATGCCCCTGTTCATCTGTTGATGTACAATTTTTTTTTGGAGATTTTTCTTTTCTCAACTCCCCAGAACAGGAAAGGGCACTTTGCACAATTTTCATTAAATGGCCTGTACCATGGGTGTTTGGTGGCCCAGTTCCACCTCCCACCACCATCCCCAATGCTCAAGAGCAATACTAGCTCTAGGGCAACACAGAGGTTGCAAAGTGGTGGACAGACTGCCAGTTTAATAGCTGCATTTTCCTGTTACAGTAACAGCAGCAGCAGAAAAAACCCTTAAGAAAAAGAAATGGTTCTGCTGTTGCTAATGGTGAGCTCCACCCTTCAAGGAATTGCTGGAGAATTTCTCCTTTCACTGGTAGAATTTGGTGAAAAATCCATCAATTTCTTGGCTCACAAATAGGATGGCGAATTTCAATAGGCCCTTCTTGTATGAAGGGCTCCTAGTGACCTACACAGGTTCATGCCATAAGAAACCCAACTATCTCCTAAGCTTCTGCAATGTTGGTATGGGCATCTTTGATGATGTTATAATTCATGAGGACATGTTAAAGCAGCCTTATTTGCATGTTTCAAGTCCATTTGTTTGAGAATTTTTGTCTTAGTTTCTCAACCAGCAGAATGGGAAAGCTTGCTTTACAAAATGGTTTAGCTGGCCAATTGAAGCTGTTTCCTGGGGTGTGGCTGCTGTCACATGCTGACAGCTTCTAAGAGCCACAGGTGAGAGATGAGTGCAGAGTGGGGACCAGAGATGGGCAGACTATCCCAGAAAGAGCATGATGTGTTCCCCACCACAGGGACTACCCCTCCCCTAACACCCCATACACCCTGATGGGTCCCAAACCCTTGGTGAGTTAGAGACTTTCCCCTGCATGTAAAGAGAGGCTCCAGCAGATTGATCGGACGGGACCAATAGTGGGTCCAGTAGTCAAGAAGGCAGTCTCTGTAGAGGGAAATGAGGGGCAGATGGGACTCGTCAACCTGGGAAGCTAGCCTATCTTGGAGAAGGAAAACTCTGATCCTAAACCTCCACTGCTTTGTGAGATATCTTCAGGACAAGAAAAGGCTAAGGAGTAAGCCCTTCATAAATGTAGAGTGGAGTCCCTAAGACAGTTGGATGGTGCCTTGTATGCCTCCTTCCGGCAACTCTTCTAGCCAAGTTTGTGCCAAAATATTGATCTACTTTCCTTTGGACCACATCAGCGAGGCCCAGAGGGGGATCTTGTCATCTGGGACCTCCATATATTGTCCAGGCTTGTTCCCAAGGAGGTCACTTTGGTGCTGCGAACACAGTGATTTGACTTCACTCCCAGAGGCACACTCCATTGTCTCTTGAGACAGATGGATGTCAACCTTCAATGGTATTCCTGGACAAGTGCTTTAAGAAAACACTTTAATAAAATCAATGCTGGTGCAACAACAAGCACTCAGCTTATTTCAGATTTATATTTATTATGACAGTGTTTGCACAACTGGAGCAACTGTTTCCTGCTATATCACTTTCAGAATAACCTGGGCAATTGTTGAGCTATTTCTATCTGTTGTTGTTTTACTGCAGCTTGTATCCCCACTGAAGAATGCGAGTGGTCCAACTGGATTGATGTCAGTTTCCCACAATATGGCCCACAGTATGGTGACTATGAAACCTATGACAACATCAGGGCAGCCAACATAGAGATCTGTGCAAGGCCAGAGAACATATCATGCAGAGCCAAGAAATTTCCTAATTACTCCTTCAAGGAATTGGGGCAAAAAGTGGAATGTGATGTTTCGACTGGACTTATTTGTCACAATAAAGATCAGACTCCTGGGCCTGTGTACCCTGTAGATATGTGTCTCAACTATGAGATCAGTGTATGCTGCAAGGTTGATTGCGGATCTACACCATCAACCACAACTACACCAACTACTACCACCACCACAAGTACAACTACCACCACAACTCCAACTACCACTTCACCAACTACCACTATCTCTACAACTACAGGTAGTGAATGTATTATTGCTTCCTGATATTGCTTTGTAGGAATGAACAAATTACTCATAAAATTGAGAAAAATACTGAATGCATTATGAGAGCATGTTTGCATCAGCACATCTAATCATGTTTCTTTTTTCATTTTACTTGATTATTGAAGGTACAAGTGTTGCCTCTTTCACATAAATACTCACTTTCTGTTCTTAGGATTGTGGCCTGACTTTCTGCTATCCCTCTATCCTATGTTTACAGAGAATGTGCAGGTGTAACTTTGATGTAGAGTGTATTGGGCAGAATATACATATAATAGGATTATGAATAGCCAGGGTTGTATGAAAGGTCAGAGTGAGCAGCTTCCATCAGAAAAGTAAATTCTCCTTAAAAAATAAATAATTGGAGTGGGAAGGGAAAAGACTCCAATAATCTAGAAAAATATAATGGTTAGATGTGTGGAACATCATAAAGTATTTGTTGTTTCTCTAATTGCAGGTCTAGCATTGCAGGCATTGTGAAATTCCCTGCTTTGGGCATCACAGTGGGGAGCTGAAGGCAGGAAATGGTTTCTACATGGCATGGCACAGGGATGGAGAATCTGTGGTCTGCTGGACTACAATTACCATCACCCAGGGCTGATTGGATGTGTAGTCCAACATCTTCAAGATCCACAGGTTCCCCATTTCTGGCATAGCAAGACTTTTTGAAGCGTTATGGTTAGGGAATTTGAGCTCTCCTTCAGACAGCAAAATGTCTTGGTTTGCCTGAACTGTAGGAATCTTAGCACTTCTTTAATTGGAAACTTGGAATAAGCCATCATGTTGTTGCAAATATTCACAACCTTTTTCATCTGAAATGAGCATGCATTAACTACTATCTTTTCTGCCTTCCTTTGCTGTGCATTCAACAACCACAACCACAGCAAGCACTGCAAGTAGCTTCTCCATAGAAACAGAGATATGTTTTTGCTTTTTAAGGGGAAAGGGTTAGGACTGCCTGGGAGTGGGCCTCAGCTAACAGAATGGCTGGGGCAGGTTCCACGGGGGGGGGGGGGATGATGTATTGGGACACCTGATCTCAGTAATCACAGGCAGGAGGAGGAGTCACACTAAGACCAGACCATGTCATTACTGAGGAGGCAGGCTTAGTCGTTGTTTGAGGACTATCCCAGCCTCCAGGTCTGGTCCTGACCAGAAGGATACTGGAATCAGCAAGGGAAACCCAAATGACCTGAAAGTGTTGCTGTGCATTGCCAGGTGAATGATGAATAAAACCACTGCCATCCACAACCTGATTTTGGTGTAGGATTTGACCTGGCATGTGTGACAGAGACTTGGTTGGATGAAGCAGATGGGCCTGTCCTTGCCGCTGCTTGCCCACCAGGTTTCTCTTACACACAGCAACCCAGGTCATGTTGGCAGGGAGGGAGGGTTGCAGTGATTTTTAGGAAGTCATTAGTTTGCACCAGGCGTCCTATTGAGAAGACCCAGTTTTCTGAGTGCATGTTCTGGAAGTTGGGCAATAGGGGCAGTACAGGATTCCTTTTGGTGTACCGACCTCCCTGCTGCACCAAGGATTCCCTGCCTGAGCTGCTTCAGGTCATGACAGATGTGCTCCTGGAGACACCTAGTTTGGTTGTCCTGGGGGATGTTAACATCCATGCCAACACGAACTTACAAGGGGCTGCTCGGGACTTCGTGGAAAGCATGGACTTCATGAAAGTCTAAAAAGATGAAAATTTGCTCAAAAGGCATTTGCTAAACTAATATCAACATCAACAATCCATTTTGGTCAAACTGTACATGGATCAAAATGCTGATGAATTTGTGTGAACAGCCCCGAAATCTGTAAACGCTGTCAGTTTAAGGCTCAAAAGGTTAAGCTTTTAATACCTGAAATAAGAGTTCTTTGGCATGGAGAGATTAGAACTCATCTTCGTGACCTTGTCCTTTCTTTAACTTCCAGTGAGCAAATATGTACCTGTGTTATATAATACACACATTTACATGCTTTCTAAATGTGCTTTTTAATATATATATATTGCAGAGTGTGTCATATGTGATTGGTCTTCTTGGATTGATACGGATTCCCCAAATGGTGACAAGGATGGTGGTGACAATGAAACTTATGAGAAAATCAGAGAACATGGTATAGACATCTGCTCTCAGCCATCCAATATTTCATGCAGAGCAAAAGATTTCCCTGGTACTTCACTTGAGGAATTGGGACAAAAATTGGTATGTGACGCTTCTGTAGGACTCATCTGTAAAAACACAGACCAAGTCCCAGGTGTGGGTGTGGCCCCAACTTGTCTCGATTACGAAATTAGTGTTTATTGCTGCAGAGACTGTTCTACCACCACAGTCTCGACTACAACCACCACTCCCTACACTGGAAGTACAAGTAAAACTACGACAGTCACAACAACAGAAACAGGAACAACAACAACAGTACCTTGCACAACTGATGAAACAGAACCATGGTCCACTTCAGGTCAGTATAGAACAAACTGTTTGGTATGAAACAATAATATGGTCCACAGGTGAAGTCTGCAGTTGCCTTCCGGAAATCACATTTGCCGCCTTGGTGTTGCATTTTTCTTTCCACATTTTAAAAATGTGTTGGGATGTTGCTAGGAAATGCTTTAAGATGCACATGTTCTCTGAAATGATAATGCTGGTGCACTGTTCCAGGTAATCATTGGTGTGGATATAAATCTGAATTTAACCATAGCTTCCCCAAAAGTTCCATCTACAACTGTTGCTCAGATAATGCATAGCTTTAATAATAGGCATCATTTTAGCTCCATTATTGTCTCTCATTATGGAACTTCAATTAATGTGTGTCTAAAAATGAAAATTCTGTTGAGAAGCAATTCCCATGTGCTGTTGCTGACATTGATGCAGGAGCAAACCTAGGTGCACATCTGCACCCACAAAAGGATGATATGCAGTGGGCTGGCTAAATATTTTCATTGGGATGTGCCAACTCAATTCAGGGCCCACTGGTTGTTGCAAATGTTCTTTGTGTACAAACTACAGCTGGAGAGAAACGAGTGGAGCATCTTGTTGTACAAGACAGCTTTATAATAATGAAAAATAAATGCATAAACAAACAGACAAACAGTTAGATGGCTCTTTGAAGACTTGCTGCAGCCCTTTTTTTAGCAAGCATAAAAACACACTGCCATTTAATAAAATCAGGAGCTTGCTGCTTGAAGCAAATAGCAACACCAGTAGTTACTCTCTAGACCAGTGCCAGCTGATGATGTTTTGCAGCCATTTTGCAAAACCCAACTGCCCCGCAAAGCTTAAAAATAATAAAAACAGTGTTACTACATCATAGAGAAACTGATTTGAAATCTGCTTTTTATCCCTGCTTTACAGAACCATCCACTGCTGTTACCACCACCAAGATCTCAACTACCACGGAGACCACAACCACATCAACAGCACCAACAACTACTACTTCCACCCCAACTCCAAGTACAACTACACCCAAATCAACCACCACCAGCACTGAAATCCCTACAGTAACAACCACAACTACCACTACTACTCCCACTCCAAGTACAACAACAACAACACCGACACCACCAACCACCACTACTACTCCCACGCCGAGTACAACTACAACAACACCGACACCACCAACCACCACCACCAGCACTGAAACCCCTACAGTAACAACCACAACTACCACTACTACACCCACGCCGAGTACAACAACAACAACACCGACACCACCAACCACCACTACTACTCCCACGCCGAGTACAACTACAACAACACCGACACCACCAACCACCACCACCAGCACTGAAACCCCTACAGTAACAACCACAACTACCACTACTACTCCCACGCCGAGTACAACAACAACAACACCGACACCACCAACCACCACTACTACCCCACGCCGAGTACAACTACAACAACACCGACACCACCAACCACCACCACCAGCACTGAAACCCCTACAGTAACAACCACAACTACCACTACTACTCCCACTCCGAGTACAACAACACCGACACCACCACCAACCACCACCACTGAACCAACTACAACAACCACAACTACCACTACTACTCCCACTCCGAGTACAACAACAACAACACCGACACCACCAACCACCACCACCACTGAACCAACTACAACAACCACAACTACCACTACTACTCCCACTCCGAGTACAACTACAACAACACCGACACCACCAACCACCACTACTACTCCCACTCCGAGTACAACAACACCAACACCACCAACAACCACCACCACTGAACCAACTACAACAACCACAACTACCACTACTACTCCCACGCCGAGTACAACAACAACAACACCGACACCACCAACCACCACCACCACTGAACCAACTACAACAACCACAACTACCACTACTACTCCCACTCCGAGTACAACTACAACAACACCGACACCACCAACCACCACTACTACTCCCACTCCGAGTACAACAACACCAACACCACCAACAACCACCACCACTGAACCAACTACAACAACCACAACTACCACTACTACTCCCACTCCGAGTACTACAACAACAACACCAACACCACCAACCACCACCACCAGCACTGAAACCCCTACAGTAACAACCACAACTACCACTACTACTCCCACTCCGAGTACAACAACAACACCGACACCACCAACAACCACCACCACTGAACCAACTACAACAACCACAACTACCACTACTACTCCCACTCCGAGTACAACAACAACAACACCAACACCACCAACCACCACTACTACTCCCACTCCGAGTACAACAACAACAACACCGACACCACCAACAACCACCACCAGCACTGAAACCCCTACAGTAACAACCACAACTACCACTACTACTCCCACTCCGAGTACAACAACAACACCGACACCACCAACCACCACCACCACTGAACCAACTACAACAACCACAACTACCACTACTACTCCCACTCCGAGTACAACTACAACAACACCGACACCACCAACAACCACCACCAGCACTGAAACCCCTACAGTAACAACCACAACTACCACTACTACTCCCACTCCGAGTACAACAACAACACTGACACCACCAACCACCACTACTACTCCCACTCCGAGTACAACTACAACAACACCGACACCACCAACCACCACCACCACTGAACCAACTACAACAACCACAACTACCACTACTACTCCCACTCCGAGTACAACTACAACAACACCGACACCACCAACAACCACCACCAGCACTGAAACCCCTACAGTAACAACCACAACTACCACTACTACTCCCACTCCGAGTACAACAACAACACTGACACCACCAACCACCACTACTACTCCCACGCCGAGTACAACTACAACAACACCGACACCACCAACAACCACCACCAGCACTGAAACCCCTACAACAACCACAACTACTCCTCCTACTCCGAGTACAACAACAACAACAACGACACCGATACCCCCCACAACAACCACATCACCAACTACTGGCCCAACATCTTCAACCCGCTGCACCTGTATAATGGGTGAAAATACATTTTTCGAAGGTAAATATCTTAGGTTTGATCCAATAAATACACTGATACAAATGAAAAGTCCCTTTAATGCTAAATTTCCGTTTATTATTATTTTTATATTATTTTGGTCCTGAAGATGATAAAAATGTTGTTGCTGTTGTTGTTGCTTGTTTCCTTTCAGAAATGTTATAGAATAAGATAGGAAACAGTTATTTTAAAAACTAATGTTTAATTAAGGTGATCTAGGAAATCTGTTCTACACCCCCAACTCCAGAGAAAGTATTAGATATCTGTTATCCCACCCTGCATTGCTAAGGCATTCCCAAGAATATCTAACACAAAGGAGACAGTGTGTGAAATAGCAGGTATTTTAAAGGCAAACTGTGGTTCAAAGTGAATGAGGTATCAATACAAACAGGAAATACATCTGATAAAGCCAGCTGTATAAGTAAGGCTTACACCCATAGTGCTGGTTCCTAATATTGACAGATAGCAAGGAGATGAATGTTAGTAGGCTACTGTAGTCCATGTTCTGGTAACTTCCAGATTGCATTGTTGCAATGCACTGTATGTGGGCATACAGTACATTGAAGATAACTTGGAAACTTCAGTTGGTTCAATATGCACTGTTTACTGGCCGGGGCTCCATTTAGCTCACATACAAACCCTGCATGGGTTATCAATTCATTTCCAGGCCCAATTTGTGTTTAAAGGCCTAAATGACTCAGCCCCTGAATATCTGAAAGACCACCTCTTTCCCCACAGACCCTCTCTGGTGCTAAGATCAGGTGTGGGGTCCCTCTTGGTAGTTCTGCCGGTCAGTGCTGATCAGTTCTGACAATGACCCTAGCTCATAAAGAAGCAAACAGGAGCTCATTTTAAGCTACCAATTGCTCCGTTGTAGCCTGTACCTTCCCTACCCTGAGGTCAAATGTGGCATCTGTTGTGGAGCAGGTGAGTGTAGTTTGTAGGGAACACCCTCAAGGATTAAATATGGGATCTGTGCTTAGGCTCAAGGGTGAGAGGTTCTCCACTGTTGGTTTGTATAATAAGGTGTTGGTTTTGAAGATGATTCCAGCACTGACGGGGGGGGGGACTCTGGTAGGATAAGTTATGCATATGCTTTGAATTATAGAACAAGAAAACGGTTATTATGTGGTCCTCCAAGACCCCCAGAAATTTCCAACTGATCTCTAGGGAGAAAGCATGAGGATCTCTGAGTTAATGCATTGCTGAATGCTACATTTTCAAAACATGAGATGTGGAGATCAGAAAACTTTCCAGTTTAGATTTAAAACATGTATGTGTGTACGCGCCGCGCGCATGCACGCACACACACACACACACACACTACATCAGCAGTCATGGGTGAGGTGGGAAAGCTTGAAAATATAAGAAAACAAATGCAATATCAACACTGATTTGCCTTTATTTGGGGGAAGTGTTGCGTTTTAAACCAGTCTTTTGTTGAAAGCTGTGGGACAAAAAATCCCTTTGGGGTTCAATAGGAAAGATCAAAGCAGATTCCCAATTAGTCAGACATTTAATTCATCAATGCATCACCAGACAGAGTCCAAGAGAGACTCTGAGACCATATCCATCAACACACTTCCTATTTAGCAAAAACTATGTCACTGTGGCTGTTTATTCTTTAGCCAACCGCTTTCTGCCACCTTCTCTCACCCTAGTACCCAACCATCTCTTAAAAACACTAATTCAGCCCAAGATTTTTGGTGTGTTTTTTCCTGTGTGCCAAGGCCTCCTTGCATCTTATCTGTTAGTTGTTTTTCACTCTAACTGGTTCTTACTAGTTTTGTGGCCAGGTTGTAACCTTGAGTACATGAAGCTGGAATTCCTGATAATGGATTTGCAGAATTTCTACCTGGTAATGGATTTGGTAGAATTTCAGTAAAGACCCAGTGAAATTCATCACCGTTCCAGTAAATTTGGGCACAGAGAGCAGTCTAGTTTGTGTTTGGCTTAGAGGTTTCACCTTGGCAAAGAGGAAGCTTTTTTTTTGTTTTGTTTTTATGCTGCTCACATTTTTGCATGGTGTTCCTCTATTGCATTTTCATTGATTGGAATAATAATAATGATGATGATGTTGATGTTCCTGGCTGCGTTGAATGGCTCCATTTAGAGAGCAAAGTGTGGCTTATACATTTTATTGTCAATAAAATAAAGAAATAATGGAATCTGCTGAGTAACTAGATTTTCAGCAGGAATGCAGCCCTGGAATCTCAGTTTTTCAACTCAAAAAATTTCTGAATTTCAGTTTTTCAATTCAGAAATTCAACTTTACAGTTGCCTTCATCATCCCTCATCTGAAGCAATTTGAGAAGGTATAACTGAACAGAAAGCAGCCCAGCCGTTGTTTCTATGCTTTGGTTCAGTTATTTATGTTAACCTCTATTTCTCAAAATCTAGGTGATATAATAGAAGTGGGCATGCACAGAGGCGTGTGCTATCAGGCCAACTGCTCCTGGGGCTGTGAAGTAGTTTACAAGTATTGGGATTGTCCCACCCCTACACCACTGCCAACGACGACTACAACCACAACAGAGCCAACGACGACTACAACAGAGCCAACCACAACCACAACAGCGCCAACCACAACTACAACCACAACAGAGCCAACAACGACTACAACAGAGCCAACCACAACCTCAACAGCACCAACCACAACTACAACTACAACCACAACAGAGCCAACCACAACAACTATATCTATAAAAACAGAAACTCCTACTAGGACAACTCCAAGACATAGTCCACAGAAATCCACACCCACACCCACACCCGGACCAACACCCACACCCGCACCATGTCCATTCGAGAATGGGACTATTCTAGTAAGTATTCTTTAATGCATTGTAAATTAATACAGGAACATCTTCTTGAATTATTTTGAGTAGTTTTCTTGATCATCCCTTTTCAAAACTCAAACTGCTCTCTTAACATTTTCAAATGAAAAAAGTGTTACTGAAAGGGAAGCTACCATCAGTATGTGTTCAATGAGTTTCCTATTCGGAAGTTAATTTCATATATTTCCTTTCTCTTGAAAAGGGTGAGTTACCACTGTTACTTGCTATTGTCCAAACTATAAATTTAAAGAGAGATAATACCAATGTTAGTTATCTGTTCATATGAAAGAAAAAAGACAAAATAATTTCTGATGAGTGTTGCGTTATAAAGAAAATAAATGTGGATTTTATTCACATTTGGTAGGCTTGTCATGCAATATGTTGGAAAAGTAAAGCAATATCACTACATATAGTCTTCATTTGGACCTGTCAGGCTAGAGCAGAACATTGGCAACTGGCTTTTACACATACAGGTTAGAAGGTTTACCTTGGCTGTTTCTTGCATCTTGTGATCTGGTGCTAACCTCAGAGAAAGCAATTTGATTTGGTCCTATTTGGGGTCTTACCCCAAATCGTATGCAAAGCCCTAGTGTTGAATATTGTACTTTTAATTTTTGACACTTTAACATTTAAAACAGAAATAGAGCCACGAGCGCGCACAAAAATGTTCAGTGTGCACTTAAAACCATACAAGACACCACTGAATATAATCTTCAGTCCAGCAGTTGAATTACTTGAATGAAACTGCAAGGGCATACGTTGACTAGGAAATGGTTGGTTACTCTTCTGATCCCTTAATATATACAGTATATTTCGATATGAATATTGTTCTATTTAAACGGTCATTTATTTTCTCACTTGTCTTCTCAAATACAGCCTGGAGAATCTATGTGGATTTGTGACTGTGTCCAGGCCTTTTGCATTTCAAACGAGGAGTGGATTTTAAAACCCATAAAGTGTGAACCACCACCTGAGCCCACATGTTCCAATGGGCTTGCTCCTGTCCGTGTGATGGATGAGAATAACTGCTGCTGGCACTGGGAATGTGACTGTGAGTTTGTATTGAAAACCTGTTAGGTGTTCTCTCATGGATCCATATGCACAGGGGGAAAGGTGTAGTTTAGGGCTGCCATATTTCAAAGTTGTTGAGCTTTCTCAAGTAAAAACTGCAATAATTTTTGAGCTTTGGAGCTTTCTTAGGCATTTTCGGCACAATTTAGCCCGTTGCCAGTTTTCTAGGACATTTGCCTGATTACTGAAAATAATCCAAGACACCATTTTTGGAAGCGAATTCCAGGACGTGTCCTGGAAATTCAGGATGTATGGCAGTATAAGTGCATCATATAACTTTTTGTTTCCCCTTTGAATACCTGTATCAGTGTAGAGCTGCAATTAGATATTTTGTGTCTTTCGTATGTTTGAACATAGAGTGAGGGAGTTTCTACTCATGGCTCACCCTCTGAACCCTTTTTGGCGCAAGGATTGAAAGGAGCCTGCAAACATATGCAAGAAATGCTCTTCCCTTATCACACACAGTAACAAAATAATCAATGTGAGGCATGGCTTCCAGGTCTAAAAAGACAGCTTCCAGAAAAGCTTGAAGATTTGTATCTTATTTTTAGAATTTCACTTTTAAGTAGGTCCTGCACAAGGGGTTTGCGCTGCCACCCATCCCCATTCTCCTCAATGTGCCACCCTGCTCCCATCCTCCTCTTAGTGGCAGTAGCAGTGCCAGTGGTGTTAAAGAAAAAATATGTTTGTGTTACAGTAAGTGAGGGTGAGGCGCAAGAGGAGGAGGAATGGGGGTTGGTAGAGGAGAAGGGGGGAGTGGCACCTGGAAGCCATGCCCCTAATGTCAAAAATATATGTTTTGCTAATGAGCACATAATGCCTGATAATACAAATGGAGATCTAAAACAAATTGCTTCGTTGCCATCCAGTGTTTTGATGTTATTGTATACCTCACAAGAAGGAGATTCCAGTTTCTTGAGCCATTAGTGCTGCTAGTGGGGCTGACAGTCTCTTACTCAATGTCACAGTTTCTGTGACAAACTCCATCTAGACTTTCTCAGTGCAAGAGCCATTAGGCTCGCTTCCCCCTTCCTGAAACAAAATGTTATTCATATTCCTATGTGTGCTGCCAAACAAGAACCAATCAATCAATTTTATTGTCTCTCTAAAGGCTACTGCACCGGCTGGGGAGACCCACATTATAAGACCTTTGATGGCCTCTACTACAGTTACCAAGGCAACTGTACCTACACCCTGGTGGAAGAGATTGTAAAAACCATCGACAACTTTGGAGTGTACATTGATAACTATCACTGTGACCCAAGGGAACCAGTGTCCTGTCCACGTACTCTCATTATAAAGCATGAGACTCAGGATATACGCATACACACTCTCTCATCTGTTCCTATCAAAATAGAGGTATGAGTCAAATGCCTTTTATTATTTAAAGCTACACCCTGTTAACTAGATAATTAATAACAGATTTGAAAATTAGTTTGTACTGTATCTCCCTTGGCTCATTTTTCATGACATTTACACAGTTTAAACTATAAACTGTTAACATGCTACTTTGGGTTGAGTTAACGCTTTGCCAACAATAAGTGATTTGGCTTCTTAACACAGCCTAGGATCCAGTTGTGCCTATTTGTCAGCAAAATGGCCTATCCATCAGGAGGGGAGTTTTGAAGAGGCTATGGGGAGGAGAGAATAATAGAATCATAGAGTTGGAAGGGACCCAAGGGAAGGAAATGTTCTATTGTGCAAGCAAAGTCCACCCACACAATGTTAGATTTCATCCAACAGATAGATAGATGATAGATAGACAGACAGACAGACAGATAGACAGACAGACAGACAGACAGATATAGATTTATATGCTTAAAAGCCAACCAGCAAATTGACTAAAACAATTCCTTGTTCCTTTTCTCTGGTATGCTATAGTCCTGCATTTAAAAATGCTGTTTGAAAAGATACATTTTTTTATTCTAACTATTTTACATCCTTTCCCACCCTTTGGATATTAGGTACTCGTAAATGGGAATGTTGTGAACTTACCTTACACAAAATATGGTGTGAAAATTCATCAGTTAGGTATGAATTACATGGTGGTAATTCCTGAATCAAAGATAAATATAACCTTCAACGGCATATCTTTCACTATTCGGATGCCCTATGAACTATTTGGCAACAACACCCAGGGCCAGTGTGGTAAGGATTATTTTGTTTTTTCTTCTAAAATGATACACTGAAAAGCAAATAATAAGAACAATATCAGAAATATAAAGGTGAACCATTATGGGAATACATTAACAAAACTAATTTAAACAGTAATAGTAATATATTGTGTGCAAGCAGCTTTTTACTATTAATGAAAATTGTTTTCAAAAACACACACCTAATGAAACTTAGAAAGTTCTGTGCTATAAGTTCTGTGAATTCATCTTCAGACCTTGTATTATTAGTATTGATAAAAATAATAATTAGTAACAATGGAAACCAAATGATGTACAGCTGCCTGAATTCCTCTGCTTTATGTCAATTTTAGGTACATGCACCAATAATACAGCAGACGACTGTCGGCTGCGCAATGGAGAACTTGCAGAAAACTGTGTACAGATGGCAGATGACTGGTTTATTACTGATGACTCCAAACCCCATTGCCCCCGATTGCCCCCGATTCAGGAACCAACAACCCGCCCGCACTGCGAACCATCTCCGCTCTGTAAACTTTTACTTGAGGGGTAAATGTGCTCTTACCAATTTTCACTTTGGGATTTGTATCTGTTTAGTTTGGTGTTTGGTCTTCATTGCTTAAAAGTTTGGCTTCTTTCTTTCTTTCTTTTCTTTCATCACTTGCCTGCTCTTCAGAGTGATTTTGTTTTAGAAATTCATCCTATATCTGCATGGATTTTTCTGGGGTAATGGAGTCACCCAAAACTAATGGTTGTTTTCCTGTTTTTAATCCAGTTGCACAAGTACAACTTTTGGATTCTGATATGCTTCTTTTTTTAAAAAACAAAACAAAACATTTTGAGCACTTTTATTCTTTTTTAATTCTTTTTTTGTGCTGAAAGTACTTTACAGTGTTTTATCTGTGTTTCCCACAAATGCACCCCTACATCCCCTTCATTACACTGAAGCTCCCTGCCCTCTCTAATCATAGTGTTGACAAATGACAATTTGCATTCTATTTGCCCATAGAGAATGTACCCCTGGTCTATTATATATTTCTTACAGATCATCTGATTCATTATGCTCTACATTGGCCAATGATATCCTCTGATAGGGTACTTCTGGGGGTTCATCAAGCCCCTGGGGTTTGGTTGGCCTTCACTCAGGGCTGAGCCTTTAGTGTGGCAGGTCCTGCACTGTGGAAGTCCCTACCAGCAGAGGCTTCGCAGGAACATCTTTTTTAAAAATGGCCTTTGCAAGATAAATTTTCTCTTTCTACCCAGCCAGTATTGATTGATTTTTCTAATTTTGGACACTGTTGTCGGTTTTATTTTTATATTTTATATAGCACCTTGTTATACTTTTATGATGTTGATTATAAATGCATACATAAGTAAAAGTGTGTGTGTGTGTGTGTGTGTGTGTGTGTGTGTGTAATGATGCATTTGTAGAATGAACAGATTCCTTGATGAGATAAGCATGGATCATCAGTACCTAATGCTGTTTTTATTCTTCCTGCATCTAGCGAATTCAAGAAGTGTCATGATGCTGTTGATTATGAAAACTTCTATGCAGCCTGCGTGTTTGATAACTGCAGGATTCCCGACCGTGGCATGGAATGTGCAAGTCTTCAGATCTATGCATTTACCTGTGCAGATCAAGGTGTCTGCATTGATTGGAGAGGGCTTACCAATGGCACATGTAGTAAGTGCATATTTCTTAAATTCATCTGGAACTATTTGGGACAACTGTAGAGCTGAGATGGGGAACCTGTCATTCTCCAGATTTTGTTAGACTATTAATTCTCATTAGCCCCAGCCAGCATAGGCACTGATCAGGATTATGGATGTTATAGTATAACAGCATCTGCAGAGCCACAAGTTCCCCATCCCTGTTGTAGAGTTACTGGGTATGCCTTCACAAAGGCCCACTAGCACTCTCCCATGAATGTCTTAACTCAAGAACCATACTGTAGGTGAAGTGAAGGGATGATGTATAGGGTTTTGCCCATCTGATTCCCCTGTGTGTACAGCCCATGGTTCTCCATAGCTTCTGTAGGGCATGAATTCACATGAATGCATCCAAACATTTGCACACATGCATTCTGTTATTTAAGTTATTTTTTAGATCTAGTTGAAGTACAGTTTTCCAGAAGCTTACCGAAATACTTTTATGAACCCTGCTAATAGTTGGAGATCTCAGATTCTAATAGAAAATGCAACTCTGAAAACATATTTTTCTTTTTGATGTTTTTGCTTAAAAACAGTTATCTAACAATTTAAAAGTGCTATCACTTACACAAGAGATTTTATTTCATTGAGCTTAAAATGCCCCAGGCAAAAGCAAGTAGGAAGCTAGCACCCAACGAGTAGCAGATGAATGAGTGGGAAGGATGGAGATAGGCCACCATAGGTTATTCTCCACCCTCTCTTTTCTTTTTGTTGCCAGTTCATGATGGCACCTTATGGTGGGCTGTGCCAGGATGGACAACTATGTTTTCTCCGCATGCAAGTAGCCTATGTTACTTAGGTTATTGAGTGTGTCCAGATAAGGAAAGCACCATTAGATACTATCACTGACCAATAAGAGAGAAGAAGGTACACAGATGAGAAAGTCTACACCAATCCGTTTATCCCACCTTCTGTGTTCCTCACTCAGTGGTTTCCTGCTTTGTTTGTTGGGAGAGCCCATATTCTGCCTTTGTTTTTTTGTTCTTGGTTTAGAAATGCATACAGTTAAAGCAGGAAAAAATCATCATGGTTAATATTGCTGATCCTTCTGCTTCATTAATTTTTCCCTTTAAAAAAATAATTCTAGGCGTCAGCTGCCCATCTAACAGAATTTACAAAGCATGTGGTCCTGCTCAAGAGGAGACTTGCAAATCAGGGTAATTACTTTCCCACCAGCCCAATCTCAGTACCGTCTGTCTGCATGAACTGATGTGATGAGCTCTTTGGTACTGTCACTTAGTATAATAGATGTGTATTGTATATAATGAAGTAGAATTCCTATCCTTGGTTTCAAAGTCCACAACACCTTAAAATCCCCCAAACATCACTGTCTGGCCTAGAAATTCCACACTCATAGTGCATGCCAATCAGTGTGCAGTTCACACATATACTTGGAAAGGGTGGTACAGGGAGCACCCAAGCCATATATGCCATACATGTGACGTAGGTGCTGCAATATGCATACAGTTCTACAACCTTGCTCCCAATTTGTTTGGTATTTCACTCTCCATTTCAGTAGGAAGCTCACATGAATCAGACCTGTTCAAATATTATCTCACTGTATGTGAATACAGTCTGCATTTGGATGTGGGCGAACACTAAACAGTTCTTCATGACACATTTACTCAGCATTTGGTGACTCTCAGGTCAATGTGCAAAGGATCGCTCTTGGAATGCATTGTGTTCATATACCCATTAACCAAGGTCTTTTGTTGCTCTGGATTATTTCATGCATAAGAGATGGTGCAAGGCATGCAACTTGGTCCTTACCTGAGTTAATCGGTAGTAAAACCACAAATTTTACCGGCTGGATTATGTATGATTATTTGTTACCTGAAAGGCAGTGGAATTTTCTGCCTACTTCCCTTGAGCCCACCCTGTCATCCTTGCACAGACCCCTATAAATATATGTTGTTTCCATCACGCAACACACACAGAAAATGACATCAACATGTGGTCTCTAGAATGCAGTGCAATATTGATACAATAATCCAGAACATCCCCAAAATCAGAACAGTTATTTTCTCCACTCATACATCAGAAAGTTGTGGCTTCAGCTATATACCTGTATATCTACAGATAAAGGGATATAGATAGATAAGTCATAGATTTATCATTTGAAATGTCATTGGCTTAAACTATAAGTTTCTGTTATGCTGTATGTGAAGAATCCTGACTTTTTGAACTGTTTATCTATTGTAGCTTAATAGGAGTCAACCAAACCCAACAAATTGAAGGCTGCTTCTGCCCTGAAGGGACAACACTTTATGATGCTGGTGTGGATGTTTGTGTGAAAACCTGTGGTGAGTTTTCATTCTGATTCTTCTTTCCCCCAGGAATTTAGGCTACAATTCTATGACTCCTGGAAGGGTATTGCATGGGCCATAGGATTTTTTGCATCTCCTTCTCTGTGGGTGGAGAGTAAAATCCATGGGTGGAGAAGGACGTCTGAGCCTCCTCACTGCAGCTGTAGAAACCTCTACAGATGTCCCTCTTTTGCTGATTGGCGTAGGAGGGGAAACTGGCCTCTGTCCCTCTTTCCTTCCCTCCCTCCTCTGATGTCCTCTAGCGTCTCTGCCTCTCAGAGGCTTCTGCGGCTGTTTGTTGCAGCAGCCCTGGCTACAAGCTCCCCAGGCAAATGGTGCCTCTGGGGCTGGCCAAGCGTTGCTGGTTGCCAGGAGCTGAGGCGGCCTCGGAGTATGCAAGGAAGTGGGCTAGGGAGCCCAGCCAGCTAGCCCACCAGCCCTTGCTGTTAGGAATGGACAGACAAGTGGGAAGCCCGGCAGGCAGGCACTGCATTGGCCTTCCTTGTGCTTGCTGTGTGCAAGGCGTGTCTTGGAGCTGAGTGCCCAGTGCTGAAGGGGAGCCTTTCTGCCATGCAGGCCCGGCAGTGCCTGCTGCTGCCGGTAAGGTGCTGGCCTCACATTCTACTTTGGCCAGTCTCTGCTGGGCGACTAAGGCTGGGGGCATGGTCTTCCCAGGCCCCTGTGGAGCAGTGTGAGGAGGCACCTCTCTTTGGAGCGGGGAGGGGGCAGCTCAGAGACCAGGGGTGGCAGCTGCGGCTGCCCAGAGGACTCCCAAGGAGAAGGGAGAGTAGAGGAGGCTGAGGGAACACTCCACAAGGGAGGATATTAGAAAAAGCATAAGAGGCTGCCAGCTCTGTAGGCAAGGGGTGACATAGCTGGGCTCCTGAGCCCCACAGAGAAAGAATGTAGTTGGTCAAGGGAGACATGGACTCAAAAAGGTTGAAAACCTCTGGCCTAATGAACTTATTAGTAATGGATATTTTCTTTATTCTGCTTGCAGGATGTGTTGGGCCAGATAATATACCAAGGAAGGTAAGATGCAAGTCTGTTTGTTTTGTGTTCCTTTTTTGCTGAATTGTAAGTATTCAGTTGTAAGTTTGCTTTACTTTGGGGAAAGGAAGTGCAAAATCCCAACAACTTTGTTTTCTATTGCTTTTTCAACTATTTGGAGATAATCTCATCAAGGGATCCATCATGATAAACAGTTTTTGGAATGTAGCAGAATTAGGATTGTAATAAAATGACCTACCAAAATTAGCTCCCTTTTGCTATTTTCCAAAATATATGTTAGTTATTTGGTTATTTAAAAAGTTCATAGCCTGCCCATCCTTGGTAACAATACTAGAATGGATTGTAGCAAAAAAACAAAAAAAAAAAACCCCAAAAAACAAAAAAAAAACCACAAGCAAAAACAAAGCAAAGCAGAATAACCATAAATAAAACAGTTTGATTTTCACTTGATGTTATATGACATCAGTCATTTTAATCTTCATGCCACAGTTGCAAGGGAAGGTTTTTCCTCTGTACCCATGACTGGAAGTGCAAAGAAATGATCTTTATTTGCAGCCACAGCTTATAACAGGTGCTCCTTGATTTTGGTTCCCTTTTCTGTTGCTGAACAAAAAAAGGTGCCAAATTTAAAAAGTGCCTATTTCAAGCCAGGACTTGTAAGGAGGATCCTTTATTTGCACCTCAAGCCATGGCTGAAAAGAAAGAAATGGGAGTGCTCTTAGAGTTACCCCAATTCTTTCTTTTGACTTTGGTGCTATAGCTATGGTGTCAAGTGATGAACAGGTGGGTGTGTTTATACCCCAATGGCCTCATGGTGGGTCTAATTAAGTGCACAGACTGAAGGTTCCCCACTGCTTCTGTCAGGAGAAGGCATTCACCCAGGGGGTGCTGCCCAGAAGAAGTTAAAGCAGACATTCCACAAACCTCATGGACAGAAAATTTTTATTACAGTTTGTACCATGTAGGCTTTGACCAAACTGCGGGAGGTAGTGGAGGACAGAGGTGCCTGGCGTGCTCTGGTCCATGGGGTCACGAAGAGTCGGACACGACTAAACGACTAAACAACAACAACCGTGTAGGCATTCACAAACTTAATGTGTTTTACCTTTCTTGAATGATAGTTTGGGGAGGAGTTTGAGTTTGACTGTAAGAAGTGCAGTTGCCTGGAAGGAGGCAGCGGTATTACCTGTGAGCCCCTCAAATGTCCATCAGATGATGATGTCAGCTGTGAAGGAGATGGATTCTACACAATCACTGAAGTCAATCCTGATAACAAATGCTGCTCTAAAACCACTTGTGGTAAGTCCATCTTGGTAGCCCTTTGCAATTCAAATACCTGCTTTGGAGCAACCAATGGTCAATGGTAGAGCAAATACATGAGGTTGCATTCAGCATAGTGCTAAGGTGAAGGTTCTGTCAGTGCAAGGATTCCTCCTTGTGCACTAGAGTGTTCACCCCCTTTCTGTCCCTTGTGTGCCCCCTAAATTTGCTCTGGAGCTTCTCCAAGGTTTTTGGAACAGCTTTGGGGATGATATGGGACATGCACAGGGAGAGGAGAAAGGGGAAATCCCCTAGTGCTAATCATTGCCTTAGCACAAAAGGTTTAATGCAGCCCATGATGTGTATAGGGCTATAGGTTCACTTCCCAGTGCTAGCAATTTTCAGACAGCAGAGGTACAGCAGACTACAAAGTCCCTGTAAGTTCATTGGTCTGTTTCGGTGATTAGTTGTTATTATGCTATTTTGTTTTTTTGGGGGGGGGGGAGCCAACAAGCATTTTCCAGCAGTAGCAGTTGCTGGTGTGGGCAGGGCAGGGCAGGGCAGGGCAGGGTTGCTCACCTGGCTTTGCAATGCCTCGTGGTTACTGCTCCTTACAAGGGGGAGAAGGGGCAAAGCAGCAGGGAGCTCAGTACAATTGAAGGCACAGCAATAGGAGTGGTGGATTGGCCCCACCTGCCAGAGAATTAAGAACTGAATAAATGCTTTCAATTACAGTTTCCTCAACTATGGGAGAACTCCTGTTGCACAATGCATGATTACTTCACTGTTCAATATTCTTTTGCAAGATGCCTGGTTAATTCACTGTTCAGTACTCCTGGTTGAACCCAGTTTAAGGAATTTCCCCATGTTTCTGCAATATCATTTTGCCCTTTCTTCTTTACAGTATGCAATGCCACTGACTGCACAACAGAGCCTCCTAAATGTCAGCCAGGGTATGAGTTAGTTTCTGAAGTTCCTGAAGGCCACTGCTGTCCTGATCACCGATGTGGTAAGTCTGTTTTAACAAATTATGAAAGGATAAGCATGGCACATCACATTCTGGTCCTAAGCATGCTTAGAAGTGAATCTGGCTGTTGTCAGTGGAATTTGCTTCCCAGTTGTATCCTTAGCTTACAGTCTAATGAAGCAGTAGCCAACCTGGTGCCCTCCAGAGGTCGCAGGACCACAGCTCCTACCATCCCTGACCACTGGCTGTGCTGGCTTGGGACTGATGGGAGTTGTAGTCCAACAACATCCCGTGAGCCACATGCTTGCCATCCCTGCTGGTAAAGGAAGCATGGTGGGGAGCTATGTAACACTGAGTACATTTTTAAAAAATATCCAGTGGTTTAATATAGAATATTTTAAATGTTGCCTTCTTTTTTTGTAGTTCCCAAAAACGTTTGTGTGGCTAACGGTAATGAATACACGGTAAGATTTCCTTTTCTTCCTTACTCTGCTAACAGAAGTTTCATGAAGTGATTTGTCTGTTTGTCCATTTTTGGAGCCCAGTTGCACATCCAATTTTCTAAAGAAAGGACATCATTCCAAAACACTTAATAACACATTTCTATATACATCTACTCAAGACTTGAGTTCAACAGGGTTTGCTCACAGGAAAATATGGCTGCCTTAGGCTGCAGTTACAAGGAACTAGCCCCATTGAACAGAGTGGGACTTTCTTCTGAGTAGACAGTAGCATAGGATTATACAGACATACTTTGGATCCTGAACGCCTTGCGACTCGAACATTTTTGCTCCCAAATGCCACAAACCTGGAAGTGGGTGTTCCAGTTTGCGAATGTTCTTTGGAACCCGAACGCCCAACACGGCTTCCGCAGCTTCCGATTGAGTGCAGGAAGCTCCTGCAGCCAATCAGGAGCTGCGCTTTGGTTGTCGAACATTTTTGGAAGTTGAATTCCAGAATGGATTCTGTTTGGCAACCAAGGTGCGACTGTACTGTGAAATCAGTAGCAGTGTATGAAGTGGGTGGAACAGCAGAAGTAGCCTTCCACTGGCAGCACTGCTGTTCACAGAATAGGGCAAGATGAGGGGCTGGTGAGATTGAAGTGGGACTCCAGGTTGGCAGCAGTGGTGCTTCACATCCTCATGTACCTGTGGAACACAGATGCTGCCAAACCCAGAGCTCCCCCAGGCTTGCCACTTTCTCTCACTTCCCCATCTGCATCCGGGAGAATGAAGTGCCTCCACCACTGGGAGGTCAGTGCTGCTGATCCACACCCAACCGCACCCCCCACACTTTGCTGGTAACGATCAAATGAACAAGAGTGTGAATTAAGCAAGGATAGATATTCAAGAGGGAATTAGCAAGAGATGGAAACAAATTAAAATTAAATTAAATCTAAAGCAACTACTGCCACTGGGCCATTCTCATGTTATTCCATATATTTTTTTGGTAGTCATTTTGTACTAAAGTAATATAAACAGGTCTGTTTCATGCTTTGCTTATAGTTTATCTCTTGCTCCCCTATTCCAGCCTGGCTCTCAGATCTTAGGAGATAAGTGCCAGAAATGTGTCTGCACAAAGGAAAAAGACAACAGTACTTCGCTGAATTTGATCAGTTGCAGCTACATCCCATGCCCAACGACGTGTGAACAAGTAAGCACCATCCACTTTAAGAACAAAACCGAAAACCAGTTGCTATGATGATGATGATGATTACCTAGATCTAGTTCATTCTGGTTTCAGACCTGGGCTTGGGACTGAATCAGCTTTGGTTGCCCTGATAGGAAAGAGATGGGGGAGTGCAACCCTGCTGCTCTTTCTTGATCTCTCAGCAGCTTCTGATACCACTGACTATGTTATCCTGATGGATCAGGTCTGTGGGGGGCATTGTTTTACAGTGGTTCCATTCTTACTTGCAGGGTTGTATCTAGAAAGTGGCACAGGGAGACTGCTCCTTGGGCCCATAACAGTCCCACAGCACACAATTTGGCCCCCAGTGCTATTTAACATCTATATGCAACCATTAGAAGTAGTCATTGGGAGTTTTGTGGCAAGGTGTCCTCAGGATGCTGAGGATACCCAGCCCTAAAAAGGTAAAGGTACCCCTGCCCGTACGGGCCAGTCTTGACAGACTCTGGGGTTGTGCACCCATCTCACTCTATAGGCCGGGAGCCAGCGCTGTCCGGAGACACTTCCGGGTCACGTGGCCAGCGTGACAAAGCTGCATCTGGAGAGCCAGCGCAGCACACGGAAACGCCGTTTACCTTCCCGCCAGTAAGCGGTCCCTATTTATCTACTTGCACCCAAGGGTGCTTTCAAACTGCTAGGTTGGCAGGCGCTGGGACCGAGCAACGGGAGCGCACCCCACCGCGGGGATTCGAACCGCCGACCTTTCGATCGGCAAGCCCTAGGTGCTGAGGCTTTTACCCACAGCGCCACCCGTGTCCCGCCACCCAGCTCTAGTTCTCCATTATATTTTATTCAGGAGAGGCTGTGAAAGACCGGGACCAAGTACCTGGATGCATTGTTAGACTGGATGAGGGCAGCCCTGGGAAGACAGAGGTCTTGTGGGTGGGGTGGTTCTCAGATCCAGGAGATAGACCAGTTGCCTGTCCTGGATGGGCTAACACTCCCTCTGAAGAAGCAGATACATAGTTTAGAGGTATTCCTTGAACCATCATTGTCACTCAGGTGGCCTGTATGCCTAGGAGTGCCTTTTATCCAGTTCCCTTCTACTGGTATGCAACTGGATAGGTATAACTTACCCACTGTAGTCTGTGCGTTGGTACATCCCAAGATTGAATTATTGTAACACACTCTGTGTGAGGCTGCCCTTGCATCTATTGTATGTTTTAAATTTTAAATTATATATATTATATGCTTCATTGTTGTAAGCCACCTTGAGACCACATGGTGAAAAGCAGCATATACGTTTTAAAATAAATATAAAGGTTGATGGAACAATGTGAAGTGGGTCTGATCAGGATGACTCAGGCCTCCTTTATACAACTTCTTTGTATATCCCTGTTGAAGTTGGAAGGGTTAACATGTTCAGGGATAGGTTTCCCATCCATACCCTTTTGTGTGAAGCAAGGGTTAAGATCTACCTCTGACAGAGGCCTTCATATTTCTTTTGTATTCTTTTACTTTTTCCTCTCTTTCTCTCCCCCACCCCGACTTTAAAGTTATTTCCCTTTTTCATTTTGATTAACATTCATCTGTTTCTTTTGCTTACTATGCTGAAAAGTTTCAATAATAATAACATTTCAAAAAAGTGGTAGCCCTTCCCAGGTATTTTCCCTCCATCACATGAGGTGGGGGGGGGGAGAGCAGAGGTGTGCCCTTTCTGGCCCCAATCCCTCACTCACATCACCATCACCGCTCCCACATTCTTCCATGCGCTGAAGCTGAATTTCTGGAGCAGGGAACCTTTTCGTAGTTTGAAACCTTGATCTTCCATTATTCATCTAAAAGTGGTTATATAAGCCAGCACATGTAGGAGCCATAGCAGTTGTCATTATCTGAACTGGCCCATAAACATTGTCATTTTGTAGATCTGTAGGCTGGATTTTATATATCTGTAGGTGGGGCATTGGATTTTTTTGTAGGGGGAGGATAGGATGGAGTATGCAAGAGTGGTATAGTTGGCTGGATGACTAAGAAGCCTGAGCAGGAGCACCGCACATGGCAAAGTTTTGTTGCAGATCCCATATCATAATTGTGCATCTCTTTCTCCCTAGGGACATACTCTTATTCATCAGGACGGTGAATGTTGTGGGGTGTGTGTGCAGACAAGCTGTGTTATACGAACACCTGAGAATGATGTTTTCATCTTAAGAGTAAGTGTTTTGTGTTTTAAAGAGTCCTCAAACAGTAATGATTTTCATGTAATTCTGAACTTCTGATGTAGGGGAAAAAGCAACTAGCATTCAGAGAAAGAGACTGGCTGCAAATGTCGAAATCTATAAATAAAACCCACATACCCTTATGGCACCCAAGTATCTGTGTGAGATCCTAGTGATGTGTATTAGTTTTAAAAACAAATGAAAAAAGAATCAAATGCATTTCCATTTATTTTATATTTGTTTTGTGGGCACATTCATTTTTATTTTGAAATTATCATTTTTCAGATTTGACATGTCCAATCAGCATGAACAACGGCAGTGATGGTGCCTTTGAGAGAGCAGTACGCTGCCTGCAAATGTTAGTGGCTGTGTGACAGCAAAGTTATAGGCAGGCAAAAACAAAAGGAGACCACCCAAAGTTGCAGGGAGTTAATTGCTACCTCTTTCTTAACTGCCTCTGCAACGGATATCCTTTGTCCAAACTGAAATTTGGCAAAGCAACCACCCCAAGAGGGTAGTAAAAATTCTGCAAATTTCATGCCATTTGGATGGAAAGCATCAGGCTACAGGCAGCAAAAGTTCAGGCATGTCTTCACCGAGAGCAACAGGAAAATAAAAACAAATAAAATTAAAATCCGAAAAATATTGGCTTTTGAAAATGATGAAGTCCATGGAACTGGCAAGATTAACAGCAAAGAATAGAGATCAAAATGACAAAAAGTATTTAAAGAACTACTATAGTGAGAAGAAAATACGAGCAGGAGTTGAAATATGAGCAACAGTGGGAATTATTAGGACGCATAGGTCAAAATGGATGTATTGAATAGTATAGGCGAATTATGCAGCATGGAAGCTGAGGACAGGAAGTCAATGATAATGTAACTTACAGTTTATGTTAAAATTTGTAAAGTTTTTTTGTGAAAAATTAATAAATGGACAAGTGAAGCAAAAGCAGTTAAAAGCAGATAAAATGAAACAAATATGGTTTTAGTAGTTAAAACAAAAATATTTTCCCCCCATTTGCACTTTTCAAATTTCTCTCTTTCCCTTAGCTCCCTATTCTTCTTATTCCACTTATCTGATGCTGACAGTTTACAAAAGCTTCCTTGCTTAGTTACCAGGGAGTGATTATGGTTGAACAAATGAGTGCCTATTTAGTTGCAACTCCATCCTTAATCACTCCCTCACATACTTATTTTCTGTTCCTTCATTCCCACAAAACTGGCCTCAGTCCTGACTGGGACTATTCTTGGGTAAAGAGTCTTATCTTTCTACTGCAAGCTCCCTCCAACCCCAATATTTTAACCTTCCTTATGGGCCCTTCTACCATATTGGCTGCTCTGCTATTCATAAGAAAATACACATTTAGAAAACAGGAAGATGTTTTGCCAGTATTTAATTTGTTTCCTTATCTTGAATAGCCTGGTGAGCAACGGAGTGCTCCACACGACAACTGCACTATTTACAGCTGTGTGAACATGCATAGGCAGCTGGTCTCCTCCACCTCTTCAATAAGCTGCCCAGCATTTAACGAGGAAACATGTCAGCCTGTGAGTAAATACTGAATATACACATTCCATCTTGTGAAAACTTTAATTTGATTAGCCCACCCTATGAGCAAGAGCTGTTACAGTTGGATTTTGTGTTGAATTCTTGGCTTATCTGTCATTTTAAAGTGATGGCTGTGAAAGAAAGAAAAGATCCTGCATGGTTGGTAGTGCCATATAAATGCAGTAAGGTAAAGGTAAAGGGACCCCTGACAGTTAAGTCCAGTCGTGGACGACTCTGGGGTTGTGTGCTCATCTCCCTCTATAGGCCGAGGGAGCCGGCATTTGTCCGCAGACAGCTTCTGGGTCATGTGGCCAGCATAACTAAGCTGCTTCTGGCGAACCAGAGCAGCGCACGGAAACGCCATTTACCTTCCCACCGGAGTGGTACCTAATTATCTACTTGTACTTGGACGTACTTTCGAACTGCTAGGTTGGCAGGAGCTGAGTCCGAACAACGGGAGCTCACCCTGCCGCAGGGATTCAAACCACCGACCTTCCGATCGGCAAGCCCTGGGCTCAGTGGTTTAGACCACAGAGCCACCTACTCACTGCATTAAACATGTTTGTACTCTCCGTGAATTGGATCCAGACTAAGTTAGCTGCACTTAGCTCTCATGGAAATCAAAGTCATGACTGATGTAGGTGTAGCTACATTCTTCGTCTGAATCTGATGTAGTGTAAAGAAAATATCTGGTGTATCTTCAGTTATATGCATAAATTGCTTTCTTAATATTTTTTTTTAGTCAACAGTTCCTACTGTTAAGGATTAAAGGTTAAAAAAAAGTTTAAAGGGAACAAAAAGAAACTATTCAACACACATAGACTTCTAAACCAAAGGTCTCACCCCACTGGTTCTTGAACCTTACTTCATTGTCAGGTTGGGGGCTTTGCGCTGTTCTAGTTGGATATGCAATTCAATAATACATTTTTCTTCCTAGGACACCATTGCCTATTTGCCCAGTGGCTGTTGTAAAACTTGTAAGTATCATAAATTATATATCTATGCCATCTATGCCATCTATGACATCTCTATGCCATCTATGACATCTCTATGTGATAAATAAATACGCACAGTGTTTATCATACTCTGAGTACAGCCATGAGTCATCTCTGAGTATGACTTAGTTGAGTATCACCCAAACAAAAAATAAAATGGGCCAGTTTGCTTTGATTTGCAAACTATATTCAAAAGAAAGTGGGTTTGCATATTTTTACTGTAACTGCACTCTTAATATCTTGCTTTGGTTTAGATGCTCAGCTTTATATCTGGGCTCTCCTGAAATATGGTACTTTTGTCCTGCAGGCGATTCCAACCTTAAAACTAGCACATAGTGAGGGGATGCTTAGTACATCCTTCCCTAGCCTCCTCTCCCACATGGCTAGGAGCCATTCAGGCTGCACTCCTGCAAGGCTGCACTTTCCTGGGAGTAAACCCCATTCAAATCAATGGGGCTTACTTCTGAGTAAGAGGAGTAATATAGAGGATTTTTGTGTCAGTTGTGTTACCAAAATGCATTTAGGGCTAAATATTGGCTGAACTTTTACATTTCTTGAATAGCTACATACTATGGCATGCAAGTAATTTGGTGCTACTCATAACTCAGTCCAGGTGAGCAAAAAAGCTTGATGTTCTGGAAAACATTTGAATAAAAGTTTTTTAAAACATTTTATCCTGCAGGCAAGCCCAAAGATCACCCAGTTCCAGTGCCACCTTGCTCTCTCTCTGAAATGAAGGACTATATCGTTCATGATGGTTGCCGTTCAGCAGACATGGTCCCTGTGGCCCAGTGTGAAGGACATTGTGGAACTTCCTCAATGTATGTAAAGCCAAATTACAATAAGATCCTGCAATGCATTTGTACCCATTTGTTTAATTATTCAAATTTAGTAATGTAATCAAATTTACTAATGTGATTTTTTGCAAGTAATTTCTCCTAACATAATGTATTTCTGTATGTTTTCATTAATATCTTCACTTTTATGCACACACAAAAATCAGATCAATTTGTATTTTGAAGAGTAGCTACGTTTTGGTTCACATGTTGTTCCACAAAGTGTGAATTTGACAGATTTGGCTTTAAAATGCACACTGAATCAAATTTCTCCTCCATCTGTAATTGGTAAATATGTATAGGACTGCAACCCCAATCTTTTAGCTGCTATGCTACACCTACATCAAAACTTATTTTCTACTGTGAGAGCCAATTTGACTTCAATACTTCATACCCTCCAACATTTATCCAATGAAAATAGGGGCACCCTAGGGAAAAGTGGGACATTCTGGGATCAAATAAGAAACCGGGATGGCTTCTGAAAATAGGGACACTTGGAGGGTCTGGTACTTTGGTCTCTTGATCCTCCATCTTAAAAAAACAAAATCCAGAACAACCAACTAGCTATGGTGGTATAATTAGAGACAGCACATTATTTAAAGTGCATCATCCTCGATTCAATATTATGTGGAAATACCGGAATCTTGTCATTTAGCAAATGAGTTGAGCAAACACGAGTTTCTCCTAATATCACCCGCCACTAAAATTGCTCATAATTTCAATCTGTGTCACAGAGTAACTCTTTTTCACCTTCTTGTGCTACAAAAACAGATACTCTTCTGAAGCCAACTCCATGAAACACAAGTGCACATGCTGCAGGGAGTCAAAAGTATCCGAAAAGGAAATAACACTGGTGTGCCCTGACGGGAAGAACAAGAAACACAAATACCTTCAGGTGGACTCTTGCGAGTGCCTCAACACCGAATGCAACAGTTCACACTCATCAAACGAGTCCCAGAAGAGCACAGAAGAAAATAGCAGGGAAGACTCCCAGGAAGATGAACTGAATGCTGTGGCTCGTGTCAGGAGGGCCATTAGTTCGGTGAAGAGAAGGATGGGAATATAATGAGCTAATCAACAGGTTAAAAGTGAAAAGAAAAGTTATACAGGGACGACCCATGGTTTCATTTTTCACAAATAATTCTGCGCTTGCCCTTACTTTCCACGGGCCTCTTAAATCTGTGCCCTCTTTGACTGTTTCCCCTTATGATCGCTTTATTTATTTGTGTTAAACAAAAAAAAAAGTGCAAGTCGTTTTTCCCTGAGTGTAACAAAGTTTTATGTTTTGGACTTTTGAATCGTTTTCTTTTCTTCTTTAAATAATTAAAAGCACATTTAAAAACTGAAGTCTCCGCATCCAGTTTTGTTAGTAAACACCTGCACTCTTGGACTTCCTAAGCCTGTGTGAGCAGGAACTTTGCTTTAGGAGTTTGAAGAGAAAATGGCAAAATCTATACATTTTCTAAAACAACAAATGGCCTGTCCACACACCATTTGTGCTCCATGGGTTTAGTTCCCTGGTATTTTTGTTCTTTTCAATGTCCCTGGGTGGCTTCATTGAACTTTTAAGGAGTTCAGTAGCAGCTATATGCTGATGATAACTAGCTTTCCCCTAGAACATTCCCTCTCAATCCAACCCTGCATTTCCAACTGCCTGGCTGGCTGTGATTTGTGTCTCATCAATAGATATATAAGAGGGCAGTGATTTCTGTCATAGGCAGCACTGTTTTCATTCTGCTGCAGTTCAGTTTCACCCAAATACTGCTATTTATCTTGCTGGCTGCTATTCAGTCTAAGTCATAACATACATTTATCTCAGTATAATGGAAATGCCAAGGCAATATTTTAAAATATCATTAATTACATATCACATTGTGATGTAAACAAATGGCCATAGGGATAAGGTACCCCATAGAAAACCCACAAGGCCGACTGAAAGCATCCTGCATGGATAAAAGAGACAGGCTGGGCACTGGATACGGCCCAAGGGTTATGGAGCTTCTACAAGCCAAGGTTCCTAAGCTTCGGGCTTTTCCATTTGGGAGTCAGAAATTAATTTTTAAAATAGGATGTATATGTTCCAAAACATCAGCTGATTCACTCAACGTCCGTACAAAACCATAGTAGTTAGGCATAGCTTTTTTGAAATAAAAGTGAAACATCAATGAATATTAAACTATTACTGTTGTCATTTATTTACCTCATGTATGCTATGGGGCATCCTAAACAAAAGTTATATTGAAGATTTAACTTTCATCATAACTATCTAGAATTTTTACACTTCCTCGTTTTTTAATTTTAAAAGAAAGTTAAATTTTAAAAGAAAGTTAAGGGTAGTTGTAGTCACAGTCTTAAATGTTTTGCTGGTATTGCAGGTCTTGGTTTTCACCACTAAAGGGCAGCCTATGGCTGAACATGTAAAAAGGTGTGGAGTTTCAGTTTAAAAACAAAGACAAGGACTTGCATGGGATTGTACTTTGAATGTATTTTTTCAATATTGTCTGCAAAATTCAATTATCTAGAAGTATACATAATAAAATTAAAATCTGAGATGCTCATAGCATGATGCAACAATGAATAAGTTGTGTCAGCAGCCGTCCAAGAAAACACTTTAAATTAACTCATTTCAAATTCACTTGTGGAGACACAGTATGACAGCAGAGAAAATAATTAGCCATTTGCAACTTATGAGCTGTGAATGTGATAATCACATACCATAGGTAGTAGGTGCAGTCTACTCATGCCCAAGAGCTTTCTAATAAATGGGTCAGACACAAGACAAAGCTTTAAACTAGCAAAATATCATTTAAAAGCATGGCATATAGCCACTATTTCTTAGATTTAACAAGCATTACATGTTAACCCTGGATTTCCACTTTGAAAGCCATTTAGATTTGTAACATTAAACTACCTACCCCAAGGTGACGTGGCCTATTTATGACATCAGAGCTGTTAACCCAATGAAAGGCAAAGGGGAGATTCTCATGCAGAGGGCCTATTAATCAGCTTACAATGGCCCACTTAAGACTTCACAGAACACACTCACACACACTTACAGAATATTGAGCAATGGTAGCAAAAGAGCTCTGGTATACCGAGAGGTCATTGGAGATCTGGGAGGGTATTAAAAAAGCAGAAGTTGAGGGAAGTGCTAGTTTGTGACACGAGTTGCTGGAATTTGTGTGTGACAGCCTCATGTGGTGAACCACTGAACTGCAGGCGGCAGTGTTCTCATTGAAGAACATTCTTGTACTGAACTGACTCATCCAGGTTGACTAATGAATCCTTATCAGAGGAAAGGTGTATAAAGGGCTTCCTGTTCAAACTGAGCCTTGCTTGAGGAGCATGTTTCTGTATCATTGGTTATTGTTTTGTCATGACTTCTGGTTTTCTCCTTGTTCCTACCACCTAGTTTGCCCTTCAGTCCTGACTACTATCCTGTGTCCAGTGACTTTAAGTTCACAGTTCCTGGGTCACTTCAGACTACTGTCATGGCACAGCCCTCTGGAGGGAGGTCTAATGACACAACCAATGGATTTTCAACACAGTACTTCTGTATATGTCATCAGATGATGCTATCCTTGTGGCATGTTCTAGGTTGCAATCAGCAGCCTATAGCATAAAGACTTGTGCTGCAACAACACTGATAAAATCTATATGAGAAACCATGACCCCACTGTGGATATAATTGTGGCACGCTTTAAAGCTGTTATTGCTGTGATTGGAGAGCTGTGTTTCCTTTCCTTATGTATGTATCAAAAATTAACCAACAGCCACCGACGACTTGTAACAAAAGCAGTACCTTCATAACTCCTACTGTTTTTTAGGTGTGGTGAATCAGCTCCAATTTACTGCCTTCATGAGGTAAATCATACAGTTAATTTTTAAGCTGTGCAGTAACCGAATCCAAACACTGCTCTGTGGCAAATGATCCATGAAAAATGTTGTTCCAAAGACCATAGCTCTGTGACAAATGGGATTTATAGCTTAACTGGTTTGTAGGCCAGAGGTGAAAAGTCATAAATTTTGACATGTCAGTCTACAGGGCAAAGACATTTATGAAACATCATTGGTAATAGTTCTCTGTCATAGTGTCTTTTCAGATGCTGTTGACTATAGGAAATTCCAGTGATGGTGATAATTACTGCAATTCCTAAACTGAAAAGCACAGTAATTATATGTAAATGATGCAGGCTCTTGCATGTAGGCGCCAAGCACTGCACAAACATTTGCAGATAGCCCATGCATGTATAAGTCCAGATAAGCTTTGCTCGATCCTTGTCCTACAAGCAAAAGGAAAAAGCTGTTATCAAGGGTGTGCTATGATCAACTCCCACCCGGAAACCAATGTCCCCACTGTGGAAGGACACATGGATCCAGAATTGGCCTCCACAGTAACTTACGGACTCATTGTTAAAACTGTGTTTATGGAAGGCAATCTTACTTGGCTAAAAGTGATCGCCAAAGAAGAAGAAGATGATCAAGCAATACTGATATGAGGAGGCTTCATAAACATGAGGGAGCTGTGGGCTCCACTGGCTAGCCCCAGCACCACTGGCTATGTGCTCGCTGGCTGTGTAAAGAGGCCCCAAGAGGTTGCTGAGGGAATGAAGCTTGTGGACTGAAGACAGTTCACAAGCCCTGGTGTCGGGCCATATTTTGATTACTAAGGTTCAGGACTCTTCCACTTCCAGTCAGATGCCAAGAAATCCTTTCCAGCTGGGTAAAAAGGAGTTTGCCAACTGTCAAATGCTCTGTGGACTACCCCAGTCCTTTAGGCCTCAATCACCTAAGGTGTGCATTGAAGCAATTTACCACAGTCACAGTATGTTGGATCAAGAGGCTCACTATTTTTAGTCTGGAAGGAGAAAAGCTTCAAAGGCCAAGGAGATAGCTTAAAAGTAACTTGCTGGCCACCTTCCTCTCCTACCTGAGAAGCAAGAGAAGTGAAACGAATAGAAGAGAGAAAAGTCTATTCATGACCATGGGAACTTCCTTCTCACAGAGTAAAAATACTGAACGACTTGACCCAGGAAACTGGGAGCATACACTAACACCTAGAGGCAGATTTCATGAGATCCCAGGCTCACAGGAACCCACCCCACTGAGATGGGGAGCCTGGGGAGCCTTTCATAGAGATCAAGACTCTGTTTTACCCAGCAGGGAATTGCTTCCTGGCACCTGCCTAGAGTTGAATCAGTTCCAAGCTTGAATAAACCTAAGATTCAAAGATTAAATTTGAGATCATAGAATCCAGGAACCAAATGCCTTTTGTCATTTTATATCTGAGAGGGGGGAAAATGGTTTTCTTTCAGTCTTCATGAATTAGTAAGGAGGAAATCTTACGGCTCCCCTTTTTTTATGCCAAAATAATTGTACCATATAAACGTGTCTCTAAACCCAAGAAAGAAACCCTGTCCTGGCAGATATTTTTCAGTTTACCGCCTTGTATAGGATAATGGGAATGAAGAAGGGAGTACAGTTATGGATTTTGTTCTTTCTATGCAGTTGCTGCGAGGGCAAAACTTTGGTGCAGATAGGTAAGAAAAGTCTACTACTATTTATATTCCATTGTTATATGTCTGATCTGATCTTCATGTAAACAAATGAAATAACTACGGACATAATCTAACAACCCATAAGTTTAGGCAAATTCAATTAATTTCAGTTAGAAAAATTAAGCACTTCTTTATCCCTTTTTTATATTAGTGGATGTAAAAGTGCTCAGCTATTGCTCAGACTCAACTAACTTGCTGCACTAGTGGAAGCCAGCACAGTAATTCCTAATAGTTCAATGAGGCTTCCCCCTTGTCTCCCCCATGTGGCAACATGCCTTCCCCCAATCTGTTATGGAGTTTGAGAGAACCCCCAGAACAACACACAGAGGGGGCAGGGAGAGGGGAGATAATTCTGTCTGGCAAACAGTGGTTGCATTGACAGGGATATCCTATTAGTGTGATGTTGAATTCCACCCTGTGTTTCTAGTTGCATAGCGTACACAGATAGAGGTAGGACACTAAGCAATACACATGCACCCTGCCTTTCGTCCTTGAGTGTCTCTTTACTAGCTATCCTTTGAGTACTGAGAAGAGACTTGGTTTAGATAATTTATACTGCAAGATAGAGTAGCCGTTTTATTTTTTATTTTTTTTAAGAAAACAATGTCACATATTTTGTAAAATAAATGTAAATATTGAGAATGGAGTGCTGTAAGTGGAAACATGATTGGTTCAATATGCCATAACTGCCTTTCTACAGTTCTCTGTCTTCACAGGTGACTTGGCAAACAATGGGAAAAAAGACTTGAGTTTTCAGGGACCAGTTCTTTCATGTACTACCTTCTTCCTGTTCTTTACCAATATTTTCAGATTTGTATATTTGAAAACAATCTCTTTTTGAAGTTTATTTATTTATTTAGAACTGAACTGAATAGTCTCTACTTTTGATTTTGAGTCCAAACAAGAAATAGTGATTGACTGGCTCCCCACCCCGTCACCCCGCTAACACCCTGCACACACTTTCTTGACAGTAAGGTGTATGGAACTCAAATAGGCTTTCTTCTGAGTAGATATTAATCACATTGATCCTGTTTGGCACAATAGTTTTCCCTGGCTGTGTCTTCTTTCTTCAATCTGCATGAGTCACAAGGAGAGATTTCACCCAATATGGGAGCATGGAATGAGTGATATCACAATGCTAACTCATCAATCAGATTTGGCTGTATGAACCAGCGGCGTAGCATGGGTTGTCAGCACCCGGGGCAAGGCAAGTAATTTGTGCCCCCTAACCCGTGGATTTGCGCCCCCTAACCTGTGGATTTGCGCCCCCTAACCCGCGGATTTGCCCTAACCCCAGATGTTGCGCCCGGTGCGGCCGGCCCCCCCTGCACCCCCCACGCTACGCCACTGGTATGAACAGAACTGGGGCCAAACTGAATGTGAGAGCTAATGTGAGCAATCTAAACAAACAAGCAATTATCATCACCATCACCATACCATAGCCTACAACTCCCATGATCCCTAGCTAGCAGGACCAGTGGTTAGGGATGCTGGGAATTGTAGTCTCAAAACATCTGGAGGGCCGAGGCAGAGGAAGCCTGCCATAGTGGCTAAGTAATAAGAGGCTTTATTTATTTCTCTTTTGAAAGGACCTTGAGTCAAAAGAATTTAGCTTTTATTGGATGTTGTATTTTTCAGATTTATATTGTTAGGTTGTGAGCTGCTTTGTGAAGGCCTTGTCCTTGAAAAGTGACATATAAGATCTAGATCAATAGATTGTAGTGATGAGATGATAGTAATGATTTAGACCACTTTTCACCAAACAGTCCCAGAGTGGGCTAACAAAATATCAAAAGTATAAACAAAATACAACGTCATTAATTACATAATATTATATCATATGGAATGGCCAGTTGAAAAAAAAAGGAAGACTAAGATATTCATGAAAAATAGATAGCTTTAGGTCAGTTTTATTTAATACTGACTTAAAATCAGAAGTCAATGTTGGGCTGATATATCTATAAACTCAGTGTTGGCAACAAACTCTTTATATATATTACACAAAGTGCTTTAAAAAGTACAGAGCCATTGTCGTTTATCTGTCACAATTCCTGGGACCCCTGTTTCTATAAAGACTCCCAGGCACTTCAGCATAGCTTAGAATTCTGTGTTATGAGGAGAAAATAAATCTTTAACAAAACTCTCCAAATTCCAAGGTATTTCATAATACTGCAAAGTTCACTGGACAGGAAAGAAGTGATGTGAACTGCGATAGCCTTCTTTCTTGGTATTTCCTACAAGTGTCACATCAGTATGTTACAAGGCCATGTCCTCTGTCCTCTCTGTGCCCCACCCCCCACTGCTGCTTGCTAGGTTGGCAAATAAGACCGTAACCCAAAAGCAGTCCGTCTATTCAAATATGAAAAATTCACTGAAATAGAACCCCCCTCTTGCATGTCACTGCCCATTGGCAGTGTTGTGCAACCTAATCCTGAAGAATTTGGGTCTAATCGAGAGAAGGCTAGGCTCATTTAAGTCTCATAGAAATCAACGGGACTGGATCACCCAACTGCAACCAAGTGCCACTGAAAACAAATTATTATTGACCCAGGGGCAGCCCATCCCATTTTGCTGCCTGAGGCTAAATGGGAAGGTGGTGCCCTGCATGCATGCCACCCATGCCCTCTTGACGCCCCTGCTAAAGCCTCACTTACCAGGGTCGTGCAGCTTCTGAGAAGATCTTACAAGAGCCCCACAAGATTGCTCTGTGAATCCAATGATCCAGCTCAGCCAGGAAGAGGGATGTTCAAAAGCATGATACATACATGTTTGCCCATGTTGAAGATCTGTGTTGTTCATTTCACCCTCTCCCTCAAAAAGTTCAGACTCTGTTTAATTAATTAAACTTATTGGTCATTTTTAACCTAAATAACTAAGCAACTTACAGTAAAAGCAAGCAACCAGATACATTAAAACCTGGATAAAAGAAAACAAAGAAAAATCGAGAGACAGTTCTGTTTTTTTGTTTTTAAACTAGATTAAAACATCCCACCCACTCACAGAGGCTATGGATAATTAAAAGCCAAAGGCATGATGAAAAAGGAACGTTTCCCCCTCACACCTAAAGATATATAACTATGGTGCCAGGCCATATAAATGAATGTTTGCAGGGCATTTTATCATTTCCATCATCCTTATTTTCTCTGCAGTTCAGCGTCCTGCTGTCACCACAAGTGAATGTTCTACTTGGGGTAATTTCCACTTTCAGACATTTGACCGTGCAAAATTTGACTTCACTGGAACTTGCCGTTATGTTTTTGCTTCACACTGCAAAGACAGTCATCAGGACTTCAGTATCCAGATAATGAGAAGCATCAAGGCGGGGACTGCCATCTATTTCACGGCCACTATAGATGGAGTGCTTCTGGAGGTCAAAGAATCAGGCATCACAGTAGATGGGAAGACGTGAGTTGTCTCAACATCTGTTGATAGTCTTCTGTTTTCTCATGAATGCTCTTGTGTACCAGGAACAGTGTTTTCTTGGGTCTGAAATCAGAGAGCCAATGCTGAGAAATGTCATACAGTGGTGGCCCCAGATTAGGGTGATTTCCTACACTCAGGACCAACATCAGGAGCTCTCATGCTTCTTCAGGCAGCAATCATTAACATGAGCTCACAATGGCTGGTCTCTGACATGCAGGCAGCCCTGCAGGCAGCATCAGCATGAGGTCACAAGTGCTACTCTGTGTCCTTCAGCCAAGCAGCATCAGTATGGTACATATGGGTGCATATGGAGGCATATTGGCATATTGGTATGGTGCATATCGAGACTTATTGGTCCGTCTCTCACCGAAAAGACAGCAGCAGCAGCAGCAGCAGCAGCAACAACAACAATAATAATATGTGAGCGCTCTCTCTCTCTCTCTCTCATGGGCGGGACCTGGCCAAAGCAGAAGTATGTGAGCACAGCCAACCTCTGCTTCCCATCATTCCCATCCGTCCTTTTGGTTGTCTGAGAGGGGAGAGATCAAAGCTGAGAAATGCCCATTGAGCTTAATTAATAGGTTGGGTTGGGGATATCTTTGATCATGAGACAACTAGGATGCTTGTTCATTTGTTTTATTTAGTTTTCTTCTTTTTCTTTCTTTTAGGATTCTTCTGCCCTTCAGTCTGAAGAGTGTCCTAGTAGAAGACACTTATCCTTATTTCCTAATTACCTCCAAATTAGGCCTGACTCTCAAGTGGAATTGGGGTGACACTCTCCTAGTATGAAGCTCCAGTTAGTTGGATTTGTTTTAGTGAATTTTAATACATGTAAAATGTGTTGAGTAGCCACAGTCTTCGCACACTGCCATCTTCTAGTGAAATTATGAACAAAGGGGATACAGATAAAGCTAATTTATTTATATAAATAATCATTTTGTGAGCCCTGGAATTATGTTTGGAGTGAGACAATCGCACAACTCCTTTCTGGTTCTACTGTTGAGAATGTCAGGAAGATGGCAAAGTTTTAGTTAGTATCTCTGACTTTATCACTAGAATAGGAAGCCACACAGCCCAACACCAGCTTGTGTGCTTAAAAATTGACTAATTATGGCCTAATTGTGGCACAGTCATTTCTTTCCCCCTTGCTATATATATATATATATATATATATATATATATGCAGGTTTTGGTGTCCTCGGGTGTCTTCCCGTGTAAAAGTTGGGGTGTCTAGGCGACGTTTCGACGAGGTCTCACTCGTCATCTTCAGGCTGGTGCTTTCGGCTTCTTGTTACTGGAACAGAGCAGGATCTCAGTGTTTGAGTTCCTATAAATACTGTTGAGGGGGTGTGGTGTATAGCCTCCAATGTTCTGGGCAGAGAGGAAGTTCCCAGGTTAGTGTGCCTTTTCTTCTTTTGTTCCTTAATTACTTGAGGGATATCTTGAGTGATTTCTTGAGTGATATCCTGAGTACCACTTAGGTGGGTCATTAGGTGTGGATTAGTTGCTAAAGCCTTCGTGTCTTGACCTCTTGAACTTTGTGAAGAGTTTTTCTGAGAAGATGGCTGTACTGCAATTAGTTGTGCTCTGGCTTGGCTTCGTGTATAGGGGCGAGCTGTGGTTTTGTGTCCTGTGCCAGCCAGATCTGTGTAGGGATTGCAGGGGGGTGCAGCATCCGGAGGTGCCACCATGGTGTCCAGATCCAGAGGCACACAGAACGCCATCACCAATCAACCACACCAGACCCAAACCCAGACCCTCTCCACAGATAAATTACAGACACCATCCAGTAGCCAAACCATGGTGGCACCTCCGGATGCTGCACCCCCCTGCAATCCCTACACAGATCTGGCTGGCACAGGACACAAAACCACAGCTCGCCCCTATACACGAAGCCAAGCCAGAGCACAACTAATTGCAGTACAGCCATCTTCTCAGAAAAACTCTTCACAAAGTTCAAGAGGTCAAGACACGAAGGCTTTAGCAACTAATCCACACCTAATGACCCACCTAAGTGGTACTCAGGATATCACTCAAGAAATCACTCAAGATATCCCTCAAGTAATTAAGGAACAAAAGAAGAAAAGGCACACTAACCTGGGAACTTCCTCTCTGCCCAGAACATTGGAGGCTATACACCACACCCCCTCAACAGTATTTATAGGAACTCAAACACTGAGATCCTGCTCTGTTCCAGTAACAAGAAGCCGAAAGCACCAGCCTGAAGATGACGAGTGAGACCTCGTCGAAACGTCGCCTAGACACCCCAACTTTTACACGGGAAGACACCCGAGGACACCAAAACCTGCATTCCTGTACCCGTGAAAATCTACGAAAGCAAATATATATATATATATATATGCAGGTTTTGGTGTCCTCGGGTGTCTTCCCGTGTAAAAGTTGGGGTGTCTAGGCGACGTTTCGACGAGGTCTCACTCGTCATCTTCAGGCTGGTGCTTTCGGCTTCTTGTTACTGGAACAGAGCCGAAAGCACCAGCCTGAAGATGACGAGTGAGACCTCGTCGAAACGTCGCCTAGACACCCCAACTTTTACACGGGAAGACACCCGAGGACACCAAAACCTGCATTCCTGTACCCGTGAAAATCTACGAAAGCATATATATATATATATATACACATACACATTGTTTAAAAATAAATAAGAGGAGTATTTAATTCCATGTTCAGAAAGAGAATTCAATGGAGTAAATACTATCCTCTGTGTGGTAAAACCACTGCAGCAATTGTGCTCAGTTTCCAACAGGGAAGCCATCATGGTGTCCTCCAGATGTTGTAGACTACATCTCCCTTCACCCCTGACCATTGTCCATGCTGGCTGGGGTTGATGGGAGATATAGTTCTATCTGGAGGGCAGCTCAAGCTGAGACCGTACTATGCATTATAGTTATGAAGGTGTCTGTATATATGTGTGTTTAAAATGTTTGTCTTTTTGCCTATTTTTTCTTAGCTGGATTTAGAAGATACTTTCAAAGGGAAAACATGTGGTTTGTGTGGAAACTATGACAGCAATGATAAAAATGATTTATTCCTGCAGGGTAGGATATTTTAAATATATATAATTGGCTATTATTATTATTATTATTATTATTATTATTATTATTATTATTAGAAACCATCACATTTGTATCCTAACCATTTTCAAAAGATCTCAGGAATTGTGGCTGGATTTGTGGAAATATTTCCCCATTTTACCCTCAAGACAACAGAGATCATGACTGGCCTCAGCAGTGAGATATATAGCTGAGATACATACATACATTTGGGGTAAAATCTAATCACTGTCCTTGGTAAGGTAGCCTAGGGTGAAATATTGAGTGAATCTGGGCTGATATCTGAACTAAACAAAGGAGGATGTGAATTTGTCACTCAGAACTCTTATTTCACATGTAATAAGGTATTCCTCTTGGCATTCTAAGCAATACGTTCTATGTACAGGCGGACTGGAAGATAAATGCCTGCTTCATTTTTTCTCTTTATGCAGAGCAATTGTACACACTGTGAGTACAGATACAACTATTTGCTTATTTATTCATTTGTAAAATAAATTAAACTATAACAGTACAAACTATATGCTTTAAATCATGGATGGGTGATTGCTGGATTCAAAACTGAGAGTAAGGCTGTAATCCTAAACCCGCACATTGACCCTGCACAGTAAAGTCCTATTACTGGTGGGATTTTTTTACAGGCTATCCACTATTCCCATGGCAGTTTGGAAACCTTCAGAAAGTAGATGATCCAACAGAGAAGTGTTCTGATGTAATTGGAGACAAAAGAAAGCAGCAAGACAACTCTCAACAGCAAGATAAATGCAAAAATAGATACGTAAGTTGCACTGTTCATGGTATGTGGACCCTGCCCTGCTTTCCATTTGATCCCTCTAAGGGCGGCAGCTCCTCACTGCAAATGTTTCCCTATTCACTTTAGTGGAAGTAATTGCTCCACACGTGCATAAAACTATATACATGGAACTTTCCCCCCTTCAATGAAGATAACAGAGGTGACAATGTTCTCAGTAGCAGATACACATACTTTGATCAGGGAGCCAGAACCTCACATGTTAAGTATCAAAGCAACCCGATAGAAGTCAGTAAATTTATGGTACTGATGCTGTACATGTAAGATCTCCAATCTCCCCACCACTTTCTCTCTTTGACAGAAATCTAAGTGCAAGGAGGTCCTATCCCACTTTGGGAATTGTAAGAGGGTGGTTGCTATTGATGATTATATAGCCATCTGTATTCAAGATATGTGCAGCTGTTCTGAGAAATCTTCTCATTCTGACCTGGTTGCCAGCTGTGTATGCAGCACTCTCAGTCAGTACTCCCGGGACTGTGTCCGCAAAGGTGGAGACCCTGGAAAATGGCGATCCAAGGAACTCTGTTGTAAGTAAAGAAAGATTAATTTATTTAACAGCGTGCACGCACACACACACACACACACACACAGACACTGAAACAACATGTTAAAATTGCATGTCTGAGTAGACTTGCCTAAATAAAAAAAGGATTTATCAGGTGCTGAAAAAAATGCGGCAAATGTGGCGGCCTAATATCAATGGGCAGGGAGTTCCAGAGTATAGCTGCTGCCACACTGGAAGATGGATTTGTGTAGAACGAAGATTATGTGGCACTTGTAAAAGTGCAAGTTTCACAATCAAAGTGGTAAGGTGAATGAATATTATGCAATGTGATTCTTTACCTAGACTTGTCCCAAGCAGATATGGGTTTATTATACTAATAGGAACAGCTTAAATTCGATAATGTCCAAACTCTGTCAGCTTAACAACAAATAGGTTATCAGAAGGAGTTCCTAATAACCAGTCTCTCTTTCCCAAGCAGGCAGCAGCAGTATGAAGTCACAATGGTTAGTCTTTCTTCATGAAGTAGGCAACATCAGCATGAGGTCACAATGGCCCTTTTCTCCTCTTCAGGCATTTTTCATTATCACAGGAACTAAAGTGCAGGACTAGCATATCCAGGGTGAGCCTATGATATCCTGCTAGCTGAGGCTAAGGACCAGATTCTGCTGCACCCCACATGCCATGTATAGAAGTGGACTGGGAGCTGAATCTTACTTCAGTGTAGACAACAGGATAGTATCCTCTAGTGCATCTGACGGCAGTAGGCTAGTTGAAGGTGTGTAAAAGACCTGTGGCATATACAGCGCAGCTGGTCAACAGAGAGGAATGGCCAGGGGGCTCAGGGAGTGTGACACTGCTGCTGCCTGAGGAGATTGGTAGGGGTGTCCCTGGGCATAATATTGAAGAATGGCAACCTAGATATTGAGTGCACTCAGAAGTAAGTCCTACTTTACTCAGTGGCGCTTTGGTGGATAGGTTTTCAGCTTTATACAGCCATCCTTTTAATGCAACATTAACTTCAACCCCCACCCTGAAATGGCAGCCATCTGGTGTTGCTGTCCAAAAACGTGACTAATTCATAGGCTCTCATGCAGATAATACCCATCTGAAGATAGGGATGGAAGGTTTTGTTGATTTTTGTTCTCTTGGTTTTTCATTTTTCCAATCTTAAATTCAGTTCTCTGCTTTTCATGTTTTCCTTTAAAAAAAACAATTCTCATGAAAATTCAACAGCATTCGGGTACGGATTTCACATTTTTGCATGCAGTTTTGACTACTGTTCACATTTTTGCTGGCATTTTTTTCATGATGTGCATTTAATGTTATCTTTCCTTATTTTATTCATTCTTATCCATGCTTTCCCCTAATTCATGAGTTTTTGCTTGGTTAGAGAGCTGCATTGCAAAACTGGACAACTGCAAATTTCAAAGAATGGCTGTGTTTTGGTTTTCGTGTTGTTTTGGAAAGTGCAAATTTCCTAAATTCAGCTTTTAATGCAAACTGAATTCAGTTTCTCCCTACAGCACATACATTGATCCTCCCCAACATTTTGAGCAGAAAGGAACACGTACAAGTTCCTCTTCTGCCAGTATCCTGCCCTAGTTCTTTCCCCAATTGTTATCTACTTTGGAACCAGAGTTTCTGCACTTTATATCAGAACCTCTAATTAACTATCCTTACTAAAGTGAATGGGGTCTGCTTATTACAAATCGGCTGTGGTTTGTGCCTGTTGATTCAAGGCTCAGGGAAAGACTTTGGAATCTTGTAAAAATGGTACAACCGCAAAACATTTTCAATAAATGACATCTAACCTAAGTTCGTCATAAGAATGGAAAGAATGACTGGAACTGGAAGTATGCTATTTATTTTAAAAATCATATTATTAATTTGAAAATTATCAATAACATTTTTACTTTGCTTGGGTTTGTAGTCCTGAAATGTCCAAACAACCTGGAATATGCAGAATGTGGAAGCCCCTGTACTGACACCTGCTTCAACCCAGAAAGGAGCAAAATATGTAAAGCCCCATGTACGGATGGATGCTTTTGTCCTAAAGGTAGAAAATTGACCTGATCTATTATCCATAATTTGCACGGCATTTTAACTGAGCAAAGTAGTATTCCAAACTTTCCTTGTGCATCCTGTCAACACTCCTATGAAACAGGTCACTGAATATGCCCATTTTACAGTGTGGACCAATAACATTGCTTGTTTTGTTTTTCATCATATTATTAAGTGATGTCTGCTAACAAGTGCAATAACTTTCAAATATTTCCTACCAATAATAAAATTATTTGTAGCATTTATTTTTCCCCTTCTAAGCATAACTAAGCACTGTGTTTGAACAGGAAGCATTCTCGATGACATCAAGGGCAAAAAATGCATCCCAATTGGCAGCTGCCCCTGTACCTTTCAAGGCAAAGTCTATGCAGCTGGAGACACCTACGCCACCCCCTGCCAAAACTGGTACTGTTAAAAGCTTGCTAATAATGATGTATCAGCGTGAGGGAGAACTGAGAGAACTGGTTATTTTATGCTAAAATCAAAGTCTGGAGGAGATTCTCTTTTGGAAGTTCAGAACCAAAACTTTGAAATGCAACAAATCCAAGCCCATTGCATCTAAAATGTACCCCCCCTGCATTTACTGGGGTGCAAAACTGAAAACCCCCAGAAACGTTCTCAGTAAAAAAGTCATCTTAGAAAGTTCAGCTCAACTCCAGCTGATTGTGGACAGAGCAGAAAGAATTACATGGCAGCAAAGCATCTTCTTGACCAAAGTCTGCTTTGGGGCCGAATCCAGCCCCTGTGGCCGTTTATTTCCTGGGGTAAAATCCTAAAAGACCTCAACAACTTCAACCCTAAAAAAAGGTTAACAACCTTGGTCGGCCCTTTGGTCAGCCCTCACGGCCCTTCACCGCTGGTTGACCAAACAGCAATCCCTGCTTTCCACTCCTGGCCCATATTCCATGCTGTTTCAGTCAGCATTGGAGAGGAAAAGAGCTGCTGTGCTTTAAAGTGCGTTGAGCTGAGAAGCTGACTACATAATTTATACCCTGCTTCAACTTCTTGATTCTGGAAAATGTTCAGGGCTGGTCACATTTGTTTTCTGCACTATTGTTATTGAGGATTAAGCTACTCTTTCGGTCTTGTAGTACTTGCATGAGTGGAAAATGGTCCTGCACATCACTGCCTTGTTCTGGAAACTGTAAAATAGAAGGTGGATTCCACATAACAACATTTGATAAGAAGCAATTCATTTTCCATGGCAACTGCAACTATGTTTTAGCTAAGGTAGGGTTTTTTTTAAAAATTGTTTGAGACCTTCTAGGAGCAGCAAATAGACACCAACAGTAGTACACTGAGGTTGCATAACATCCTCAAATTAAGCGTCTCATTAAATGCTTTGTTCCAGGAGACTGATAAACTGTATAATAAATGTAGCCCTTTGCAATTGTAAATGAGCACTAACCAATTGGGGCCTTTCACGTTCATACAGCCATATTCTGCATTGTATTTGCTGTTGCAGCTGACTCATTTCTTCTCCTTTGAGTCTGAGGAAAATGTGATTTCTCCACACCTGAATCACAAACTTGAGAAAAATACATAGATTGTGCATAACTCTTGAGTGACAAGGACACATTTCTTTTGCGGGGGAAAGGGCTTAAGCACAGCTCTGTACATTACATGGCAAACATGTCATGTATATGTTCAATGAAATTACACTATGTTTTTCCTGCAGCAAAACAAAAATATGTGTTGATGTCATGTGTGTGTCACATGTGGATTTAATGACCATGTGTCTGTGGATCATGGTTAAACAAACAAACAAACCAGATGTGTTCACAGCATGCACTATGCAATGTATATGCCATCCAGCTTTGCTACTGATGATGGAAACAGCAAGCACACATGCCACATGAAATATGGATTTGCAGCAAGTCTGGAACTAGGGTGGGGGGAATCTTGTCTAAACCATTTTGAGAAATAAGGCTTAAATGTTTTCACCATCTGCAGAATAAGGCCCACTAAATTCATCAGGACTTAGGCAGTACTCAATATTATGTCATACATGTATGCTGAAAGTTACACCTGTGTCTAATCTGTCTGAATTGAGAGCATTGGAAGGTTCTACATCTGTGAAAATATGCAGAAAAAATGTTAGCTTTTCCCAGTTTGTCTGTCTTGCAAGTAGGTGTGTGCAAAACTTCCCCTTGTTATTATAACAGCACTGACTCCATGTTAGGCAGGGGGGGAAGAGGCCATATAGACAGTGTTCAGCATCCACTGCCCATCTCCTCTACAAGAGATTTGCAATGTGTCAGATGAACATACACCCTGGTTGCTGGCCACATCAGCTGCATTAATGGTGTATTTCCCTCTTCATTTTCAGGACACAGATGGTTCCTTTGTGGTCATTGGAGAGATTGTTCAATGTGGAGTTTCCAAGACTATGACTTGTCTGAAGAATGCTTTAATCACTTTAGGAGCCCTTGTAAGTTGCTAGAGTTACAGTATGTCTAGAAGTGCTGCCACCACCTGTCAGAAATGCAGAACAATCTGAACTCAAGACACTGGAGTAAATTATACTGGGATAATTACCCTATTCTACACTCTGTTCATGAGTGGGGCTACTGCTGGCTGAGTTGGTCTGAGCTCAGAAGAAGGAAAATGAGCCTTTAAAATAAAGCTTGACGTACACCACCCTTTCTGCAGGAAACTTCCACTGGATTTGTCGGTCATATCACCAAGCTGAATAGAGTTTGGAATAGGGCTAAGTCTCCCCTTGTGCCATCCTGCCCCTGCCACTTTCCTGGAATGCCCCTTTTTGGGAACTTATCCTGGCCTTGACTCAGCACCAGATGAGCTGGGGTGGAGACTTACACCAACATATCTTTGACTGAATCAGTTTAGCCAAAGACTCGCCTGTTTCAAACTCCACCTCTGACAGATATTGGATTTGGATTGCTCCCTAAGTGCTTTGTCAGTGTTCATGCATTTCTTTATTTTTCCTTTCTTTGCAGAGTATAAGAGTCTGTTCCACTGGAGATGTCTATGTCAATAATGCCATTGCGGTATTGCCTATAACTAAAGGTCAGCATTCAGTTTCACTCCAAATTTCCAATGAAAGCTATGTACCTGTAAGGTGGTTGCTCCTACTTGGATATAGTTTTTAGCTGAAGGCAAGTTCTGTTGTGTTTTTTTATTAGATGGCGTCACACTCTTCAGACCATCTACATTCTATGTCAACATCCTGACTTCTTCAAGGGTACAAATTCAAGTACAACTGAAACCCATTATGCAGATCTTCATAAGAGTAGACGAAACTTATCAAAACCATACTTCTGGTATAGTATTTCCCCATGCATGAACTCCTACTGTCTTTTAGTAGATTGTAAAAAGTACCTTGAGATGCTTTGATTTCATGAAATATTCGCAAACTTTCTCAAGGATAAACTGACATCACAAATGTCTAGAGCAGGGATGGGGAACCTGGAGTTTTCCCAACTCTCATCAGCCCTGACCTTTGCTCTGGCTGACTAGGGAATGATGAGAGCTGGAGTTCAACAACATCTGGAAGCCAAGCAGGTCACCCACCTCTGGATAAGGCTACTTAAAGTGATCTTTTATTCAAAAGAAATTTAGTTCTATCTTGATATGTTTGTCTCATATTGGAATGTTTGGAATAATTGATATCAAGAATCTACATCTTGCCAATGATATTTTCCTTAGTTTCCATGCTTTTGTCTGACATATCCTGTTCTCCTGTTCTCTGGAGAGCATATGAAGCTTGGAAAGTCAAGTGTTGGGAATTCTATTCCACCCTTTGCTGCAGATATGTGGATTGTTACATGTCACATGTCTGTTTACATTCCAACACAGATTGCTGGCGTGAGCGGAACTTCCGCTCTGTTTTTAGTCTCTCTGAGAAGACAGCAAGGAGAGAAGCCATGTTTTCTTTGTCTTGATTTATGTAGAATAAATGCGTAGTTTAGTATCGTGTCCACGCCTCAAGCCTCATCTGTTGTGCAGTTTACACTGCTGAGTAATGTGTGCTCAAGCCTGCTCTGCAGCTTGAGTCAGACGCACATCGGGGAGGATAGTCGATGGATCTCCGCAGCGGCAAGGCTGAGAAAGGAGGCGCTCCAGCTGGGGCCGAGCCAGCTGGCTTTTCATCCCCCGATCCCAACAAAAGTGTCTTTGGGGATAAAACATCCCAAGCACATTGCTTCTGTTGGACTCCCGAGCTTCCCCCAACCCCAGCCCCCAGAACAGCCTGCTATCCGCAAGCCTAGGGAGCCGCACCGGTCTCCCCAGGCTTGCAGAGAGGTGCGCGAAGCCCGGGCACGCTCTTTAGCGCGCAGCAGGCTTCGGAATGCAGGCAGCTCTGCGCTACCCTCCGGAGCCCCGCGCGGCTTCACGCCAGGATCCGGAGGGTGGCACAGAGCTGCAGGAAGCCTGGAGCGCAGGCAGCTCTGTGCCACCCTACGGAGCCCCGCGCGGGTTCGCGCCGGGATCCGGAGGGTGGCGCAGAGCTGCAGGAAGCCCGGGAAAGCCTGCATTCGCCCCATAGGACGCACACACATTTCCCCTTCATTTTTGGAGGGGGAAAAGTGCGTCCTATAAGGCGAAAAATACGGTAGTTTGCTATTGTGTTCCTACTGTTGTATTGTAAAATGCAGTCTTACAATGATTGATTAAGTGCACTCAGTTAGGATTACTTTATTCTGGGATTGACTCATCATGCCACCAACATCAGTTCTAGCATAGTCTAGTACAGTATGAGGCCTGCTTCTAACTATAGTTAAAATAATGGGAACTAGCTTTCATAAAGATCCTTACATATTGTTACATTTATGCTTTTGATCTACATCCCATTCATGAATAGGTATCATTAGACTTTCAGAGCCTAAATCTAGTTTTCACCCATTTGTCTGTCCTTTCTTTACCCACAAACAAGGCTCTTTCTGCTCTGTAACAGGGTCCTGAATTTGTTTTGTTAGATAGGGTGTTTCAAAGACTTTGTCTGGATTTTTGTCTTGTACCTTCCTTTACCTACCTAGGCCTTTGTGGAAATTTCAACAATGATCAGGCTGATGATTTTCAAACCATCAGTGGGATTGTAGAAGACTCTGCTTCAGTGTTTGGAAACTCATGGAAAACTATGGCCAGCTGTGCTGATGTTCAAGACAGCTTTGAGGATCCCTGTCAGAAAAGTGTTGATAAAGGTATTATATTTTCTCCTCATTTCATGCTTTCCCTAAATGCAGCACTTTGTTTTCCACCATGAGAAGAATGACAGCCATTCTTCTATTTTTATTAACTGTTCTATTTGTCAGACCTATGTACCAGCAGTGTTTCTATGATGGTTTACAAAGCCCCAATAACAACCCTATATATGAAAATATACTACAACCAGAAAACGTTGATTAAAATGGAAGGTAAGATTGACAAGTTAAACTGGTATATAAGCAAAAGCTTACACAATTCATTCTACAACCAGAATGGAATTTTATATGCCCCTTGCTGTGGCTAACTCTACTCATGTTTACTTAGATTTAAGTCCTAGTTAGTTCATTGCCCTATACCCAAGTAAAAGTGTATGCCTAGGAGTTTTAGCCTGAGTAAATGGGATAGTTCCCACATTTTCCAAATGAATGATCAAAATTAGAATGTGTTTTCAAAAACACATATGTGATAAGCTAATACAAATTGCTGTTGGGCCGCAGACTCACCCTGAACAACCAAAAGAGGCTCCTGGGAGGCCAGAGGGACATTGCTGTTTAAAATGTTTTAAAATGTTTAAAATGGTTTTAATTTTGGTTCCTCTGTTTTGTTTTTGTTATGTTGGGGTTGGTTAAGTGTTTAGTTGGGGTTGGCAGCTCTTTTAATTTGGGTATAACTGTAAAATATTATTATTATTATTATTATTATTATTATTATATTATATTTTCTATTGACTTATTGGTTTATTTATAGTCTGTATAAGATATTCTGTTTCTTAATGTTTGATATGTTTTTAAACTGTAAGCAGCCCAGATGATGATGATGATGATGATGATGATGATAATAATAGCAAGCTCCTTGTAAAATGCAGGTGATATTTTCACTCATTGGTGTGGCATTTGAATGACTCCCATTTTGTAAATAATCTTTGGGAATCCTCATTTTCTCTGATAGAAAAATTTGGGCAGCGTTGGTGTGCTCTTCTGCTGGATGCAAAGGGGGTATTTGCTGAGTGCCATTCTGTTAATGACCCAGCTCCTTATATCAAGGTAAGGCATGGATTCATTCCTATTTTAAAACATCTCCTCTCATATCTGGCACAATGTGAGGTGCATTCTGATCAGATAGGCAACAATCTAAGTAGTTGCTATGTTTCAGCTTGCCCATGTCTGCTTCCCATAAAGTTGAATAGATTATGGAAGCTCTGTAAGCTATTTTGCCACAGGGGTGTTCTACCTTTTGTGAGTAAGAAGAAATAAGCCAGCGGAGCCATAATCACATCTTCTGACAGTATGAAAGAGCAGCTGTTTAGAGCTTAAGTAGCTGGTAGATAAGCTGTACAGGTAGATATAGTGAGTGACCTGTTGCCCTCTGGTGGCCTGTCTGGGGACAGTGAACCGCTTTCCCTACATCTCAAGAAATGTAATATGAATTTCTTGGAAATGAGGCCTGAGCCAAAGATATAAGACTGAATCTCCTCCTTTTTCTTTCTTCATTTTTTGGGGGGTTTTTTGTATCATTTTCTTATATCAATAAAAAGGGGGGGGGAATAAAGCAAGAGAAATAAATAAAAGGGATTTGATAAGTAAATTCTGGAATATGATTTCAAACTTGCAGGATTAAATATCCCGATTATTTATTTGAGGAAAAAGAGGATGTTCTAGTCACAGAGCTGCATTAATTCCCCTTTGCAATGACATATATATGTGTCATAAATGGACATTCTTTGACAGAGAGCTTTCTCCTGAAATTAGAACTTGTTTATACATGCAAAGAAGCGGTCAAGGCAGAAACACAAGCAATCCATGTTGCTGCTTTGAACAGAGGAGCCCACTCTCATTCTGTCATTTATCTGTTGGGGAATGTGACGCTTCTTTTGAGCACTGATTCTTGTATCTGCTTCTACGTTTATTACTTAGAACTGCGTTTACGACACTTGCAATGCTGAGAGGAGCAAAGAGGCTCTGTGCAGCGTTTTCTCTGGCTATGCCAGAGATTGTGCCGCAAGAGGCATCCACTTGAAAGGATGGAGAGGCAGCGTCTGTGGTAGGTGTAGTGTGTTATTCTCTCGTACTCCTAAGCCATTTTTAATAATTCAAAGTAGCATACACTTAAAGTAATATTGAACACATTTGGTGAGCTCTTTGCCATGTACCTTTTAAAAAATAATAATAATCAAATGGCATCCACACCCAGAATGGTTGTGTAATGATGGCAGGAGGGCAGCTTCACAAATCAGTTTTTCTCTTCCATCCCAATGATGGGTGTGCAGGGGCAGAACCAATGTTTGTCCAATAGTGATTGGGGGCGGGGCAGAATCTGATTCAGTTTGCATTTAAAACTGAATCCATCAAATTTACGCTTCCTGAAACAATATGCTAACCAAAACACAGCCATTCTTTGAAATTTGCACTTTCATTATCTGAACTTCGCAATGCAATTCTCCAAACAGAACTGCATATATTAGGGGAAAGCATGCATAAATGAATATATTTGTAAAAACAACATACTGACATGTGTTATGTGCAAAAATTGCACATAGTCAATATTCCATATAAAAATGTGTTCATTAATATAAATTCACAGGAAAAGGCTGGTGAAATTTCATTATTTTTTTTCAATTTCAAATTCCTGCAAAATGTGGAAAACAAACTAATAATTTAGGTGCATCACATTGACTTCACCAACCAACCTGCTTCATTAAAATCAAGGGAAATTATTTCCATTATGTTTGGGATTGCAGCTTGTCTCATTTGCTTTGAAGGGCCTCCTGCAAGGAGCCTTGCTGCTTCCCTTGTGAAATAAACTATTGTTCTTTGGAGTCAAAGATAAGCATACTCACTTTGCTCATTCCATCCCTTGTTTTGCGTCTTTTGCAAAGATGTCTCCACAGAGTGCCCTAAGAATATGGTATACAACTATGAAGTGAAATTCTGCAACAACTCTTGCCGGTCCCTGAGGGAGCCTGATGTGCTATGCAGTGTTCAGACCATCCCTGTGGATGGCTGCAGCTGCCCTGAGGGAACTTACCTAATGAATGAGGAAGAATGTGTCTTTCCAGAGGACTGTCCATGTTACCACAAGGGCCTGCTGATACAACCCAGAAGTTCATTTCAAAAGGATGAGCTCGTGTGGTAAAGTTATTTAGTTAATAGTCAAAACATGTCTGTAAAAGGTTGTTGCAAATCCTCAAAAGAACCAGCCTGTTAATTAAAGGTACCTTGATTTTAAAAGGCATTTGTTTCTAAGGAGCAAGATATAGATTACAGATATGGCTTATTTGGGGGATGGGTGTATTTGCATGACTGGAACTTGAGTAGTTTTCCACACCCCCTTTTTATGCATTTGTGTGAGACTTCCCTTTTGTGTTTTAATATCTCTAGCAAGTGCATTCGAGGACAATTAGATTGCATTGAAAACACAGAAACAAAGAAAGGTAAGACCTCTTTTTTACTTACTATGCAACTTTAAACCAAGATGTTGGAATTTGACATTTGTTTTGAACTACTGTCGCGTTCCACACGCACAAGTTAGGATTTGATCCTCCTTGATCCTCTGGAGAATCCTAGATTTAGGGATCAAATCTAACCCCGTCCCCTCTGCATTTGCTTTTGCGTCTTCTGACCCAGAAACCTCCCCGCTGAATAAATTCACACTTGACTCAAATTCTAGTTTGGTTTTTGGCAGAATTTAGGCCACAACTTTATTGATTACAGAAAGTGAGTGGTTGCATAGGCTCTGGTTCGACTAGCTTCCTGCACACTTGCAGGTAGCGGTGACCCAGGGTTCCAGCACAGGTCAGCCAAGGGTGAACACCTGGATAGGCAAAAAGTCGGAAGCAGACTATGTCCGCCATCCAGATGTCCCCCTGGACTCAGGCATGGGAACAACCCCCTCTCAGGGGTTGACCAAAGCATTGAGTCCCTGGATTCCTTTAACAGAATACCCTTCACATAGGGATGGGAGACCGTTCCCCCATCCCTATCACCTGAACCAGAGCCTATCCACAACCTTACAAGTTGTGACGATTTGCTACGCGGCAGGCGAAACCCAAACGGCAACAGCCAATCAGCCAAATGGGGAAAATTCCTGCTGTGCCCCTGTCTCAACGACATACAACACACGACACCATAGCAAGGTCAAGCGCACAAGCCCTAAAAATAGGGAGAGGTGGGCGGATGTTCCGAATGCATGCGCCGAAAGTGGTAGCTCTGGGTCACTTGCATGGGTATATATAGGTCCCTCAATCTGTTTGGACTGCACCCCATTGGTCCGATTAAACCCAACATCGAGGGACCTACCAAACTGGTGTTGTGGCTGACCAATCTTACCCACCCACAACACAGGGGATTGGTCTCCAGGTCTCATTGCAAAACGTGCCCTCTTTTAGGGAGGACACAATCTCTACAGCTCTTGTATGTAGCTTTTAAAGTTGCCTCTATCTGCTTTAGGACAAGCTCTATCTCTATCACCATCTCTGAATAAGTTTGTAAAGGAACGTGATTTGAGTTAAGCTGCTACTCACCCCTCAATCCAGTTCAAGTAAAGAAAAAAGCATTGGGGGATTTGACAACAGATCACTTGCATCACATCTATTGTGTCACAATAGATGTCATCTATTGGGAGACAGAGATAATAAAGCTTCCGTAGAGAAGGAAAATTATGAGCATATATCTATGCCCTTGATGGTTGGAATGGTTTTACATTTTAGACATCTGGGGTTCTGGAATCTGCTGAGTGCTATGCATAGTTTTACACTGTCTTGCTTTCTTGTCTTGGTAATTGTGTCCTTATTCCAGATTGCCCTTATCCAATGTCCTACTTTGACTGCAGCTCTGCTGGCCGAAGTGCAACTGGATCAGAATGCCAGAAAAGTTGTGAAACACAAGACATGCAATGTGTAAGAGCTTAAGCTTGTGGCAGTGATATATGCACCCTAACCACTCCATGCGCTCAAGTGAGCTTCATGAGTGCTAATGGGAAGTGTATTTGCCCTAGCCACACAAGCCTCCTGGGCTGGCATCCATGAGAGCAAAGCTGGTTATTTTTCAAGGGGATTTCTAGATAGTGTGATATTTCTTTTGCCTGTCTGATGTAAAAGAAAATAACATGAAGTGGCCTCTAAAATTATTTCAATTGAGTATTAACTAGTTATAAGGGCAAACAAATATTTTGGGAGACCCAAACATGGTGCCTGAATATATATGAACAACATAATGCCTTATTCATTTGATTGCCTTCTTCTTGATCAGACATAATTCCAAGAAAAGCAGCAGGCCATGCATGTCTCCTATATGGTACTGCTGCTCTCTTGTGTTAAAATCTCACCCATGGACATTGGCCTTTTATACGCAGGATATTATTTGCCAGGCAGATGAGCACATCCTCATGTTAGAACAGGATGGCTTTCACTTTTCAGTGACTCAGCCTTATTTACTGTGCATAAGCACAAGCCAGAGAAGATCCATCTCATCTGTGATACAGGTGTTACCATTAAATATGCAGATGAAAGGGGAGAAAGAGCAATTGTAGCTTTCCCCATTCTTTCACTGATCCTCCACCTGTGGTGGTGGCAGGACTCCAGGGGTGTCACAAAGTTTACAAAGCAACCAGAGAAGGAATGGGCAGGGGAAGCCATGGCTGTGCCATCTCCTGTTTCGTCGGATTTAATGGTAAATCCTAAACTTCTGACTTGCAACCTGTTGACTCTGCTTTATAAATACACCACCATCTTTCCATCCAGATAATTTCACTGATTTGTTGTATTACTGTTCTCTGAACATAGTCTTCACAGTCCCTGCATCCCTGTGAACTGAACCATCTAACGTTTTACGGTGCTGGTGAATATCTAACAGTATCATAACAACAGCATTTTCTGAAGGGCTGCCTTTATTTTCTCCCCCAATATTTGTTCCCTTCTGTATCAATTTCCATTTTGTTTCCATGCACTCAACCAAGTATGCTACAGAATGTGTCTCTGGATGCATGTGTCCTGATGGGCTGGTGTCCGATGGTCACGGCAACTGTATTGAGGAGGAGCAGTGCCCCTGCATGCGTGGAGGGAAGTTCTACAGTCCTGGCACACAAATCACAGTAAATTGCAATACATGGTACAGTATTCTTCAGTGTTCTTAAAGCCAGTACATGTGTAAATTGTAGCAAATAAATGTGGGAGCAGGAGGTAAAGGAGGGGGCATGAAAGTATTTTAGTTATGTGGTGAAATAGGGAGGAGCTGAAAGAGAACAAAGGGGAAAAGAGGTGCCAGCCTGTAGAGAGCAGTTTGGAAAAGGGTTTGGTTGTGAAATATCTGCTTGTTATTGCTGGCGTCCAAAGGTTTTAGGAGGCCCCTCACAAAACAAACCCCTATAGACCAGATAAACTAGTCTACCAAGTTTTTGTTTTGTGGGGTGCGTGATCTTGGGTATTTACAAATAGCCCCAGGCCAATTTTATGAGCAATTGTGACATTTGTAAGAATCTTTTCAGTTTAATATTAATACTTTAATCCTTTGAATGATCTACCTAATGCAAGTCTCTGCGTTCATTTGGGGGTGTTTTTATGAACTGCACTGCAGTTTATTCAAAGAGTACCCAATGCAGCGTATCGAAGAATTGAGCACCAGTTCAGGCTACCATTTTGGAAGTAACTTTCCCCCCCTCTATAAACACATAGTTTTGTGGAAGTGTTTCCCATGCGGTAAGATCACACATGACAACAATCACTTTGTACAAATTAGATTTGCAGCCAGTGGCAATTAGCCTCTCTGGCTGCCATGCCCTTAACCATGAACATTTGTAAACTTGATGCTTAGATGCGAAACTCTCCCTACCCCTAAAATATCATCCCCTGGTAGTTAAGCTTGTTAATTTCTGACATTATTGGGCTTTTATTTATTTTTGTTGCTTCAGATGCAGCAACTTATCACCGACCAGACAAGGTCTTTACTGTAACTCCTCCTGTTGTATAGAAGGCTATACATTGTAATAAGAAGGAGAGTAATACAGTGGTACCTCGGGTTAAGTACTTAATTCGTTCTGGAGGTCTGTTCTTAACCTGAAACTGTTCTTAACCTGAAGACCACTTTAGCTAATGGGGCCTCCTGCTGCCACCGTGCCCCCGGACCACAATTTCTGTTCTCATCCTGAAGCAAAGTTCTTAACCTGAAGCACTATTTCTGAGTTAGCGGAGTCTGTAACCTGAAACGTATGTAACCAGAAGCATATGTAACCCAAGGTACCACTGTACTGTCATTTCAGCTGACAGATCCAGAGGAATTATCATTATCCTATTAATTACCCTGCCTACTTGCAGTTTTCTTTGAGGGGACAAGTTGTGATATTTTATGTTTAATCTCTCAGCATGTGCTACAAGAGGCAATGGAACTGTACAAAGAACTACTGCCAAGGAGCCTGCATGGTGTATGGAAATGGCCACTATTTCAGCTTTGATGGAACAAAATTTGATTTCATGGGAAGCTGTGATTATATTCTAGCTCAGGTATTTAATCTTTGCTACTTGCCTCATGGACTGTTTAGTGTGGAACCAAGTGGAAATTTTGTGATTTCACTGCTTTACCCATCTGTAGTGCAGTGCCCACCGACCCAGTGTGCGCCATTGAACTTCTTGGGGTATACTTATGAGTAGACATGCATAGGGTTGTGCTGAAAGGGATTTTCAGAAACTTCATATTGACTGACTGAGGGCCAGAATCTGTACTTTTCCCACTTTTCGTCTATGATTGTGGACTCTTGCAAATGTTGCATGGGTTTGCCATGTAAGAAAATGGCTCATCACATCAGACTATGACTTGTGGAATGTCCCGTTTAATTCACCAGGTACCTCCAAGCAAAAAATCCCATAGATGAAAATAATGAGCTTGGCACACCATATTTTGCAAGTTTCTTAAAACCAAGTTACATTTTCAGCTAAACAATGTTTAAAAGTCCATCTAGGGCTGTACATTTTAGACTAAAAGGTTTCATATTTGAGTGAGTGTCCTCCTGTGCCAAAACTCCCTACCATTTTGAGGTTTTTGTTTTATGATCAAGTGGTATATAATTTTTATGAAATAAAGGAAAATCACAACAGGAAGACAATTTCTTGACTAACTTTCTCCTTATAGTTTTCTACATGCCAGTAGTTGTTACTTTTATTTTATTTTTTTAAATAAAAAGAATAGTTGTGAGTATTCAAAATTACAGCCTCTTTTACCTGTAGTCTGAAGTGGCACAGTTACCAGTACAGATCCAGGAGGATATTTTGCTTTCAGCATATTCCCAAGTTTGAGACCTGGTTAAATTCATACATTTAATAAAGAAAACTGCCTTAGCTGGCATGCACTTCCTTCTGTAGAATATTTGCCATTGTGGCTTGAATATGGAGAACGTAACATTAAACGTATTATTGTTTCCTTTCCCAAGGACTTTTGCCCTGATAACCCTGACCCAGGCACTTTTCAAATTGTAACACAGAACATGGCATGTGGTAAATCCCTGAGCATTTGTTCCTTGAAAATTCGCATCATCTTGGCGGTAAGTCCACAATCAGCCTTGTAAGTGGAGAACTTCAAAACTGGATTGACAGTTTGTGTTTCTTTGCTTACAGTAGCTAATCTACACCTTTAATACCCTGTCCGCCCATAAACTTCATTCAGATTTTAAAAGAGTAGTTGTGTTAATCTGTTGGAAAGAAGGACGGAAGGAAGGACTAGATACGGGTGTGATTAGACTTCAGAATTAACTGGATTATTGGCTGGATTTGAGGGACCCCAACTCCTAATGTGCTTATGTATTACCTACTTCAAATATCTGGTTGTATTAGCTGGACATCTGAGAAAGGGTCTGGGGTAGTCCGAAAGGACCTTGGCGCTTTACAGTGATGCCATCTCTGAGTATGTGCTAAGGCTTTGAAACAGGTTTATTGTGACATAAACATCTATGGTCCAGAGTATCTAGCCCAAGAAAGTTTATACTACAACAAACCTGTTAGCCTTTAATGTGCCACAGGACCCTTTGAGGCTTTTACACTTGATCATATACCACTAACACACACAATTTATGCTCCCATTTACATGTGCACATCTCAGAGACCACATTCACCCTCATTCACATGCAGCACACACACCGTCCATTGGATCGCTCATACCACACCCATCAGATGCACATCACTTATGGAAACTGACGATCCTTGAGTAAACCACTCATATTGCCTCATTCACACATTCAGCCTAAAAGTTGATCATTAGTGCAGTATTGCTTTCTCCTCTTCACCCCACCAGCAGTTTGCAGCTTCTTTTGCCCTTCTGTAGTCTTGAAGTTTAATTCTTCATTAGTTATCATGTTCCTGTACCTATGACACCACAGTAGGTGGGGGCAGAGCTCATTTCTTCTGTGACATCACAGTAAGAATGAATATATCTTGTGAACTGCCTTGAGGTCTATGGAAGAAGGACAGTATGCAAATTTAATAAATAACAACTATCATCATCATCTTGGGGGAAAGGAGATGTGGGTATATATTGCAGTTGTACATCTTGATGGGATGGCATATGAATTATTATCTACAAAGGGTTGCGGTTGCGTTGTCATTGTATTTCAGCTGCATCCTTGCTCTTACAAATTATTTATGTCTTTTTCTAGGGTAGTGAAATCAGACTTCAGGAAGGGAAAATTGAGGAGATAACTAGCATACCGCCTTCTGAAAGGAACTATAACATCCATCTCATGGGAATTTACATTATAATTGAAACTTTCCATGGAATGACCTTCATGTGGGATGAGAAGACAACAATAATGGTGCAACTCGCACCCTCTTTTCAAGTAGGTGCAAACATGACTGCTGACTTGCACATGGTAATTCTATTTGCAGGATTGGTTCATATAATGAATAATTTTCCTGTCAAGGTATTGCTTCCACTTTGGGGGTGGGAATTGAGCATCACATCTACACTGTCACAAGTGGAGAATAGACACACCTTTGTTTTGCAGCATGGAAGAAGTTGTATGTGTGTTCATCTCACCTGATACATGTACATTTCCTGCCTATAAAGAAGTCATAGCTAAGTGTGCATAGAAATTGTTGTGAGTAGAATGACCCTCAGTTACCTGCTAATAAACTGCCCAGTTTGCAGCTAGTGTATTCTGCAATTCTCTGGTTATGCTTGTAAACATAACATGTACAAATCAGATGCCTTAAACCAAGCCTATTTGCTTTTTTCATATTTAGGAAGCATTTGATTTATTTTTTATAGCTTCCTGCAACCAGTAAAGATAGAATCGCCATAAATCAGACAAATATTGGTAGGCTTATGCTGCAAATGCAGACAATATTCTTCGTCTCAAGTGAATCCAACACATCTTTTGCGTGCTGTAAATTCTTAGACTGTTATCTTTTAAAATATGTGGATATTAAATGGCCCCCGTTTTCATTCTTCTAAAATAGTCTAACAACTTAGTAGAGAAAAGTGTTTTGAATCAAGAGAAACACATAGGACTAGTGGTTTATACAAAGCATGTTTAGAATACAATTTGAATTTACTTCATTTTGATAGTTTTATTTATTTGTTTTTTATTCTGTCTTTGTAAAATGCCATGCTCCAATTTCCTAGGGCAGAGTTTGTGGTCTTTGTGGTGATTTTGACAGCAGTGGCAACAATGACTTCACTACGAGAGGGCAGTCTGTGGAGATGCAAGCACAGGCATTTGGAAGCAGCTGGAAAGTCACCACTAGCTGTTCAGACAGAAACAAGGTTGACCTATGTGCAAGTCAGCCTTCCAAACTTGTACTGGGGCAAAAGCGATGCAGCATTCTCAAGAGTGACATTTTTGAAGCCTGCCACAGTAAGGTAATCTGTCTGTTTGTCTCTCCCTTTGCTTCTTGCGACTCTTCCCCTTCTCCTTGCATCCTCCTATCCTAGCATTCCTAGCATTTCATAAAGTTATGGGTGGCAAGAATTATGAATAATTTTACTGGCAAAACAAGAAAAGTTAAACAAATGAAAAATATTTTCGGGGGGGGGGGCATAATTATTGAAGGCATTTAAAAGAATAGCAGGAAGGACACCCTCCAGAGAGAGATTTGTTCCCATTCCTAGGGACGGTGTTGTAGAGAGATGTGGACAGTGATGGGCATGGCCAAAAGTGGCTATGGCCACTCTCATGCGCTCACACATACGCATGACATATCAGGCACACAAAAGGTGCAATTGATGTCCGGGGGGTGGGGTGGGGGGTGTATTTTCAAAAGGCGGTACTTTGTCCTGGATCGGGGGGGAAATGTGTTTTGGTGATAATGTATTGTTGCATGCCATCCCAATCTCTGAGTGGTGCAAGATTCCAGGGGCTCCAGGGTTTGTGTTTCCATTGGAATGGGGCACAGCAGAGACTGGTATTGGCTTATTTACACATATATACAACCTGAGTCTATGATGGGCAGGACCACAGCCCAAGATGTCTCCCATAGCCAAAGCCTTGGATTCCTAAAGAAGAAGAAGAAGAAGAGGGGGGGGGGTCCTTAAAAAAGCTCAAGCTTAGGGCTGTCCTGGTTTTTACTTTTTGAAAGATGGTAACCTTAACATAGAGGCACATGGATCCCCTTACCATCAGAATACTGGCTCTGCCCACTGTGATGCTGCATCTATTTTGCCCCCCCCCCCCGCTTTTGCAATTGCTGCCAAAATTAGCAGGGTCAGGCAGAAACAGTTGCTTGAGAGTCCATATCAACTGGGGTTAGGCACCCCATTATAGAACTACCCCAGATGCATGAATTTTGGGAGCAGAATCTCCATGAACTGAATGCCTTTCATTTGTACCATTTTTGGGATTTGTCTGGTGTATAGATAGCACTGTAGTGGGATGCCACAAGTGAATTGTTCCTATAGACTGGAATGGGTGTGTGTGTGTGTGTGTGTGTGTGTGTGTGCGCGTGCGTGCAAAACCAGCCCACCTAATTGGCAGTGATCTTGCATTTAAACAGATTATCATATCTGCCCTATTTCCAGATACTTCAGAATATTGATAAGAAATATTTAGGCAATTGGTTTTATACTTTCCCAGGGAAAGAAAATTACAATTTAAGAAAATGGTTAACCTAATTAGTGTTGCAAATCAGATAGGAAAGCACAGATGGACTTCAAAGGGAAAGGAGAGAAAAAGTGAACCTTCCCATAATATAAATATAAATTTAAATATAAAGGATTAGTGTTGTCTAATCATATGGAGGTTAGACAAGATAATTAAAAAACTTGCATTTTCCTAGGCCAAAAGCATCCATGATCCCATGGGCATAATATTATGGTGGTGATATAGCTATTTCTTCATAGCTGCAACTTGATAGGGCTGCCTCCCAGGACAGATATTCAGTTTTCCTTGAATATTTCAAGGAAGGCAAGCTAGGCAGTCTTGTGTTTTCTATTTTAAGAAGCTGATTAAATAGCATCCTGGGAAGAAATGTTCATTATTTCTGGCTGTTCTTGGTTCTGTTAGATCAACCCAACATCCTATTATGAATCCTGCATATCTGATTTTTGTGGTTGTGACAGTCTGGGAGACTGTGAGTGTTTCTGTACTGCTGTAGCAGCATATGCAAGGAGTTGTGGCAGAGTTGGCATCTGTATTGACTGGCGAAGTCCTAAAAATTGCCGTAAGTACTTACAAAGCAAATATAGTCTCTGCATGTTATCTGAGGGGGTGAGAAATACCAATTGCTAATGGTATTTAATGACACAGTTGAATGTATGACTGATAAAGGAATTTTCTTCTTCAGAATCCACTTTGTGATTCACATCTTTCACGTTGTCCAAAAACATAACACTTTATTATAGCCTTATAACCTTTTGAACAATATGATACTTTGGAGAAAAAGACAGATGGAAAATATCACAAATAATAGTGAAAAACTGTTCTCAACAAGAGATCATACCTTAAAACTACTAGCAAGTGAAGCTTACAAGAGTATACTTGGAACAAGTGTTCCTTTTATCCACAAGATAAATCTGGGACCAACACCTCACACGTAGTTCAGGTACTTATTTCTGTGCATGGGACCAGAACCAGTGGCTAGAAGTTTCACCAATGACTAAGTATTTCATTGTTTCAAGCTGCACATGTCCAGCATGTCATGGGTTAAGACAGACATTATTTCCAAAGTATGCACATGGGTATGTGAGTGTGTATAGGCCTCCCATTATTTATTTACTTATTGTCATTCTTACTTGTCCTTCTCCTGATGTATGACAAGTTACAGCATATAAAAGCACAATTAAAATGGGGAAAAATATCCAATCCCCAAATCAGTGATCCATACAACACATTACTGGGAGAACCTCAAAATCAATTCCTCAATTTTCATAGGCCAGGATAACAAGATGAATCTCTTCACATTACATCAAAAGTGGTAGCTGGCATGCTGCTACCACATTTGATGCAATGTAAAGATGTGTAATAAATGTATGACTGAGGGGTAGCCAGATGGAGGGAGGGAGGGAGGGAGGGAGGAAAGAAGGAAGGAAGGAAGGAAGGAAGGAAGGAAGGAAGGAAGGAAGGAAGGAGATTCCATTGAAAACATGGACCTCATCACTTATGGCTAGCATGTCTTCTGATCCAGCTGTGTTTTGTGACCACTATGATTCACCCAAGAAAAGAGAATGGCAGTATAAGCCCTGTGGAGAACCTTGTTTAAGGACCTGCAGGAATCCGGCAGGAAACTGTGGCAATCTGCTTTATAGTTTTGAAGGTAAATGCTTTTTCACTTCCCACAAAACATGACATGAAATGAGAAAAAGGTTTCTGCTGAAATTCATAAAATGTAAAGGGATTATATTTGATATTTCTTTGCAGTGGCCAAAGACCCACTCTCACAGCAAAGCACAGAGGCTGCCCCTCTTTAATGGTTAAATTTACAGACCAAATTATGAAAAAACCCCAATATATATTTATAGCATTTTTTGTTCTTCTATTTTCTAATTATTGCAATTTCAGATTTATACCTTATAATATACCTCATGTAATAATATATATTATTATATCACCTAATAGCCAGCTCCTATTGAAAAGTGAGATTATTATTTTGACGGTTTTCTCCCATTTTAGGCTGCTACCCAAAATGCAGTGCTGAGAAGCCATATTATGATGAGAAAAAAAGAGAATGTGTCTCAGTGTTCGAGTGTACCTCATGGTAGGTCATTTTTAACAGCATAGCCCATTCTGCACATATGCTCGTTAAGGTTTCTTGCTTTAATCTGTGGTAGTCACATCTTTGTAGACTCTGAACTGAGAGAGCGAGAGAAGTGTGGATGACTTTGTGTGTTGGTGTTTTGTTTTGGTTTCGTGTACAAATTAAGCAATAAAAGAATCAACAATATTTTATATATGTTTCCCCTCAGTGATCCAAAAGAAAAACTCTGCTTGAACAAATCAAATGGTAAGTTATTAACTGTATTTAGAGAGAATATTATTTGTGTGTGTGTGTGGGGGGGGGAGAGAGAGAGAGAGAGAGAGAGAGAGAGAGAGCACCCCCCATATAAAATATCAAGGTGGCGTACAACAAAATATGGAAGTAAAATAAAGCATAAAATACCATAAAAACAACTCAAAATAATCATAAAGGTGACTGGCTCATCTTGAAAAGGTTTAAATAACTGAATAGGCCTGTCAACATACAAGGTCTTCAAGAGACATCTACATTAGCAGCAACGGGCCCTGCCAAATCTCTGCTGGAAACCCCAACTTAAATGTGCAAAGTTTAAGGTGTGCAGTGTGTGGAGACCAGCATCTGGGAACTTTGAGAGAGACACTGAATAAATTACATATCCATAGTCTTCCTTGAAGTTAGCCAAGGAGTACTTGACTTAACACCTAGTTCTTCTTGAGCATGGAAAACGTTATTTATTTATTTTTGTCTCATCAATGACTCACACCGTGGGTGGTATCCAACTAATGTGTCTCATCAACACAAGGACTTCTACTTGTGCAATGGGACTTCCCTCCTCTCCCTTGATGTGTGTCCTGCACCCTCACCAAATCAGTCATGGAGAATTGGGGGAACCCTAAGAACAGATTTAGAGAGTGGACAGAAGGAGGTGGGGAGGTCCTGGTGTTTTTTCATTAGCTTTTCTTAACATTAGATTAGGCACAAATGATAGAGCTGCATCCAATAATTTTGCTACTCATCAGGAATAAGAAGCAAGGTTGAATGAGTATTTGTTGAGTTAATCTGGGTTTTGTTAGCTTTGTAGGTCTCAATTTCATTACAAGCCTAATATAAAGAGAATTCTTGGCTATACATCTGTTGATAAGAAAGTAGCGTGTGGATTACTTCAAAGCACTAACCTGCATAATATATTCGAAACAGCAGGGCATGGCTTGGAGATCACGCCTCAAGGCGGGGAAATTGTTGGCCCTTCAAAGCCAAGAGCAGGTGAGGATGTGTGGGATTTTAAAAGGTCAAAAACGCATAGTGAGATGTGTCTTGGCAGAGAAGTGAAATGAATATATTCATTTGTTCTATGTCTGTTTTTACTGTATTGTAAATCACTTTGGGATGCCTTGTAGGAAGTGATTCATAAATGAAATCAATAAATAATTACAATAACAATATACACGGCAGCATCAGTAAAAATGATGATCATTATACTAAAACAGGCATAGGCAAACTTGACCCTCCAGATGTTTTGGGACTACAACTCCCATCATCCCTGACCACTGGTCCTCTTAGCTAGGGATGATGGGAGTTGTAGTCCCAAAACATCTGGAAGGCCGAGTTTGCCTATGCCAGTACTAAAAGTTAACATTGACATTTGAATGCTGACAACTGAGGAACTACTTGAAAGGAAGACAGCTTAGGGTCCATGTCATAGAGTAAGATCAAATGCTGACCAGTTTGCAGTCACGGACATCAAAAAATGAAATTATCTTCTTATAAATCTGAGAAGAATACTTACAAAATATTTTCATCTTGCATATGTGCCACAAAGTGAACAATTCTCATTAAAGTGGACAGTTATATGCAGGTATATAAGTCGCTGCCTCCTTCAGGTGTGCAGTAGCATTGGGAGCGCAAGTTGTCCAGTTTCTCCTTTGGCTGGGTAGCATCAGTATGAGGGCACATGGGTCAGCCAGTCTCCTGGCAGGCAGCATAAGCATGAGGTCATAATGACCAGTCTTTCAATGACCAGGCAACATTAGCAACAGGTCACAATGGCCAGTGTGTAGTAGATTCACAGTGGTGGGGGCATATTGGTCACGCTCCCTCTCTCTTATTCAGTTAGGCGGCAATAGTGGTATGTGGGCACAGCTCTCTTTCTCACACATCCTGAGATAAGGAAAAGCAGGACATTCCTGTTGAGATAGACCACAGCAGTGTGTGGGCAAGAGGAGGATGTCAGATTAAGTATGGTGGGTTTCCACTCCTTGCTCATGGTGTGTGTAGGGGGAAGGGAATATGTTGATCAATGTCAGTGCCATTTGCCAACTATGGCTGCTGCTGTTTATTTTGGAAAGGTGTCAAATGTTCAGTAAGAAACTGGATGTCCCATGTTTCTTATTGTTTTAGGGGAAACTACAGTGGCTCTCCCCATCTCACCAGCAAAATCAGAAATGAGAACCACACCATGCTTCTGTAATGTAAATGGACAGCTCATAACAAGTGGTAAGGCAGACATATTTGAAATAATTTCCTTTGACTTATTTTGTGCGTGTGCTATTTATTTCACAAATAATCATTGCAATATTTGCAGCTACATATTGTTGTGAGTTTGCGTGGCGGGGGTAGGCTGTATGTCTGAGTTCCTTCCAATTCCTGGATCCAGCAAGGATTCAAATCACTGGAATAGCCAGGCAAGTTTCTTGGTAAAGGCCCAAGTATGGGCTGGTAAGGTAACAAAGGAATGGTCTGCGCCAGAGGACAAATGGGTTCCTCCCTCCAACTGTCTCTTAGTTAGAAAGACAAAGAGTTGAGTTGCATATGTGAGGTAGAAGCTGCAGGCTGGGCAGCTAAAAGACAGAGCTATGCTTGATTTCAGCTTGAATCCAAGGCTGTGCCTAGGGAAGAAGTCAGACCTTCTTGGGGTGTTAATGCTGTGAGCCCATCTGTCTTAAGCTCAGGTTGTATATGTGTGTAAAAACCCCCCATATATCATAAAGACATCCCAGACTCCACTGTACCTCATTCCAAGGAACCAAACCCTGGGTCAGCATCTGGAATCCTTGGAATCTTGCATCGCTCCGTGATTGGGGTATATGCTTGAATAACTTGCTTGTTGGATTTTTTCATGACTTTTACATTTTTCCTGTTGAGTGAACTGCACCCTTATTTTTTCTGAATATATTCATCCAAAATCTGTATAAATTAATAATTATTCTTGGCATTGGGTGATGATTGGTGTTTTATTTTTTAAGTGGATGATTCTCTGCTTTATAATGTGTGTATCTCATCACACACACACACACACACACACACACACACACACACACAATGTTGCTGTTTGTTCTAACTGTTGCTCTGGATTTTTAGGCAATAGCCAGTTTGTGACAATGGACACTTCACGTTGGTGTATTTATGCCTTTTGTAATACATCATGCCAGATTGAATTCAACTATGGCGAATGTATCTCATTCTATACCACTCCTGTCCCAAGCAAGCCTGCCGTGATCCCCAGCAGACCTTGTAAGGGGAATAATCAGAACTGTGAGAAAGAGCCTCCTCCTTACTCTTCTTCATTTACTCCTGGGAGTGATTGCACTGACCTCATTCCTCCTAGAAAGGTGAGCAAGCAGCACTGCTGATACTACAAGCGTAGAATGACATATTTGTTCTTGAGAAACATATAATAAATAGACAGATAATAGGTTTTTTTCAGTCCTGGGCCATAGCAAAATGACAATATAATTTACAAATTGCCCAGCGCTGCTGTACACAATAAAAGAAAATATATAGCTCAGTGTAGTACTTCACAAAATATCATTAGACACATTGATTCAAATATCAAACACATTAGTGTAGAAATGTTCGAATATTTAGAGCTACTAACAACTCTTCTGGCAATGTAAAAAATCTGAATAGCTCAGTGATAGATAAATAAGATTTCCCCGACACGGGGAGAGGAAAATTTGGGAGACGATGATGAAAATTAACATACAAAATGAATGAAATATATGATAATAATGAAAACTTATTGAGAAATGAGCCTTATTCATCCAGTTTTAGAATGACCAAATTAGAGATGAAATATTTACATTAATTTAATGTCATGTGCATGCATTGGTTTGAGTGTATTGGCGTGAGCACTTCTGCACCTGCACTCCACCAGCCTCCTGGCTGCCTTGCCTCTCTCCCCCTTCTGGAAAGTGGCAGTGGCACTGTTGCTGGGAATAACTTTGCAGCTGTGCTGCAAACAACAGCGAAGCCCCTTCTGAAGTGGCAGCCAGGATATGCTTCCGCTGGCCTTCTAAACATTGGGATGAATCTGGTTCAGTACTCACAGAGAAACACGCCAACATTTACGGAAGCATCAAAGCCAAGTGGCACAATAATCTCATATAGTTGTTGATGTCATAATATTTTATTATTTCTACTTATAGAATTGGTTGTACTTTCTAGTCATGGAAATAAAAAATTGATATTTGAAAAAAACCAGAGTTTTAACCAGCTGAAAAAGCTGACAGTCCAAGTTAGTACTTACAGCTTCTCCCTGCCAATAGTATCAAAGGTTACCTTCAGGTCTATGAAAGCAATAGGTAAATGCTTCTTCCTCACCAGCATATATCAGCTGTCTATTGCCTGATATAAAATCTGTTTCTTCAAGAAAAACATGGTATTGCATAGAAAAAGACAAGACTCAGTGACTTACTGATTGTGCTGTGTTATGGTGCAGTAAATATACTGAGTTAAGTTGAATTGACTGAGTACCAAGGCAGAGCAAATTGTATTGATTCCTTTTGCGGCTTTCTTTTATACATCAACAGTATCAAGAATTATGGAAATTTGAAAACTGCCAAATCGCCACTTGCTTAGGTGGAAAACATATTAAGGTATCTGATGTGCGCTGCCCACCTCAAAAGTCAAAGATCTGTGTCAATGGATTGCCACTTGTGAAAAACTATGATGCGTCAGGCTGTTGTTGGGCTCTGGAGTGTCAATGTAAGTGATACTAGAACAAGGTGCTAATTCCATTGTTCTAAAGCAAAAGCAAAAATCTAGGAGGTCATGTGCTCCATTCAATTATAAATTAGTGTAAGATTAGCATTTCTCTCATACCTAGGTAGGTAGGTAGAAAGATACAGAGCACACAAGCATCACAGTACCCCTTTAACTTCTGTGATCTTCTCGCTGTCCAGAATGGAGATCACAGAAGCTGCCCCAGCTGAGCTCCTGTGTTACATTGTGCATGCAGCTGTAGGCACTGGGAAGATTCACACAAGAGCAAAATGCAGCCTAAAATAATATCAGAACAAGCCCAGTGAAACATTAGGGATATCTGAAGCTGCCTTCTGCCAAGTCCAACCATTGGACCATCTAGTTCAGTACTGTCTGTGCTGACTGCAGTGGTCCTCCAAGTTTCCAGATGGAGTCTTCCCCCAACTCTAGCATAATATGTCAAGAGATTGAACCTGGGACCTTTTGCATGCACTGATGGGCAGGAGTCAGATATAATAAGGTCAAGCCAATGCGTAAGCCAATACGCTCACATGCTGTAACCAATAAAGTTGTGGCCAAAATTTGCCCAATTACATTAATCTAATATCTGTGTCCTTGTGTTTTATTCTTCAACGGGGGGGTGGTTACGGGGTCTCTACATGCAAGTGCTGGGTGAAGAACAAGGGTCCACATTTACTGCATCCATGATACCCACAGCAGGCCCAGCTGCTACATTTCCTTGATCCTTCTGGAGCTGTGTTCTTCAAGCTCCTTGCTATAGTACATTTTGAGGCTTTTGTTCTTGTCCCTTTGATTTTGTGTGTTGATATATGTGTGGTAGGGTAATGAATGGATGGTCTCCAACTTGAATGGATGGTTTGACAGGCGGATTTGACAGCTGTTTGGTTTACCTCTCTGAGCCTGTAGCCTTCTCATTCTAATTGTATGTGTTTGCTCCTTTTAGGTGCTTGCAATGGATGGGGAAATCAACACTATGTAACATTTGATGGATCCTATTATAATTTCCATGGGAATTGCACCTATCTGCTTATGAAACCAATCATACCTGGCTCTCAGAATTTCTGGATCTACTTGGACAATCACTATTGCGCTGCCCCAGAGAGAGCTCTATGCTCTATGAGCCTTTTCATATTTTACAACCACTCTACAGTCATTTTGACACGAGGAGTTGAAAATGGAGAAGAAAGCAACCTGGTAAAACATTGATCAGATTCTGTGTGTGTAAACATAATTGTCAGAGCTACCCCAGGTCCCAGCTCACAGAGGACCAACGCCAGTCCGTTGCTATATTAAATAGTCTTTATTGAAGTTCAGTTTCTCATTTACAGCCACGGCGCGCAGCTCTACGTCTTAAACCCTAGACCGCTGAAGCTCCGTCTGAGTCTCCTCCCCCCAGACACCAGTTTAAGACCCTAGCCTTGCTCCACCTCTTTCTCTGCTCCCTCTTCCTCTGGGTCCGCCTGTCCGCCGGGGCTTTCCCCTTTCTAGACTCTTCTGACGCTGACTCCCCCGAGTCTTCCCCCTCCCTCCGGCGGGCTTTAGGACCTGGTTCCCAATCCGGGCTTCCTGCTGTCCCGCGCGCCTGTACATTTGAACTTGGCGCGCGCACCCAGCCTGCCACCTTCCTTCTGACCGTTATACTGCTCCTGTCGCTGCTCCCCTCTTCGGGGACACTAGCTGGGCCTGACTCCTCCTCCCTGCTTGCCGGAGGAGACGCTGACTCTGACCTATGGGACTCTTCCCCCCCACTACGCTCCGGTGGGGAAGCTGGCCCTGATTTCCAGCTACTGCTCTGGGAGTCTCCGCTGGCCCCCTGCTTCTGGTGTGTCCCCCCTGGGACCCCCCTTGCCCTGGCCATCGGCGCCCCCTTCTGGGAATCTTCTGATTCATTGGAGAGGCTCATGGAATCTCTCGGGTCACTGTCATTCTGCCCTCCGCTGCCCTCAGATTCTTCCCCTTCGCTCTCCATTTCCTCTCTCCCCTGCGCCTCTGCTCCTGAGCCCCTGACAATAATATTATATGACCACGTATCAAACAAAGATTTCCTGTCCCACCCCCAGCAATAGTACTTCAGTTTATGAAGTAGCATTTTAAAACTGTGTTCCCCTCACCAGAGTTAGAGCACAAAAATCATCTCTCTTAAAAAAACAAAGAAGTAGCAAACTGCACACGGCGGCAGGAGGGCAACCCATTTTCTATTACACAGAGCTGAGATATAGTGATCCTGTGGGTAAATTAGTGCTAGTGTAAATATACATAGTGCTAAGCATCTCATATATGTGTGTATCCTTTTCATCAGCTGGAAAGGTAATATAGCTCTTCCTAGGAAGGCTATTTCACATACTATGTTTGACCTGCTCTGATTCTTCCAATTAATTACTTCTTAAGGTTCTATATAACAATAAAGAAATCACACCAAGTTTTTCAAAAGATGGCATTGGCATCACCAACTCTGGACACTATGTTGTGGTGAAAATACCTGAAATGGGCCTTTATGTCACCTATACTCGCCTTGCTTTTCAAGTAAACCTGCCTTTCAGCATTTTTTATAACAATACTGAAGGGCTATGTGGTAAGTATTGGCTACAACTAAAGCGTGAATGCACCTGATTTATGTTTATAGCCTTTTATTTCAGTCATTACTTTTGATTTTAAATATTTGTTGGTACTGGAGAGAGACAGAGGAGAGAGAAAGAAACAGTGTTCCATACATAGGAGCCAACTCCTAGGAGCTGAGGTCCCTTCAGTCCCCCATGCTCTGTCCATCAGGCAGCTTTGTATAGGTTCACCAATTTTTTATAAGTAGAAGTCCATATAATTGGACTTCTACCTGCTCCTTTATTTCTTCTTTCCTCTTAATTATATATGCAGAGGAGAATATCCAGAGCATCAAAAGAAGAGGCCCTCTAGTTTACTTTAAATCAGTATGTGAAATTTAGTACTCCCTGCATGTCTTTCGCCTTCTTGTCCCATGGTTACCAGGCTCACATTACTTGTTCCAACCCACTGCCATGCCTTTCCACCCTATTGCTATTTGCATTGGCGGGGAGCAAGCAATGTTTATTTCCACAGACTCAATGGTAAGCAATTGCCACTTTCCTTTGTACTAGACAGTTTACAGATGCTTGTGCCTTCCTAGCCTTTGCTTGAAGTGACCTTCTTATCTTGACCAGGTACATGCACCAACAAAAAGACAGATGATGCAATGAAAAGGAATGGCAAGGTTGCAGATTCTTTCACAGAAATGGCAATGGACTGGAAAATGATGGACCTCATCACTAGACATTGTGATGCAGGGCAACACTTGGCACCTTTTCAGTCTCAAATGCCACCATCCAAAATGGCCGCCTGTGTAGTTCCTCCCCTATGTAAACTTATCTGGTAAAGCACACTTTTAATGAATGTTATATTTAATGAATGTTACATAAACTGAGGTTCCTCCTAATTGTATTGATTTGTTTTGATCACTTAAATCCTGCCCAGCAACATTTACTATTCCCAGGGTAGCCATCTTAAGATGGACACCCAAGTGCTGAGGCAATTAAATTTGGTTGTTGCTTTTAAGTTTGCTTAAAAATTAAAAATAATAATAATAATAGGTATGCATGTTTTCAAGTTTAATTTTGAAGTAGAAATACCCATGTGAACTCCATTAAGTTGCTGTAGAAAAAAACTAGCTAAGGAAGGTTATGCACCAGCTCAAAGTGAGTGTGTGTTGGTAATGATGCAAAGCATAGTTTGCTGTAATTATAATAGACATGCATTTTATGCTGGATTATTAGTATAAGATATGGTAGTATTTAAGTAAGTGTTACTTGTGGTAGACTCAGAAATTAACAAAGCTGAGTTGATCAAATCCATTAGTTTCAGTGAGTCTAGTCTGACTAGTATTGAGCACAATCCATCGTGGTTCTCTTAACAGTCTTACAGTCAGCAAGTTTAGAATAATAATAGATCTCCATCCTTAATTATTTTGTATCTCTCTTATTTGGAACACATTAGTTCACACTGTAAAAAAACTTCATTTTTAAAAATTAAACAAGGAGCTTTACAGAATGTCACAATGCTGTTCCGCCACGGCCGTACTATGATGCCTGTGTTGTGGATGGATGCTCTTCACCAAAGCAGAACATGGAATGTGGAAGTCTCCAGGCCTATGCAGCCTTGTGTGGGTACCATGGGATCTGTGTAGACTGGAGAAGCAAAGCCAACAGGAAGTGTGGTGAGCTGAATGACATCCCAGGAGAGGGTTGTTGAGTTTATTCCTTTTTATCAGCTGACGTGTTCTCGATCTGTTATCTCCTGGCTCTATGAGCCTAAAATAAGCCCCTCTCAGGAACACTGAGATCTGAATTCCCAAAGTATAATGTTAGTTTGAAAAGAAGGTCCAAATTGCAGTCTTCTAGTTTAGGGCACTTCATCCCTATAAATCTGTGTCCAATTGAACATGATATAAATCATTAGATGTAGAAAACCAGCAACTCAGAAAACCTGTAAGGATTAGAATATGAAACAGATTGAAGTGGAGAGAGACTGCACTGAGGGCTATACCATTTTAGACAGAAGGCTGCATGATTGAATGTTCACACTAAAATAAATAAATAAATAAATAAATAAATAAATAAATAAATAAATAAATAAGGAAAGCTAGGCTTCTTCCTAATATACTAGTTTTGTGGATACAACCAATTTTTGCAGGGTAGCACCAGCGATTGACATTATTAGGCAGCTGTTGAGGTTCAGTGCCTTGAGTTTAACCCAGAGATGACCCTTGACTTCTGCATCACAACAACAGCCACAACAGCCTACCCTCTTTGAGTTGCAGTGAGATTTAGAAGATTGGGTCTCTCTCTCGTCTACAGAGAAAATGGGATCCCCCCTCCGACTCGGTACTATACCATCAACTGTTGTACTGGTGAATCCTCTACTTCCTTTCCTCATCCACTGTGCAGAGGCAGAGGCAGAGGAGCCAACTCCTAGGGGCCGTGGGGTCTTTGCCCCCCAATAAAATATTTGAGGGGGCCAGGCTCCCCCAAAGTTGATGGGCATTGCCATTCAAATGGTGTGTGTGCACTGCATCATGTGAGGAAATATATTTCTATGAATTCCTACATGGACCGATTTGATCCACACACCTCAGAAAAATGTATGAATTAGAATGTAATTTTCATTCAGAGTTTACACTTCTCTGAATTTTACAATACAGTTGTATTAAAAAATCAAAATACATTCTTAAATGTGCTGTTTAGGGTAAAATAGAAATGTGTTCACTGAGATAAAATACATATTTAAATAAGAACATTTGTTTAATTAATGTGGAAATGGGAAAGATTGGATTTATGAATGAACAAATGCACAATTGACATGGACCTGAAGCAGATCAATATGTTCATCCTTACCAAGTAGCGGCAAGTGTTGTTTGCCACTGCCACGTCCATTTGCTCATCCATACAAGATTATGGCTAGTACACAAAGAACCACCACCCCCCCCAAAAAAAACAGTGCAGCAGGACAACCCTGCATCCATCAAAATATATGTGAATGAAACTACCCCACTCATGAATATTTTGAGTGGCATTGCTTCCTAGAATTTGTTCTAGCTTTTTAGAATGTAAATGCACTCTGAATGAAATTTGTCAATATTTCACAGAACTCAGATGCTCTCGGGATCAAATCTATAAGCCATGTGGAAGAATGGAAAGGCTCACTTGCAATAGTGGGTAAGTAATTGCAAGACAAATTTTTATCAAATGGTGTGTGTGTGTGTGTGTGTGTGTGTGTGTGTGTGTGTGAATAACTGAATGACCTTTCCTTTATCCTGTTAACACAATCCTACAGAAAAAATGCTGTTGGTGCAAATCCAGCAGAAGGTGACATTCCAGGAATCCTTGTCGAAGGATGTTTCTGTCCGGATGGAATGATCCAGTTGAATCACCATGATAGTATCTGTGTTTCTGTCTGTGGTAAGGAAATTGGGGGAAATTGGGAATACGGTTGGCCCAAGATGCCCATATGAGACTGCCCACCCACACCAGCTGCCTATGCAGCATGTAGGTTGCATGCTGGATTAGTGGAACTTGAAAAGGATCAGGAAGCAATCAAGCCAGTACTATGGAAAGAAAAACTGGGGAAAGAAGTTAGCTATATTAGCATGAATAAAATGCCCCCTTAGAACAATCCTTGCACGATAATAGAGCAAGCAGGAAAATGTCACAATTTAGAAATGTGAGCAATGCTTTTTCCGGCCGTGGCTCTCTCATGATTTTTCATATGACATACACCCTTTTGGGGTCCTGATTTGCATATGAATGTGTCTTCAGTGTTGTTAACTTCATTTCTGAAATGGTCTGCCTCATATTCCAACTGTTTTAATTTGTAGGCTGCACAGGAACTGATGGACTATTGAGACAGGTAAGGAGGAGTACAAAAGATGGGTTCTACAGCTGATATACAGCCAGAATAATATTTTGCACTCTACCCACAAGCTAATACTGCCTAAAATTGATGAACACTGGCACAGAGCAAATACAATGCAAGAACCAGAGCAATTGTATGACAAACGATCACAGCATTCTTGCTTTTTATGGTTAGCCAATACAGTGGTACCTCAGGTTAAGTACTTAATTCATTCCGGAGGTCCGTTCTTAACCTGAAACTGTTCTTAACCTGAAGCACCACTTTAGCTAATGGGGCCTCCTGCTGCTGCTGCGCTGCCGCCGCACAATTTCTGTTCTTATCCTGAAGCAAAGTTCTTAACCTGAAGTACTATTTCTGGGTTAGCAGAGTGTGTAACCTGAAGCGTATGTAACCCGAGGTACCACTGTATAGTGCAAGAGTTTATTTGTCATGCACATTCTATAGCAGGTTGGGAACTCACATGTCATGGTTTCATATTAGTTAACTTATCCATAGAAGAATGAGAAAAGTTGGCCCCTTAATGGTGGATTGAGAAACCATTGGGTGAAGTTACTGCACAAGTGCAACAGAACTTCCCTTTTCTCTCCTCTCCCGGTGTATGCCTCTGCACTCCCTCCAAATCTGCTCTGAGGCATCACCCAAACCTCTAGGGCAGATTAATGCAGAGGTGTACAGGGGAGGAGAAGGAGAGGAAGTTTCACTGCACAAGTGGAAGTTGTTCCACTCATTCAGTGACTGTGCTAGATTCAACCCACTAAGCCTTTGTTTGAGGAAGGAAAGTGTACGAAAACACTAAGAGTAGTTTCAAAACAACCCTACAGTAGACACGCTTTCCCACAGGTCTATCTAGCTCAGAACTGTCAATGCTAGCTGGCATTTGCTCTCCAAGATTTCAGATAGGAGTCCATCCCAGTCTTACCAAAGCATGTACCCTGCCCCTGAGCTGTAGTCTTTCCCCATCAAAAACTATAGCAGAAACTCAGCCCCATAATGATTAATATTTTTTTCCTTTCCCCCCCTTTTTTGAACATTTATTATACAGCCAGGAGAGAGGTGGGAAAAAGATTGTCAGGTCTGCACCTGTAGCAAGGACACACTGGATATTTCTTGTTCCCCCCACATTTGTGCAAGATCTCCACCAATCACTTGCACAAGGGAAGGATTTGTACCTATAGTGCGGATACAGCCAGAAGATCCCTGCTGCACAGAGATAGTGTGTGGTAAGCAAGTACTTCAGTAAGATAGATAGATGATAGATAGATAGATAGATAGATAGATGATAGATAGATAGATAATAGATAGATAGATAGATAGATAGATAGATAGATAGATAGATAGATAGATATAGATAGAATTTTTATTAGATTTTCTGTTTTACACTTTTAAATACTCATTTAAACATCCTTACAATATCAATGACTTCCCTTCTTCTCTTTCCATGGTTCATTTTGTATACCATAAATCCCTGCATATTTTACATAAACTAAACCATTCAGTATTCCATTATTACATCCATCAAAATTTATTTACACTGTTGAATTTATCTTAACGCTGCCAGAGTTTTCAAGTGTACACAATTTCCCCCCATATATTCACAATAAACATTGCCCAATCTTCTTTAAATGTATGTTCTTCTTGTTCTCTTATTACTTCAGTCAGTTTTAGGGATGCATTTACTAATGCAGAACAAAGACGGTATGTTTTCTGGAATAATGTACAGAGAATGCATGCTGCCCTCACTGCACCAGTTCTGCATGAGTAATCCAGAACATTTTGTTCAAAAATATTCCTCACCACCAGCTAGTGTGGTGCAGTGGTTAGAGTGCTGGACGAGGACTTGGGAGACACTCAGCCATGAAGTTCATGTATCAGTCATTCTCAGCCTTGCCTATCTAACAGGGTTGTGTAGAGAAAGAACCATGTATGCCACCTTGAGCTTGGGGGGTGGGTATAAAGGTTATAGGTGAATACTGTTTTAAAAAGAAGTAGTAGATTGTTGCCAGCCTATGAAAAATAGAGGGTTTTTCTACCTACAACATTATCAAAATGCAAGAAAAAGTGAATGCCTCATATTTTATCTGTTTCTTCATTCACAGAATGTAATGAAAGGTCGTGTCCTCTAACCAAACAGATATGCAATCCAGGCTTCCAAATTGTAGCAACCACTTCTGATGGTGCCTGTTGTCCCATTCATGTCTGTAGTAAGTACTAAATTCACATACATGCCATTTTTGGAGTGGAAGCACAGTTAAGCAACATACACACTACCCTATGTGTATAGGGGAAAATATAGGTCCACACACCCCAATCTGGAATCATTCATGCTCATTCTGTACATGCTGCTTTAATTCCAGATTGTTTTTACATAATGCCATCCAAGGAGGTAGGTGTTGTTACTTGGTATGTGTTTGAAACCCCCCCCCTTGAGTGGCTTTTTCTACCTCTACATACCCTGGGTAAATGAAAAGAGATCATGGCATACACCCACCCACCTCATTATTAGGCAGGTGTGGATACTAACACCTACACCTGTTTTCAAATGGGCACCCTATGGGGAAATGCAGAATCAACCTGCAATGAGCTTTTATTTTTGGAATGAAACTAGTTTCCGAAGAAGCACTCTTCTGGGGCAAAATATACGCAATAGATCTAGACTGAGTGTTGACCATGTGGAAAAAACATGTGCTCACTCTCCATTGATTCTAGAATAATGTGCTATCTGTGTACGTGTGCAGCCTTAGTCACAAAATGCTAAAAACACATTTGGCAGGGGGATATTATGTGTATTTTCACTATCTGGATCAAAATGCTTTGTTACTAATTTGTGAGTGATTCTTCTCTACAACTAATATAGTAGAAAAAGGAGAAAAGAACCCAGGAAACCCATAGGAGAAAGTCAAGAAAATTTCAACGTTTCTGAGCATTATTTTTCTTTTACTTGCAGAACCAAAAAATGTTTGTATATCTAAAGGAATTGAGTATCAGGTAAGGTCTGCTGCTTTCTTTAATTCGCTGCTATGATATTCCTTTAGCTCAGGGGTGGGAGAACTTTTTAACCTAAAAGGTGGGCTCTTTAGTGCCCTCAATGGGCTATTACTTTTATAGCTGCTTTTTAAAATATGCAAATGAAATTTGAAATTTAATATAGTGTCTTCTTTGGCCCTGAAAATCTAATAATTATTTTAATGCTAGATGTTAGTCTTTGAGTTATATCCAGCTGTTCTGAATAGACCCTTTGAAAGCAGTGGCTTTAGAACTAAAGTTTGAGTATGACTTAGTTAAATACACCCTTTCACTAATCCCATGCTGCTTAATAGCATTTCTGTGTTAATATGCTGGATTTACTTACCAGATACTTCCCCTTCTGCTTTACCATCTCTCATTTAAGCCTGGATCAGTGGTACCTTCAGACTCTTGTGATGAATGCTTCTGCACTGTAACACAGGATCCTAAAACCCAAACCAATAAAATTAAGTGCACTCCAATTAATTGTTCTACTGAATGTCAACAGGTAGGTAGACACATTGATGACTAACTTCTCCTCTGTTGCTGACTCAGCTTACCTTGCCATTGTTATTGTGGTTAGACAAATGTAGTGAACAGCAGCTGGTTGGAAAATGGCTTCCCTACTACAGTAGTTAACAACAACGACAACAACAATAATAATAACAACAATTCCGGACAGAAGCACTGGGAGAAAGCTTCCATAAAAGGTTGCTTTTCTATAGAGAGAAAAGTGGAAGATCTGATGAATCTTATGTACATTATGGGCAAAGATGATCCATCACTGCATGTATCAGACTAACACATGGTGGTTCCAAAAGATGGGGGTTAAGTAAAATAACACCAGAATGGAAACTTAGGGGAGAGCTGTGATGCCTACTATTAACACCAGCTAGTTAATAAAAATGCTAGATAATGATCATGTTTTGTTCAGATACTAAACCTGATATTTCTTGAGCTAGATAGAATAAGAAGCCTAAGGAACAATTCTGTGGATTGAAGTAGTTTCTGGGCTTCCATTCAAAAGTCCAGATTCCACCCCAAACTGGGAAGTCCATCAGAATCTGAAGTAGGGGTTGCCCAAAATATAAAAATCACTTGCAAAAATGTGAACATTAGTCAAAACTGCATAGAAAAATGTGTTTATAAGGAGAAATGTTGGTGAATTTTCATGAAGATCTTCTTTAAAATTCAAAATGTGGACCATTGAATTTGAGACTGGAAAAACGAGAAACTGGGGGAATTGAAATTGACAGCTCATTCCATCCTTTCATCAACATCTTTTCATCCTCAGGGGTTCCACTATATCCAGAAAGAAGGAAAATGCTGTGGTGAATGTGTGCAGACAGCATGTGTGACAAAGCTTTCACCTGGGGTAGTGGCCATTGAGGTATGTGTTTACCTTCTTTATGAGCAATTGTTTTGTGACCATATTACTCAGTTAGCTCAAAAACACAATTTGAAGGAGACTTCTCTTTGAAAACTGAGAATGCTTCATGTGTAACAATGGAATATAATGCCTTCATGAAATTAGATTTTAGCAATAGTGAGATACTTCTATACATTCCAAAATGCAGGTATTGAAGAAAACAACTTTTCATACAGATAGTACAGGCACTAGGGAAGAAAGATTTGCAGCTGACATAAGTTCACCCAGGATGTCTGTGGGAAAGGAGGGAATTTGAATTGACCCTCCTGATCTTCAGAACAGGAGAGAAACCACCAGTGAATGCCGTGGTTAAAACATAACTTCCTATGCTATTTCTGTAGTCAGCCACTATCAAGCCAAACTAGGCACTGCACCATTCATGTAATTAACACTTGCATGAGGAGCTTTTACAAAATAAAATGTAGGAAAATATAGATGAAGATCAGCTCTTTTGCTCAATAGCACCTATTTCTGAATATTATTTTCTACTACAGGTTGGGAAGACCTACAAGGATCCACAGGATAACTGTACTCAGTATCTATGCACCAGGGTATCAGATCAATTTATATTGAGTACCACAATAATATCCTGCCCAGTGTTTGATCGATCAAACTGTGTCCCAGTGAGTATTATTATAGCAGTGCTTACTTTTATCAGTTCAACTCACATTTCTTATTATTAACCCTATGTAGAAAACTCATTTGGCTTCCAGAGCCAGACGGAAGGAGGCTGGCTAGATTGTGTTTGGGGATCTATGTCACTAAACCACTAACAGGTAGCTCAGTCGGTTAGGGCAGGGTCTCATAATGCCAAGGCTGCAGGTTCAATCCCTGTATGGAACAGCTGCATATTCCTGAATATTGACTTCAGATTATGATTGGTTGTGAGTGAAATAAACCATCATCGCTGGTTAGCCTTCCAGAGTTAGCTGCGAGGAGCAGGAAGGAACAAAGCAGGTGCAAAATGGATGGATTCAAAGTTTTATAATCTGTACATAAAGGAGGAAAATGAGTGGCATGCAAAAAAAGAAATATTAAGGTGTGAAGCACTAATATTATAATGTGACATATTCTCATGTTTCTTTTCAAAATAGGCAACTATTCAAACTGCTGCTGATGGATGCTGTGAGATATGTGAGTATGTTCTTTACAACAGTTCATGAATGAAAGCGAAAGAGCTTTTATAAAGTCCCAATTTGCACATAACCAGTGCTTTTTTTCCCTGAGGGTACGCAGGGGTACGCCTACCCCTAAACATTTTGTGAATCTTTGTACTTTTGTCCATTTACTGTATTTATTTTTCCGATTTGAACTATAAAATTGTGATTTTCTTGAGTCAAAATGAGAGTACCCCTAAACATTTTTTAAGAAAAAAAGCACTGCACATAACTGTCAAGAACTGGCTGGATGAGGAAGAGTGTGTGGGGGGGGCTGCTCTCCCAAGAGCCCCCCAGGGATGACACAGAGGAAAGAGACTTGGGCCCAGGACATTGGTGGTGGGACATGGAGGACCAGTCTGCAGAAGGGGCAAGCTGGGAGGTGATTGAAGCAGGAGGTTTGAGTGAACATAGAGAGTCAGAAGAAGAAAGCCATTCCAGGACAGGGCTGGGCACCGAGAGCTCAGACTGACAGAGAGGAGCCAGATACTGCCTCTGTTGCTCAGCAGTCCCACTCCAGCTAGCTCTCCTTCTCCACTGAAACCCAGATAATGAAGAGTCCTGCCCATTGCTGAGCAACGGGCCAGATGGGCCCAGAGGGGAATCCCTCTCCCTTGCTGCAGTCTATGGCTACTTGAGAGGAGTCCAGAGTGAGGGAAGGGAAGGGAGGCCAGATGCCAGTTCCAGCAATGTCTTCAACTAGGGGAGACTAGCTAGATGAACTTGATTGTGCTTTTACTTTTGTGAATAAAAGCTATTTGCATTTCACATCTTGAGTCCTTTTCCTGACCTGTGGAAGAACCTGCAGTCTCCTGACATCCCCTTGACAATAACACAAAACCAAACCACAAAACCACAATGGAATAGCAGTAAAAATCCATTTCTCTAATCTGTTTTCTGTGATATCAGCTGATTAATAATAATAGCATTAGAGCAAAAAGAAGAGCTATCTAAAGTTCTTCAAAGAGGCCTGTTAAATCTAGGGCAGGGAAAAATATTTGATTCAGTTTGCGTTTAAAGCTGAATCTATCAAAATTGCACTTTCCATAACAATATGAGAACCAAAACAGAATCATCCTTTGAAATGCAAACTTATTTGAATTTTACAATGTAGCCCTGCAACCAAACAATGTCTACAGAAATGCATATATTAGGGGTGTGTGTGGAATGAGCAGCTACATTTGAAATGATAGATAAAACTGCTTTTAAGTTCAAAGCTACTAGTTCCTGATAGTTTAAGTTCCAATCAGGTAAAGTTATTTGAGGATTTTTGTTTCCCTTTCATTTTCAGGTACCCCCTTGTCACATAATTGTACAATTAACCTGAAGAGGCAATTCATTGTTTATAAGAATTGTAAATCAGCCAGGCCTATCAACGTTCCTTCCTGTGGAGGATCCTGCAACACCTACTCTGTGTAAGTAAAAGATTGCTCCACCTGTCTCAGTCAGCTTGACTTCTACAGCACAACACAGACACAGCATTCACTCTTTGTGCCTCTTTGCTTACCATTTTCTGGAAATGAGCCTGGAGCATGAATATACCTCAGTTTTTGCCACTGCCACCCTCTGTAAAATAGCAAATAATAGTTGCACTATTAAATCACCCTGGACTTGTAACAAGTAGGTGAGTTTCATATTTGCCCACTTTGCACACACAGTTACGTTGTTACCATATGATTGCTTCACTACACGTGCAGAGACTTTCAACATTTTATCATTTTACTGCAAGATTTATGGAAAAATAAGGTGAGCGAATGGCACAACTGCTCTAGTATGTGCACAAGGTCTCTATGGGTCAACCTGTCTGGCATGTTGCCACGAGTCAGGATAATACAAATTAACTGGCCATCAATAATGACACAATCACTTGACTGGATGTTCCAATAAATTAAACAAGAATGTGTTATTTTCCCCAGTGAAAAGTAGTGGTAGCATGTTCCTTATTTTCCAAGGGTGTTACAACAAAAGAATAGGCACTGAGAGGCCTTTAGCAAGTTCTTCTAACAGCCTGTTAATTTAGTCCACAGGGGTAGGACCCCCAAAGTTTGGATGGTATCTAAGCAGCTTGAGCAAGACCTAGGTTAAGATTTCAGAAGCAGACAGGTGTTGAATATAGCGGAAAGCTTCTGATAATCAGGACTCAAACTGTCACACTGTACAAAAGCACTGAATGTTGTGATCTACAAGGGTATTTCTCCTTTGTGAGAGACACATGTATATACCCAGTGTCTTCTTATAGATCAGGCTGCAACCTGTCAAGAACTCAGTGGGACTCTGCAATTCCTCTTTCTGTTTTTCCCCTGTTGTCTTGGTAGAGCTGGACAGCAGGAGAAGCAGCATGCACCCCTCTATTAGCAATGGAAGCAGATATCTGCTAGGAAACCTTGCTGCTGCCTTTTTCTGCTGATAGTGACACTATTTATGAGTTTTACAAGCCACCTAGTGGCTTACAAGCCAAGTCAAAGAAAGTTAACATTGTGCACAGATCTGGGGGGGACAACAGAAATGGAAGTAGAAGCAGAGTTTCCCAGAGATCTAAAATCACACAGTCTCCATCTTTTTTCCTTCAATGTTTTTAGCATGGAACACTGGTGGGGAGGGAAGAAAGTGGAGCATAATGGCCTAAACCAACTTTCACCCTCCAGATATTTTGGACTATAATTCCCACCAATCAGCATGACCAACAGTCAGGGGTGGTGGGAACTGTTGTCCAAAACATGTGGAGGGTGCCATATTGATGAAGGCCGGGCTAAACCAAAAACACGGACCAGTGCACTTAGTTAATGAATAAATGCTAGAAAACTATTTCTTGACTTGACATTACTGGCTGCTTTTCGTGTAAAGAGGAACATCAGTCAAAATGTTTCACCTGTGCTTTCTCCCTCAGATATTCCTTTGACACTCACAAAATGAAGCATGGATGCACATGTTGCCATGCCACAAAATACCATGAAGTGAGAGTCGAACTGGTTTGCAGCAAAAGGAGGCATATGAAATACACATATCTTCATGTAGATGAGTGTAGCTGTGTGGAAACTAAATGCCCAACATAGAAACATGAACCAAAAAATGTTGGTGAAATGTTTTGTCTTTATTTGAATTATTCATTTTAAAAAATTCTTCAAGCAGTTGTGTGCAATTGAGTGTATGTGTGCGTGCATGCATGCATTCACATATCCATTTTTACTCCTGTAATATGAGATGTTTAGGATTTTTTTACAAAGTGATTCATCCCTGTAATCATGTTTCTTATTCCAATTGCTACAGGAAATTGAATGACAAAGAACAATGCTGATATTTGTCAAATAAACTATGTTTCCAAGTTGACTTGATTCTGTTGCAATAACCTCACCTAGATCAGCTACAGTATATCCTCTTCTCTTTCACTCTCAAAGACCTGACAGAGAAGAATTAGTAGTGTAAACATTCACAATGTGAACACACACCGTTAAAATCTTCGCAAGAAGATTGGTGAAAGACTTGGCTGGAAATTCATTGTGGAAGTCGGGGGGGAGGAGTTTTCTACTTGTAAAAGTGTAGCATTCTGGATCTGTAGAAACAAAGAACATTACTGTATTCAATGTAAGAGTCGGACACAGTTATGAAAGAGGGTAGCCCCTACTCGCGTGTTATTATCATTGGAATAAAACAGTTGGTGTAGGGGCCACATGCACCACTTCCAGAGACTCTTTCCCTACTGTCTCTACTGACCAGCACAAAGGATGGATGGGGGCTTCTCGCTGCGTTCAGGTAAATACACTGAGAAGCCTCGAAATGATGTGGAATGTGGGTAGAAGTTCAGTACTGGAGCTGCTAAGATGCTGAATGTGGGCAAAGGTCTGATATGGAGCCAGGGGTAGGGTGCAGACAAAGGTATTTAGCAGCGGGGCAGCCTCTGCAACCTCTGCATGACCAGTTTAACCACAGCTCTGCTAACTCCTTCTGGATAAGATGTTGTGTGATTAACTCAGTTGTCTGATTCACCACCACACTGAACATAATATTCATGTTTTCCCCTCCCCACATTACTTCCTCCTCTGGGAGATATTTGGGACACAGTTACAACCAGGTTGTTTAATAGCTGCTCCTAGCATAATTTCATTCACATCACTGAGTAGATGTTTTCCTTATACTCTTAACTGGTATTCGGTTGAGAGGAAATCTTCCTACCGTTCAGCTTGGCCAGTCACACTGGGCATTAGAGGCAATGGGGATCTTCCACTGCAAAGTGTGGTCTGGCTAGATTGATGACGTTATTTGCCCTACAAGTAGATGTTCTCTCACTGTAGTGTACTGTGGTCCAGATTGGTTAGATCAGCTTACAGGAAGTTGGTGTCCTGCCTTCCTTAGAGTCTATATAATAGAAACCCAACATATAGCCATATGTTATTAGGGTAGCACTAAGCTATGGGAAACACCTGAGGTACAATAATATTCAAAAGTTGCCACACCTGCATGAAACTTCTAGGTTATACTGGACTCCAACACAGCTCTTTCTGCTGAGGAAATGCTTTCTTTCCTGAATTCCAATAGTCTTGACTTATTGTGATTTCCCACAAGATCTCTCACACCACAAGCATTAGGCTAACACCCACTGAAGATTCACAGTGTGTTGTGGTTTATGTTTTGCTTTGCATTCCAACTTGGCTAGAAAGCTGCCAGAAGCAGCTAGGAAAACTTTCACAGACTCTGGTTACAACCTCAAATACTGCATCAGTATTTCATAAAAACAACAACAGGATAAATGTGGGTTATGGCTAACATTGCATGTACACTGCTTCCCAAACCAAAAGCATGAGCATGCTTGGTGCAAAGGAAATAGTAGTAGTATGCACACAGCCCTAAGTTCTAATGGCTTAGTCTTTAGAGTGCTGCACCAGCATGAGGTCACAGTGGCCAGTCTCTTTGACTCAGCCAGACAGCATCAACATAGGTGTACAATGGTCAGCCTCTTCTAATTGAAGCAGGCAGAAGCAGTTGTATGCCCAAACAACACACACACACACACAGAGAGAGAGAGAGAGAGAGAGAGAGAGAGAGAAGAGAAGAGGAGTGAGCACTCGTAGAGGTGAGCATGTGAAGAAGCATGTGGAACTGGTCTCCTACTGAAGTGGTTCAGTAGCAACCATGTGCAAGCAGTCTCAATCTCTTTGAAATGGGCAGAAGTGGGGGTGGGTGAGTGGGAGAGAAGCAGTAAAGAAGGTGAGGAGCCAGCTGTAAGTAAATCACCTGGTAAGTAAATCAGGCTAAATGCTAACTGTCCTGTAAACAAATGAGAAGACTTGACATATCATTTAACCACCATGTAAGCTTTGTGCTAGCAAATCAGGTTGGATGTTAAATAAGCAGGTCACGTAGAGGAGCTGACCTCTTCTACAAATCTCAAGCTCAAAACAAGACTGTCATGATGACACTACCAGAATTCTTGCCATACTAGTACCATAAATCATAGCAATGGCTGTGAGCTTGATTAGGAAGGACCAGCGGGTGGAAGGAATACAGGTCGGAGGAAAACAATACAAACTGAAGGCTTTTGCAGATGATTTGGTTTTGACATTACAGGAGCCAGAACCCAGTACAAAAAGAGCTTTAGAATTAATCTCTGAGTTTGGTCGGGTGGCGGGATTCAAGTTAAATAAACAAAAACCAAGGTTCTGGTAAAAAACTTGACACCTTTAGAAATAGATGGGTTCCAGAAGGAAACAGAATTAAATGTGGTTAAAAAAGTGAAATACCTGGGGGTTAATTTGACTGGGAAAAATTTGAATTTGTTCAAAGATAATTATGAAAAATGTTGGTCTGAAATTAAAAAGGACTTAGAAATTTGGTCAAGACTGAAACTTTCCTTGTTGGGAAGAATTGCAGCAGTTAAGATGAATGTATTGCCAAGAATGTTGTTTCTGTTTCAGGCCCTGCAGATCATGGACAGAGTGGAGTGTTTTGGAAAGTGGCAGAGGGACATTATGAAGTTTGTCTGGCAGGGCAAAAAGCCCCGTATAAAATTTAAAATACTAACAGATGCAAAGGAAAGAGGGGGATTTGCCCCGCCGGACTTAAGGTTGTACTATGAAGCTGCATCCTTCTGCTGGATGAAAGATTGGTTTTTGTTAGAAAACACTGATGTCCTAGATCTGGAAGGGTTTAACAATGCATTTGGGTGGCATGCTTATTTGTGGTACGACAAGGTAAAGCTTCATAAGTTATTTAAAAACCATATTGTCAGGAAATCTTTGTTTAATGTCTGGACTAAATACAAGGACTTACTTGAAAACAAGACTCCGAGGTGGCTATCACCGATGGAGGCTAAGGCCACAAAAATACTTAATATGGGGGGTGGCTGGGCAAAATACTGTGAAATAATAGAAAGAGTGGGTGACACTTGGAGGTTGCAGAGTTTTGAAAAATTGAAAGGAAAGGTGCGAGACTGGTTTCATTATGCCCAAATTTTAGAGATCTTTAAAAAGGACAAAAAAATTGGTTTCCAGGTGGAAAAATCAAAATTAGAGTTGGAACTACTTGAACCTAAGACGAAAGTGCTTTCAAGAATGTATAACTTGTTGCTTAAATGGAATACTCAAGACGAGACTGTTAAATCAGCCATGATAAAATGGGCACAAGATATTGGGTACAACATTATGTTTGAAGACTGGGAAAGGTTATGGACCACCGGTATGAAATTTACGGCATGTAGTGCCTTAAAAGAAAACATTATGAAAATGATGTACAGGTGGTACATGACCCCAGTCAAACTTGCAAAGATATATCATTTGTCTGACAATAAATGTTGGAAATGTAAGGAGCCTGAAGGAACATTCTTTCACCTTTGGTGGACATGCCCGAGGGTGAAGGCTTTCTGGGAAATGATTTATAACGAGTTGAAAAAGGTATTCAAGTATACCTTTCATAAGAAACCAGAGGCCTTCCTCCTGGGCATTGTAGGCCAGAGAGTGCCAAAGAAAGATAGAACTTTCTTTTTATATGCAACTACAGCAGCAAGAATCCTTATAGCCAAATACTGGAAGGCACAGGAGTTACCCACGCTGGAAGAGTGGCACACGCAACTGATGGACTACATGGAATTGGCTGAAATGACTGGCAGAATCCGAGACCTGGGAGAAGAGGCAGTGGAAGAGGACTGGAAAAAATTTAAGGACTATTTACAAAAACATTATAAGTTATATGAATGTTGAGAATTTGCTAAGTTTTGAGAAAAACATGCTTCGGTATTGAGATTCGGAAATGATTGAAATTAAGTTATGATTGAGAAAAGTTTAAATTTTAGAGTAAATAATTAGATGAAAGTACAAAAACACATGAAACAAGGTATTAATTTGCTGTTCACTTTTATTGTAAAGAATGCAGGGATGGAGGATGTGGGGAAGTCCAGTAGATGATGAAAAAAGATTTGGAAAAATGAATTTTCTTATATTTAATTTTTTCTTTCTTTTTGTAAAACAGCTTTTGTTGTGTCATTGACGATGTATTCTGACCTTGGAAAATAAAGCAATAAAAATTTTTTTTTAAAAAAATACAAATCTCAAGCTCAAAACAAGACTGTCATGATGACACTACCAGAATTCTTGCCATACTAGTACCATAAATCATAGCAATGGCTGTGAGCTTGCAAAGTGTCCCCAGCCAAAGTTCTATGAACTTTGAAAGCTTGTGTTCTAAGCTATAGCAACAATAAACATATCGTGACAAATTAAAGACAACCACATTATATTATGCCCCAAGCAGATGGACTAGATGGGTGCCCTCTCAAACTTTAATGTGCCACAAAAGTGACACAAGTGATTAACACGGGTGCCCCACTGGAATTATTTATAAGTATCACAACAATTATGGATATTAGTATTAGAGAATCTTTGCTTCCAACCCAAAAATACACAGTTGAAGGGAGATCCAAACAATTAATGCTATTGCCACTCCTTCACCAGCAGGTGTCACACCAGACACACAAACTACGCTACCCAAAGATGGTAGTGCAATAGATTTTACTAGTATGTTAGAAATGTGGCTACTCCAGCAAGAGTTTTAGAAAAGTGTGTGTGTGTGTGTGTGTCTGTAGCCACTTTCTTTCTTTTTTAAAGTACTTCAGTACAAGGAGTAGCAGTATGTTATTTTTTCTGTGCAAT